CCCGGCGCGAAGACCTCGCAAGGAGCCCTGTGTAATATTCTTTGGTGTAACATTCTTTGGGGTGCTGAAAGGAGCTGCCTGCAGCTGAGGAGAAATGGATGTGTCGGGTTCTGGATCGTCCTCCAGACCTTCAATATCCTCTGGCAGCACGCCCAAAACAATGGACGCAATGGGTGATGTAAACGAAATGGTAATGTTACGACGCTTGGAGCTCAATGCATCAATACTTGACTTTGCCTTGAGAACATGCAGGTTGCTGCCTCCTACTTCTTCTGCACTCTTAATGCTGTCTCCGGGCTGAGCATCGAGCTTTTCAATCTCGCCCCTGGCCCTTGCCGCTACTTCAGGGTCAAGGGGTTCATAAGCTGCAAGAGTTGTGTAGCTCTTTAGCGAATGCGTTTGCGCTGAACTTTGTCGAGAGCTACCCTCTTTCTGCAGCGGGATTCCGTCACGACCCCGAGGTGTCTGCTTCAGATGCTGCATCTCCTCCGTTATGTCGACCGACAGATCTGATATGTTGGCAAATGGATCATCCTCCGTGTCTTCAGATCCCATAGCGTGGGATGCCGCCGAATTCTTTGACTCTTTATTTTTAATCCAAATATTGTTCTGTTTATCCAGATACATGCCACCTATCTTGTCTGGAATCAGGTGCGAAACGCTCTCGGGCGCAATCATCTTGCGTGATTCAGAGCCCCTCGACGAAGAGGTGGGGAAAATATGACTGGTGGAACGGGCAGAGGCGCTGGAGAACAGATCATGGACAGGGCTTGTCGATTCACTCGCCGACTCAAAATTAGAACCACCACCGCCGGTCCGAGCACGGTTGCTAGCTTTATCAACCATTCGTTCAACTTCTTTGGCGGCACGGATTGCGTCCTTTGCAAGACTCATTGATCTCACTGAGGAAGTGATAACATCACCCATATCACTCAATTCTTGATATTTCTTGAGACGTTTGACAACTTCGGGGTCCTCTTGCTGTCTCGATCGTCTAGGTATTGGTTTCCCGTCTCGACTTGGCGGTCGCGAGAAGGGCTCAGCCGTGGATCCGTCTGACTCTTCCATCGTCGCATTCATCATAGATTGGCCAATTTCCAACTCAGACTCTTCGAGGCTGGTCAACCCTGGCTGGCTGACTTGGCTGCGAATCATAGCCATGATCTGTGCAGCCTGATCCACGAAATCCTGAGTTCGTATGGATGGTTTGCGCTCAGAATCGCCGGGCCCATTCAGCTCAGCCTCTTCCTTAACCGACCTTGCCGTCGACCGGCGTGACTTGCCCTGAAAAGCATCATCTCGTGGTGACTTTGAAGTGGCAGCTGAAGAACGAGATTGGGCTCTAGACACTCGTCCCACGTCATGGGTGTCGCCAGAGCCAGAGCGGTCAGACTGTGAGCGTTTCCGTTGCTTTGCGAGCCCACGGAGGTATTTCTCGCGCTTGGGAGACAACAGTGCCTTCCAATTTTCAGTACCAAATGCAATATCAGATCGATGAAGCGTGCGACGGCGTTTAGGTGTCGGGTGTTTAGTGGGAGATGTTCTTGGTCGCTTGGATTCAGATCCATAATCACGCTTTGTCGCCCAGGACTCGTCGTAGGCTTCATCCTGGGGACTGGAAGAATTGTCAGGTGAACTAGACGACATGAAGTCGTATCTGCTGTCAGAAGCAGCTGAGGAGACCCGGGAGTTTTTCCGATCTCTGCCAATATGCAGCGAAGAGTATTCGTGGAGCAATAACTCTGGAGGGATAAGCTTCAAGGCACCTTTGGGGGCCAAGGGAGGATTTGGTGATATGTTTTCCTTGAAAAGGGAGCCGGAATGCTGCTCGGCGGGTAAGTGAGACAGCTCGTTCGTGAACTCGTACCCTTCCAGCTCACCGGCTCCAAAATGATTGACAAATCGGTTTGATGCAGGAGAATGGTCGAATTGTTTCTGGTTATGACTCGGCGTAAAAGGCGAGGGCTCTGGCGAATTCTCGCGCGAACTGGCACGCGAGTTCTCACGGGAGCTCTCACGCGAGTTTTTACCAGACATGCCCTCTTCAAACTGGCTGATGCGCCGGAGCAGGGTTTGGTTGGTAAAAGTGTCATACGGCCCAAAAAGCTTCAAGGGGTTTGAGTTTGCTTGACTGCTGCCAGTGTCACGAAGCTGCCTCTTGATGGGGCTTGGAAACGGAGCTCGGGGCACATCAGGGCTATCAAACAGCGAACCACTAGCCAATTTCGAGTCCGCCAATTTCGAATCGGCTTCTTGTGTCCTCAGACTTGGGAATTGCTTTGGTGTGCTGGCTTGCAATGAATCCTCGCCCAGCATTTCCGACCAATCCACGCCCAAATCAGGGCTCAGAGCGTGGTGTCGTATTGATCCACCAGACGAATTACTGCTCTCATGAGAGGTATCAAAATGGTATTCGTGATCGAAGCCGTCCATCGGATTAGGGTTTGGTGGTTTTGCGTCTACCGCGCTGTCGGAGGCATTGTGTGAAGGGTCCAGAATCATTTGGTTGAGCTGCAGTCGCTCGAGTCTTTGTCGTAGTTCGTCTGCCGGCATTTCAAGAGGGGTGAATTCGATCTTTCCGTCGTCATCGCTCTGCCTACCGATCAAAATGGGGCTAAAATCTTCGTTTTTTGTATAACTCTGGCCGCTCGCTTTTCTGGATATACCGTCAATCAAGGAGGGGATCGCGAGGTAGCTATAGTCTTGAGAGTCTGGAGAGTCTTGAGAGAGTTGCTGGTCGTGTTCCTCGTCAAGTTCCTCGTCTTGTTCCTCGGTATGTTCCTCATCATGCTCCTCATCGTGCTCCTCGTCGTATTCCTCGTCGTGATCTTCATCGTAATTTTTGTCGTGCTCCACGTCATGTCTCTCGTCAAGCTGTTCGTCGTGATCCTTATCGTGTTCCTCATTGTGTTCCTCATTGTGTTCCTCATTGTGTTCCTCATTGTGTTCCTCATTGTGTTCCTCACCGTGTTCCTCATCGTGTTCCTCGTCGTGTTCCTCGTCGGTTTCCTCGTCGTCATCGTCGGGAAGCGGAGGGAGGTCCATGTGGCTATCGTTGCTCATAAACGACAGGTCCGAATCTTCTTCGACATTAAGTTTGTATTTAATATCCCGCACGGGCCTTCTGGGGCTCGGACTTGGTGTGATCTGGTCTGAAAACAGGCCCTCATCCGAGGTAGGCTCCCCCTCAGATTCCAAGTTTATTGTCGGTGCCTGTGCAGGTGGGCTCGACGGCATTTCCGTTTCGTATAAATCTGCTGTGTCAGGAGATTCAAGGGGCGGTAGATCGGGGCTGGGCGACAGAGGCTCGATGCTGGGCGATGGAGGCTCAAGGTTTGGCGACGGGGAGTCGAGATGGTGGGAGAAAGAAGGAGAAGGTGAGGGCGAGTCGAAGTCGGCGTCACTGGAGGGCGGCTTGAACATGTCCTGCAGCCCAGCGGCGGCCGAGCTGAACAGGTCGCGCTGCTCGCCGTACTGCATCTTGCCGTGCACCAGTCGTCGCTTCCATTCGGGCGTGTTGGAGCTGCCCGGCGTGTTGGGGCTTTGCTCCGGGATGCTCTTGCGCACCACCACCGATCCGGTAAATGCGGGTGACGGCGAGCGCTTGAGAAACTTGTCGTCGCGCTTGCGGTCGGCGGGAAACTTGAGCAGGCGCTTCTTGGGCGAGCCTCGTCCTTTCGGGCTCCGATCGCCCTCGAGTATCGTCATGCTCTTGTCCTGCGGCTTGGGCACGACTGCGCCGGGGTGTCTCCAGGGCGCGCGCGGGATGCGACTCGGCGTGGGCTTTGGCGATGGCGACGCCGAGCTCCTCTTGGCCGACGACTTGACCAGCGCAAACTGGGCGGGCGACGGCTGCACCGGCGACGACCCGGGCTGCGACACCCAGTCCTCCGTCAACGAATCCAGCCAAGCGTGCGACATGGTGAAGGCCGATAGAGTATATTCCAAACAGGGGCATGGGATCTTCACGCCATAGGAAGCGATACAAAAAGTTTATGCGGAGTCGCGTCCTATGGGTGAAGCACTGAAGCGCGCGCACTTCTGCCAGGCGGGACGGCGCAGGAGAAATAGAAGCTATACAGAGTCGGCGGCACAAAAGATGCAGAATAAAAAGTATCGAAGAGATAAGATGGAGCTTGGAGACTGCTGCCGATATGGGGGAGGGGGCCGGCGCAAATGCAGGGGATTCTGCTTAGAGCGGCCGTAGGGAACGATGATGCGCGCTGGAGCTTGAAAGGGAAAACAAAACAGGGGTGCTGATTGGCCGCGACGAGGGTTGCTGTGCCAACTGCGCAGCGGAATCACGTCTCTATTGACTTTGAAATCTTTGTTTCAAAGTAGATGTGGCTTTTCATGACGTCTTACTTGTAAAGGGATATCTATTGTATAATTTTCTGAATCCCTCTCATGAAGCCTTCTCCACTGGTTTCAAGGAGGCGGTAGAATTACATGGCAAGCGCCATGCGGCTCGTTACATAGAATGGGCTTCTGCTAAGATTGCCGAAATCTCGCAAAATTGTCGTCATAAATCTACAACCTATAATTATAGCACGCAGTCATTAAACATGCGCCCGATCTCTCTGCTGCAGCCATTCCGTGCTAATTAACTCCTTTCTGTATCAACTCATAAGCGAAAATGGCAACACAAGGGACATGACGCCTCTGCATGCTGCACCTAGTGCTGTAAGTGGTAGCGCGCTCTCACGTGACGCCGCGTATCGCGTCTTCGCGATTTAGCGCCCTGCAGCTAGCGATTCATTTCCACCGTAGAGCGTCCCAAGCAGCTGCAATTTCTGGCCAGGTGCCGAGCTTCAGCTTGTCGACAGCCACAGCCCAGAGTGAATTCACGCTGAGACGCAGATGAGGAGTTTCTCAGTATCTGTGGCCCTGAGCCTGTGGTGTTGCTTATAGTATATTTGACTTCGCTGCTGGCCTCGCCCTCGACCACTCCGAATCTCTCGACTCTCGACATTGATGCCCGAGTGTCCGCCACCGCCGTGATGCTGCGAAGAGCTCCCATTTACTGCGAGGCGGTCTTGCAGCCGCAGGATGTCTATTATGAAGGATCGGAAGACGAAGACTACGACAGTGCGGAGGCGCGCAGGCAGAGATACGAAGCCGCCGGGCAGCGGTTCCTCGCAGGCAACGTTCCTTTGCTACTGTCTGCGACGTTGAAGGGTCCCTTCGAGAAAGAGTCTGGATGGGTGAACCCGTGGCGATCAAAGAACCGTACCGCCAATTCTCAAAACTCACGCGAATCTGACCATGTTATCGTGCATTTTACCCCCAAGCGACCTGCCACGTCTGCGACTGTCGAACATGCGATAGAAGCTCTGAAAGGTGCCGAGTGTGCTCTTCCTAGTCCGGAAAGCCTCAAGCAGGCGCCATTCACCAGCATTTCCTCACGCCCCCAGGAGACAGGTGGCACGGCGCACGACCGGAGGCCGAATAATGATGAGTTCTGGGCAGCAAATTCACCGTCAAAACCCCCAAAGAGGAAATCAAAATCATCGCCGGGATCGGATAGCGTAGCGAAAAAGCGCCAAAGAACCTGGTCAACCGAACCCGAAATTGAATCTCCAACGCCTAGGAAGAACCTAATACCCAAGAGGGATGCTACTCCAAGAGGAGCAAGGACGTCCAGAGCCAATTCGGACGCCTCGTCAATATACTTGCACATTCGAGAGCTCACCTCACAACTACCCCCTCCAGGATCGCAAGAGCTGTCTAGTGAAGATGCGGATTCAGATACTGATGACGATCATCATGAAACCATCTTTACCCGTTCCTCAGTCGAGTTATCTATGGTCAATCCACGCAGGACTCCCATGAAAAATTCTCCCAGCAAGACTCTACGCCTGAATGAGAATTCGTCCACGTCCTTGTTATCCCCGTTTTCACAACGGAGCTTGAGAGGAATTTCCTCTCCTCTATCTATTTCGCCAGCGCAAACGCCAACAAAACGGAAAGCTACACCAAGCATAATCTCCGGCCGTCGGCAGGCTTCAGGCGACTTATCTACGCCATCTAAAACGTCAGCGACCCTAACAAGCGTGGCAGATTTAGAAATGCTAAGCGTGGATGATGACAACGACGAAGATCTTGACGACGCAACTCTGATAGAGCGCCAGCTACAGGACGAACAACTCTTATCTCCCGAAGAATCCGAGACCAGCAAGGGAGGCCATAATAGCCTTGCGACAGATATGACCCCGGCAGCGCTTCCCACATCTGAGCCGGGCTTGGAAGAGAATCAATCAGGCGAAGAGAATATAGTCGGAACTCCAAAGGCTAAAAAGGTGGATCACCTGGACAGTCCAATATCTAATCATGATACACCTCGTGGGCGTCTCAAGCTGTTTCGTGCTACTCATTCTTCTCGGATGGCAGATCCTTTGATTTACGATGACACTGAGGAATTCGATCAGCGGACTTCCAGACCTGGCAACACAGCGTCATTGAACTCACAGCAATCCTTGCCCAGTCAAAAGGCCTCAATCAACTCACCCAAGCCGAACAAAAGTCAACCAATAGGTAGGAGTCCTACAAAGACAATGAGTCTCCACAAGTCATCTCCCCTCCGATCTTTGAGCCCTCGGAATGGTAGAATCAACTCGCGGCCTGCTCTCAAGAAGATGGTTCAGCCTTACATGTCAAGTCTGCGCAATTCACGAGCAGCGAGTGCAGATGTAACTCGCCACTCACGAGTAGAAAATAACCAGCAATCGAACGAAAACGAGCAAGAAAAACAGGCAAAAGAAATTTTACTCCCACCGGTTTCGAGTACTCCAGCATCGCATCCTAGCCCGAGTGAGATTGTCACAGATAAAGATTTTGAATCCGATCATTCTACAATTGACGATGCACAAGAGCTGGTGGATCAAGATACTTCAGCCTCATCAACCACACTACACTCTAGCACTACACCTGTTCAGTTTGCCGCATCTGTAGAAGTGGTGAGCTCAACTCAGGGGGACGTGCTACTCAATGTTCTACAACAAGATGAGCCAAGCCTTACCACACCAGAGATGTCTGCCGATTTACAGTCCTCTATGCCTATTGAGCAAGCTATTCCAGATGTAATTGCGGCGCAAACAAACAGTGACATGCTGGGAGAACCAAATGACCCCAGCTCGGTAGCCCCTGTGGCAGATGGTGATGGTTGGGAAGACCGGCAAGAGCATCAAGAAGGGACTGACAGACCTGCCGAAGCCGTTGCCGAAAGCCATCTTTTACTATCACAAGCGCCTCAACCTCCGCCAACCGTCTTGCCTGAACCTTCGGAGGAAGGACCAAAGCGACCAGCTACGCCAGAGCCGCAATTCGCTGTTGCCTCTTTTTCAACGTTCATGTCGCCCTCACCAAATCTCCGCCGCCACAGATTCTACTTTTCAGGGCCAGGTTTAAGTGGAACCGCTTCTAAAACACAGGGCACCCTGCTGTCTTGCTTGAAAAGGTCATGGGGGAATAAGATTCCCCAAAAGCGAGTTTCTTGGGCTCCGCTACCGCATGAAGGGAGTGACAGCTCCGGAGAGGATGTCCCATCAGGGACGGACACGTCATCGCCAATGACACGAGGCAGAGACCGAGCAGTTTCACCGCCTCCCCCACCGTCCATGGGCTCCTCTTCCGATTCGCTCATGGAGGAAGACTCAAAGTTTGGTCTTCACTTTGCTGCAGTGGCTGATCGTTCAAAGGGCATAAACCCTCAAAGCACGCCTGCTGTGCCGGAATCCAGAACGCCTAGCCCTGACAGGCAAGGCCTGGCGGAGAAGGTCGATGCACCGCAGGTCAAGAAGAATAGCTTTGCTACGAAGACTGCTACGAAGACTGCTACGAAGACTGCTACGAAGACTTGGGGCCATGATGACGAGGACCCCACCGACATTGTACAAGACATATTCAACGATATGGACGACTTTTTGCAAGTCTGGGATGTCGATGCAGAGCTGAATGAGGCACGAAAGGCCGAGAAGACACGGGCTAGCGGTGCAAAGGAGGCAGAACGTGCTTCTGAGGAGGATGTAGACATGTTTGCATCCTTCCTTTAAGCGTATCACCCAATCTTTCTTTTTCTTACCACGCAATCATGATGCTGCATCCTCAAGACTAGCTGGCCATTCTGCATAGTGTAGGCACTCGCTTACAAGACGTGTCCAAAATCTGTTCAGTATCAGCTCCAAATTATTTATGAAGGGAAAAATCCTCTTTTTTTATCATGTATCTAGCATATTGCATACGAGCGTATTTCTTTCCCCTTTGCTTTTCCTCTTTTCCGTACACGAACTTTTCCATTAGCATGTGCATTGCGTTGTACTTTTTTCCTACAAATACTGGAGCTTCGGAGAGATGAGACAGAGCCCTTTTGGCAAAAAGCTATTGGTATATACAGAGAAATGGCAGAATAGCAATAGCTTAGATGTGAATATGAGAAAAATGTACATATACCCCGATAGACGGCTACTTTATATGTAAATCATGCCTTTCTGTGATGGGATAATATCCTGGGTGGCAACATGATTTGTCTTGTGTATGTTTGAGGGGATATAATTGGGTTATTAAGTGGCATGTGAATTCGTTTGATGTAACGATTTGTTATCTCATAATTTTGCTACTCTTTATTCACACCAGCTTATCTTACACTTATCGTGGCCCATTGATAATAGTAGCTGGGATGCTCCAGATGCACTTATATCTCGCCTCAAATAAGACAGCACTCTACAATACACAACATCCTTTCAACTTCACATTTTCTCTCTTCTCCAGAATTATAAACAGCCTCACCGTTCTATTCTTACCTACCTATCATTAGGCAAAAACCCTAACACTACCTTCACACCCTCCCTGCAAATTTTATTTCTAGGCCTAGGCCTAGGGTAAGCTATAAGTAAGAACCCAATTGTCCAGACTAAATAAAGCCAAATTCAATAAGAAAGCACAGATTTACATTTAGTCTTACGGAAGAGAGGCAGCAAGTACAAGTAGCACTACATGCAGCAACATCGATGCAAGTATCAGTCATCTGGTCAGAAGATTCACATTCACTTACACCATTGGGCCATCAAGGCAGTGAGCCAGCTAACCTCACATACATACCGGTGCATGCTGCTGCTGCATACATACATACGGCCAACGGCGTATTACCAGAAAAGCAAAAAGACATGAAGAAAAAGCCCATTGGGCAAATCCAGAGTTGCAGTGAGATGCATCTTGCAGTGGGTCCCGTCCATTGCTCCGAAAAAGCAAGCCGGCGCTTTTGGTCCAATGAGTGTGGTTGGACAAGAAACGTGGCGTGCTCTGCTGGCAGAAACGCAACGCCTCTTGTTTATGCTGCTTGTTTCTCTTTCCGTCTTACTGACTGACGCAAGGTGTATGTTAAATTTCCTTTTTCCTTCTTCTTCCCTTTTCCCCTTCAGGCACATGGATCAATTAGGCTGTTCCCTGGCCTAAACTACATACCCAAATTGTTTTGCCTGGGGTGAGATGGAAGTTCTGTTGGGTGGGTAGCTGTATAATGTTCTGGATGTGGTGGGAAAATGTCACCCTCGTCAAAGTTAGCCGCACCATGTGTCTGGATTGGTGCAAAGATTGGCATCTTCCACCCTCTCTCTCTCAGAGCAGCTTTCTGAAATGAGATGTTGAAAAATGACAGATGGACCTTGCTCCCGTCGTCGCATCGCACGCCGGATAAGTTGCAGGCAAATACCCGAGTGAAACTCTAAAAAGAGGAAGAGCAAAATGCTTGGTGACGTCGCAAATGTTACGAGCCGATGGGGTGGAACGACATCCGGCATGATGAGAGGGCGCACAAATCTGTTACGAAACAGAAAAAAGGAGGCGGTATCGCATTTAATTGGTAGAAGCAGATGTCCGCCTACATGTATGTAGCAAGCTCGCGTCGAACTCGTTTCCCCCCTTTCCTTTTCAAGGCTATCAAGTCTTCGGCCAACCGATACCCTAACCGACGTCCAATAATATTCGTGTGTGTCCTGCGTAGAGTCACGGTTGCATATGACATTGAACACAGGCCAGTGCCTGGATTTGGCTTGCGACTAATTCAATTCTTCGGATCATGCAATCTGTCGGAGGATGAGGCGAAACGTACATGCGAGTACGACGACGGCTGTAACTCTGTTCAATCATCATCTCACGTGGTGAAAGACGTGAAGCGATTGACTGCATGGACCGTCCACGTGCCCTTGGGGCCTCGGATCGCTTGTCTAGACCAAACAAGCTCTAGAATGCCCTGCACTTCGGTAGCTCGGGAGAGGCTCGACGGTGACATTTGTTCCTGGCTTGCTTGTTGGGGGCAGAATGCTAGTAGAGTAGCAGTAGCACTATTCCTACCACTAGTATAGTGATAGCAACGACAAGCGTGACCATTTAGATGAAAATGAGATCCTTGTTGAGACCCAGGAGATCGGGGACACCGCAAGTTTGGTGTCCGATTGTTGGCACCTGTCGGGCAGTAGATGTGTCCGCATTGTCTGACCTTTGAGCTTCAAACTTGTGACGTGGACGGTCTGAGAATACGTAATGATGCGATGATGTGTTGCTGGCGATACACCAGTTAGGTGTTGCTGAAGCACACACGTGGGAAAAGGAAGAAGCCGTCGTTGAGCTCGGTAGCTCGGTAGCTCGAGGCAAACCCAGGCACCCTATTTTGAGTTTCAGGGAGTAATCATCGACCGTTTGCTTGTTTCCCACTTGCTCCCGTTGTGTTCCCGGCAGTGTCGGTGACGAGGATGCGGACGAGTAATTGAATAGAAAACGCATCGTGCACACCGGCAACTCCGGGGTGACTGGAAAGTGGTCTGGTTGCCCGGCAGTAGGCAAGTGTGAGTGCCTTCGATTTGCGTTCCAATTGGTGGCATGGCGTTACCGGTGAGCTCGCCTCGCACAAGCCATGTCACCAAATGCCGTCCATCATGGCAGAGGTAGGGCTGCATATTGCTTGCAATTTGGCATGATCGTTGGCCATCGACCGCGTACCCCCTAGCCCCTCGAGATTGAGATTGTCTGTTGCAACGATTGCTCGTACCGCAACCTAGACTCCGGGGAAGCCTTGACCAGGAACCCACTTAGTCAACCACTATGCTGTCGGTGAGAGAACAGGTCGTAGGCTGAACGGATGGCGTTTCCAACTGTTCCACGTGGGCTGTGGTGACGTCCATGCTTCTGGAAAACGACAAAAGACTGTGGAGATGAGGGAAACTGGCAGACCTCGTGCGCGTCATTGGAACTGCACTGAGTCATGGTGACAGTCTAACTGGCGCAAAGAGAGCTGCTCTGCTGAAAGAGCTCGCTCTTTTGTTGTACAGTAGAAACCGAAATAAGTGTCCGGTTTTCACTATAACGAAGGTCTTTCCGCACAGACCATCTATGTGGCGTAGTATGGCTTGTACGATGTATACGCCGAGACGCTGAGTATATGTATATCGTCATGTATACTGGGCCTAACATTATTAGTAAGAAATAACCAGACAGCAGGAGAGTATATGATAATTTATCCAATCTATAATACATTCACTATCAACCCAAATAAAGTCTTCGATAGTTCACCATGGGCCTCCACAAGCGCGTGGAATTCCTCGCTCAGCCATAACTTCTCAAGCTTACAGGCCGTGTATAGAGCAACAACCTTTCTTAGCGATTCTGGAACCAAAGTTTCATAGCAATAACGTATCAACGCCACTACATCAGTAATTCTTTCTTTATACAGCGTAAATCTTACCAAGGTTCCATGTAGCTCATTAAGTGAAAGATCCATTAGCCCTTTAACACCGTAGCACTCTGCAAAAACATAAACTCGTGCATGCAAGAGAAAATGATTTGTATAATCTTCATGCGCGTAGTTGCTTCTGACACGTGGGTTAAAGAGGCCAGTTGAACGAAACGCGCCAAAATTGGCAGAAGCTCGCTGATTTTGGAATTCGTTCCACTGAATCTCACGTTTTGTAAGATTTCTTGGAGGAGTCTCGTCTTTCTTAGTAGCCGTAGAACTAAATAAGCCTACAAGGGCTGGTGATGGCGGACTCGGTGGTGGTGGCTCGGGAGTGGCTTCGGATTCTGTCTTGAGTCCAATAATCGGAGGAGCAGCAGTATATCTCCCAGTATGCGCATACTGCCAAAAACAAATGAAGGTATCTTCATCCACAGATTTCCATTGAATACACTTTTCCGTAGATTCAGAGAAATTACCATTGACCAATTTCTCAAATACAGGGGACTGGTGTGCAAAGAGAGCAGTATACATGATAAATTCCCGCTGATTAGGGCCCACTAGAAATCGGAATGGGGGTGATGAGGCAATGCTACGTGTAGCTATTAGCCTTTGATATTCATATCCTAGATTACTTATACTTACATTTCTGCCGGTATGAAATTCATGGTGTGTATATGTAGAGATATTTTCACGTATGGGGTGTTTCTTATAGACTCACTGTATGGAAGTTGACTGTACCGTCGAGATGCTACTCCGCATTTTATATGGTAGCGTCTATAACAGCGGGGCTCCACTTGATTGGTATTTGCAAACGGTAAAACTAAATTCCAGAAGCACTCTATTAAACAAGCCTGTAGCATGTAGCTCGAGTAATTCATACCAACCTACATGTAGTATTACCTATTCATTACACTGTATAAGCTATAAGCCTTCATGGTACAACATGGTCTGTGCGGAAAGAGATACTATATTTCAGAAGCAGCGAATGCATTGAGCCTGGGAGACATGTTATCTCTGGTTGCGGGTCTGAGACTGCCGGGAATCAATCTGGAAACGCCAAATTGGCCGGGCCACACGCCGTTGGGCACCGGCGCAGCCAAGCCACAACCTCTTCTTGGTACTTCGCTTGTCCTGTCCCCGTATCCCTTGATATTCTCTCCTAGGTGTAGAGCAGCAGTAGTAGCACTGCTAAGTCTTTTTTGTTCCATTTCAGACCTATGATCATCGCTGTCTGATAAGTTCAGGCCTGAACATGACGACGGCTTGACGCATGATTTGACAAGACGTCGCCCTCCATAAGCAGCCGGGTATCGGGTTCGTATCACAAAGCGAGACCAGGGCACGACGGTCCCCGCCCAGATAGTAAACAAGCGGCTGTGGAAGAGATTCCGCGATCGCTAGTGCTTCCTAGCGGGCCTTGTCGCTGCTGAATGCTTTTGAGTTTGTGCCCTTTCTTTGACCGCATGGGATGCTCAGCTGGCGAGCCAAGCGAAGTGTCCATGTTCACTGTTTGTTCGCTGGCGGTTCGTGTAGCGCACAGCTGGTGCATGCGGCGGTGCCAATCATCGTACAGGGACATCGCACAGGGACGGCAGCAGGGCATCGGACGCCATGCTGTGCGACTTGCTGGCGCTCACCGATGCTTTATCTCTGCATTGGATGTGCGTGGAGGCTGCATCTTCTCCGCGCTGTGTTGCACAGTAAGGGAGGCCCCGCTATCAGGGCAGCGATAGGCAGGTCAGATACAGAACCTGATATCAGATAGAGCCGGCGCAGTGGTGCCCAAGGGCGGAAGTACATGTATGTACTTGTACAATTGATATTTAAATGAGCCGTGATGTGTATCTCCAATAGCAGAAAATGATAGCATAAACACCAGACATCTTAGATGCACCAGCTGTCTATTCAAAAACAAATCCAGCCGACATGTGCTGTCTCTCTTGTGGCTGCTGAGCTACGTGGTGCTGGAGGGATGGCGTTATCATGGCTCTTGTTGGCGACTCAGATAAGACAAACAGGCCTCACCCAAGACAATTGATGTCAAATTGCACCAATGTAAGCGATCAGCTTCGTCCGTGCATCCCGCAAAGCATGTAGCTTTATCTCTACGAATGAGTCCACCGTCTCCTGAATATTACACTGAATCTTACACGACAGACAGGCATCTTGGCTTACTGTACTGAAGCAAACTTACACAATCTCCCGCCAAACGTGGGCTGTTCTCTGGGCGTACATGTACTTCCATCTATATCAAGATGGGTGAAAATTGTAGCAGATATTGAACAGCTATCCTATTCTCCACATGTCATTGAATCACTTGTAGATCGCAAGTACTCATATTCGTGAGCATGAATCGATTCAGACATCAATGGAACAAACACCCCTTGTACGAGTGTCTATCCTCACACCGATAACAAAGCCAGACATCGACTGCCCCTGTAGCCATGCGCATTCGAACCACTAAGACCCCGCAAACGCGCCTTGTGCTTCAGCAGCCCCCCTCCCACTGACGGCGGCGCCCCGCCCCTGAAAACTCTTGCCTGCGGCTAGTCGCCGTCATGCAACCTCCAACGTGCTGCTGGGCCGTGGGGATGATTCGGCGGCAGCTGCTGTGCGCTGTTGTTAGGGGGGCGTGTCGGATCGCCAGCAGCGGTGCAGCAGCGCCGTTCAGGCGGCTCCTGTACCTGTACCCGCTCGCCCAGCGCCTGTAAGTTTAGCGGCCTCCAGCCATCGAGCCCCACCCGGCGGCGCTGCTTTGAGTTCCCCCCGTTTTCTTCTGCCAGCAAAACCTGGCGCTCGCTCCATTTTCCTCTCTGCAACCTCCAGAGCGTCTCACGCCCGACCATCCCTCCGAATCAATCCTCCCACGCAGACGCTCTGCCGCGCCAGATGTCCTCCCCATGTCCAGCTCGCCTTCACACGCCGAAAATGCCGCACCTGCTGCGCTGCTGAGCCCCCAGGCCCACGTCCGACCCGACCGCCAGGACCAGCGGCAGCCGCACCTCCAGCACGATGATGCAGAGAACCCCCCGGCCCTGGGCTGCGCGATCCAAGCAGACGGGAGCGCCTCTGCCCCTGTTTCTGCCTCTGCTTCTGCCTCTGACGCTGCTTCTGCGTCCGTCTCCTCTGCTGCCGCACCTCATATAAAGCCTGCTGCCCCTAGCGGCACCGCCCGCCAGCGTCAACAGATGGGCCCTTCCCTGCTTTCCCAAGCCTTGGCATCTGCTCGAGGCATCTTGCGGACCAACTCGACGCCCAATACGAGCACCACTTCGTCACAGACACAATCACAGACGCAGACAGACAAATCGACAAGACCCACGCCGGTCTCTGCCTCTTCTGCCTCAGCAGTTGATCAGTTGCCCTCAAGACCGATTCGGTCGTCGCCCGCCACTCCTTGGACAGAATCTCGAGATGCATCAGACTACATCGACCACGACGGCGCCCTGACGCGGAACGCATCGCAGCCCAAGACAATGGCGACCACAACGACGACAGCTACCACCACCACAACAATTCCCATCGCCTCTACTGCCCCCGGACGAGACCGTGCCATTCCATCCTCGTCGTTCAAATCGGACAACCTTTTGAGCCACGCAAAAGACATGCTTTTAGAACACCGTGAATTTCTAGACCGGACCCGAGGGAGAGCGTCGCTGGAGCACGACTCCATATCACCAAAGCTACAGCAGCACCATCAACCATTGCCTCATTCATCACACTACAACAACTCGGTATCGCCTACCAATGGCAGCTATACCAGCGCTGCTTTGTCTACCGGAGTCTCCACCGACGCCGGAGACGAGAGTGCTGTATCACAAGACTCACGTCAGGAACGACACAAAACGCTTGATACCTCCGAGAAGACGGAAAAGATATGGTCCATTGGCTCTGGCGACGGCAGTGAAGAGGATGGCTTGGTAGAGCAGTCAGTCGCTGAAGCCATTGCCGGCGTTGAGCACAATGCACGAAGCCGAAAGTCGAGCTACAGCTTGCGATTCTTCAAAGAGGGCCTTCCTCCGGAGGATAAGGCTCGCCGTAAGGATGGCAAGACCTCCCACCGCGACAAACATGTGCCGACAATAGACGAGGAGGCCACTTTAACCGAAGAGTTGCCGCAAAAGTCTTCCAAGACGTCACCAGCCGCAGACTCGCGCGTGCAGCCAGCACGAGCGGAATCCTTCTCATCCCGCGCCTCTGATGCGCGGCCTACTCTTACCTCACCGAAAGAAGCAACCAGCTCAACCCTGCCGCAAGCTGAAGAAACTGGTGGCGAAAGCGCCATCACACAGAAATCATCGGTAGATCATCATGAGGCCAAGCTGGAGCCACCGATTGGAATCCAGGTGGGGCCGGAGGCGGTCCAAGACACCGCAGTGGAGAAGCCGCCGATGTCACATGATGCTTCCGAGGTCGGCAATTTTCAAGACATTGCCGGCGACAAGGATGCGGGCGCCGAGGCCGACTCCAGTGCCAAGGTTAATGTCAAAACCTCGGATACCGACCATGCCAACGGCCACATTCACGAATATGCCACTGCTCATGTCAACGGCAACGCCAATGACGCCCACTTTGATGCCGAATCTGACCCAGAGGCAGACGCCGAAGGTGATGGAGAAGCAGACGAGTCTGGAGAGGAGAAGATTGCGTCGGCGGTTTTCCTGCCTCATCAGGAGCTGGATGAAAGCCGCGCAAGCGTGAGCGAGGGTAATGATAGTGATGCGATTCGGCGGCCCAGATCGCATTCGCTGAGTAAAAACCATCCCTGGCTGGTCAAGGCCGATGAGCCTGAGCCAGAGGTGGAGATGGAGGAGGAGGAGAAAAAGGAGGACAGTTCCTATCAGGTGTCGCATGTTGCATCCCGTGAGAACCTTGCCTCCCGCCGTGGAGAGATTCTCCCGCTGGAAATCCAGGTTCCGTCCGAAGCTGTCGTGGACGAGACCGAAGTGAACCAAGTTACCCCTACTAAGCCCCGAGCCGTGACCCACTATGAAGACCATGTGCATGACCACCAGCATCAAGCACGCCGACCGCTAGAAGCCATTGAGCTGATCCCATACAAGCACCAAGTTGGTGGCCACAATACCCTGTGGCGATTCTCTCGCCGAGCCGTCTGTAAGCAGCTCAGCAACCGAGAAAACGAGTTTTATGAGACCATTGAGAGATATCACCGTGATTTGCTGCCATTCCTCCCCCGGTACGTTACTAATAAAATTCCCCGGTCTATAATCTCCATGTCCGGCATCCCTATGTTTCTCCAGCCACCCTCCCCCTTTTCCCCTCCTTCTGCATTGAATCTGTGGTTATTTTGCCCCTCTTTTTCAAAAATGTGAATTGTAACTTGAGATGCTAATTTCATCACTTTTTAGGTACATTGGAGTGTTGAACGTAACATTTCAGAGAAAGCCTCGGAGGAAGAGCACCGTTAGAAAAGATGAGACGGCTGATAAACGCAATCCCGACTCGAATGGTAACGGCGATGCTGAACAGACTCCATCCACCCCTGCGCGCGTCATCAGCCAATCACTTGCCAGCTCCAATGCCACCATCCCTACCGTGACTTTTGACGATAATTGGCACATCCTCCCTCGCAACCTTCTCCAGCCGACACCTGAATTAGACACGCCGCACCGCCGGAGCACGTCTCTTTCCAAGATATCTTCAGGAGCGCCGATTGCGTCTCAGCACCCCGTGCGGCCTCATATGGAAGAGCGCCCCAATAGCTGGGGAGCTACGACGGTGAACAAGCGATTGCGGAACGAAGTGTTCAATGATGCATTCCTTAAGCAACCAATTGCGGTTCAAAAGCATCGACGCCCGTATCAGCGAGCTGTTCCTTTGCCAACTCTTCAGCGATTGCTCCGAACAAGCAATTCAGATCCGAATCTAGCCAAAGCCCCTGAGACTCCTGCGAAGAACGAGGAACCTCAAAGGGCCACGCCTATTCCAGTAAAGCCGTTGACGCCACTTGTGCAGCAGATGAGCGATCCCGAGTCCCAAGCTGGCCACTTCGCAGTCGAACGAGAGGCCCCTGTTGAAGTCAAGGATGTTACGGGCACTAGTGCTCCCGAACCAGAGACATTAACGGCCAACCTGACAGCAAAGAAAAAGCGACGGTACTCTGGAAGTGGACTTCGGCGCAAACCGCAGGACGTACGCGACTCACGGGGAGATTTAAAGTACTATGAAGAGGCCGATGGTATGGAGTACAAGCGCGAGGGAGACGACAAGAACACTTCACTAGAAATACCAAACAAGGACACCACGGCTGCCATCGGACTTGGCACGGAAGAGGTGATTTCTGATGCTCCTGTCCTTGCTCAGGAGCCTGATGCTATGGACGACTCGGCAATGGTTGCAGACGCTGTACCACATCCGGATGTAGAGTTTGGACCAGTTGTTCGACCAAACAACCCCAAAGAAGCAAAATCTCAGCGCGACAGAGTAGAGTACTTTTTGCTACTGGAAGACCTCACGGCAGGCATGAAGCGACCTTGTATGATGGATCTCAAGATGGGGACTCGCCAGTACGGTGTTGAAGCTTCTCCCAGCAAACAAAAGTCCCAGCAAGAAAAATGTAGGAAGACGACGTCGGCGGAGCTTGGAGTGCGGATTTGCGGGCTGCAAGTCTGGAATTCCAAGACTCAAACGTACGATTTCCAAGACAAGTACTTTGGCCGAAAGGTGAAAGCTGGCACTGAGTTTCAGGCTGCCCTCACCAAGTTTCTCTACAACGGCGTTGATTTGCACTCTATTCTTCACCATATTCCAATTATATTGCGAAAGCTTTCACAGCTAGAGCAAATTGTAAGCGAATTGCGCGGCTACCGCTTCTATGCTGCGAGTCTCCTCATGTTTTACGACGGCGATGCCGCAGACGAGAACGGGGGATACGAGACAGCGTACGAGTCCATGACAGATGCAGCGACGGATACCGAAGAGGCGGCGATCAGGAAGAAGAAGAATAAGCGCGAGATTGATTTCAAGATTGCAGACTTTGCCAACAGCCTCACTCCGCTGGACAAGGTCGATGACAAGCCCTGCCCACCGCAGCACCCCAATCAACCTGACCCTGGCTTTCTCAAGGGCCTCCGGAGTTTGAAGAAGTATTTTTTGCAGATCCAGCGAGACACCAGAGCCGAGCTGGGGCTTGATCCTCGCGGATGGAACTCCGGCCAAGGAGGTGATTCAATGATGTCCATTACCGACGAAGAAGACGAGGGGATGATGAGTGTATAATCTGTCCCATACAGAGGATCTGGCCGCTTGCAGCGATGCCTCTATTCGACACCTTTCTGTCTTTTCATACTTTTCATTCCGGCTTTGCTTTTTACTTTTCCATTGTCTCTTTTGATGCCACTACGACATGCTGTTTACGATTTTCATTTCTTTTACAATGGATACCAGACCAAGCGTAATAGCGGGATGAGCTGTCAAGGCTTATCAACGACTTAAGCTTGAGCGAATGACGACGACCTATGAAGCTTTCTTGTAATGCTAGCATGCTATTTGAGAATTTCCTTTTCTTTCTCTTTTTATACCTTGTCGTCATAAGGCTGGTTTCATCTTTAAAAACCCATTCGGATAGTATTCACGGCCAGGTGGCCAAGGAAAAGGAAAACATTACTCATTCATTTACGGATTTGAGCGAAGCATCTCTCAGTTCCGTATCATAAACGCTGTTTAACAGACACTTGTCTGTTCAGCGTTTGGATTACGTTGTTTTTACTATCAGCACTTTCCCCTTTCTCTTTTTTCCTTATTTGTATTAACTGTGGTTTTTTTCCTTTTCTTTCTTGGCGGACTGGCGGATGGACGGAACGGTATGAGGCGAATACTAGGGGCGTAGGTTCCTTTTGCTTTTTGCTTTTCTATGCCAATTTTTAATGTGTGTTTTGTGTCTGGATTGGAACGAGATTGATACTTTAGAGCGTTAGATAAAAAAAATTGAATTCAATGAATGTATTTGAGATTTTGAAAAGTGATCGATGGTGCATTGGTTGGCGGCTCAAGGAGCAGATGCGGAGATTCGGAGCATCGGCTGTCCGACCGCTTTTATGAGCCGAATTAGAACCAGCATCACTAACGATGTTTGAGCGATACAGTGCATGTGAGAAGTACAACTCTAGGACTGTCTGTTTGGTTATCCCTAAACTAGCACTTTCACTATTATTAACTTGATAACTCAACTTATCAGAAAAGTAGAAGATATAAAAAAAAGATTCAGCAATGGGCGCCGTCATTTCCTATCTCCAAGGCGGCATCACAACCATCACAAGCGTTATCCGCACGCTCTCAGCCCTCAACGCAAAATACCAATCCCTCCTCCAGCGAATCCACACCGGGCCATTTACGCCCGTTGAAAATCCCACGGTTTCATATTGGATGCAGAAGCCGCCGTTTCCAAAAATATGCAACATTCAAGGCGATTTGCCAGAGGAGGCGGATGTGGTTATTGTTGGGAGCGGGATTACGGGTGCTGCTGCTGCGAGGACGGTGCTTGAGCTGTCATCTGCTTCTAAAACCGGGCTCAAAGTAGTGGTTCTAGAAGCAAGACAATTATGTAGCGGCGCAACGGCTCGAAATGGTGGACACATTAAATGTGCGCCTCATGAGGAGTTTGCGCGGCTGAGGAGGACGCTGGGGGAGGAGAAGGCGAAGAAGGTTGTGAGAATGGAGATGCGGCATTTGGATGTTTTGAAGGGGGTTGGTGAGGAGGTGGGGTTTGGGGAGGTGAGGGAGGTTGAGACGGTGGATGTTTGTCTTGATGGGGAGGTGTTTGGGAAGTTGAAGAGGAGTGTGAGTGAGTTGAGGGAGTGGATGCCCGAGTTTGAGGTTTGTGTTTGGGAGAAGGATGAGGCGAGGGAGAAGGTGAGTTGTTGTGACTCTGAATAATAGAGGTTTGAGAAGAGAGATACTGACTTTTATAGTTTGGGGTGAATCGGCATGTTGTTGGAGCCATCTCTTACACAGCGGGTGCTCTATGGCCGTACCGTCTCGTTACAAGCACATGGAACGACTTGATCAAGCGGTATCCCAACCTCGTCATCAGCACACACACTCCAGTCTCATCAATCACGTCAAACAACGATGCCACGACGCCATATGTAGTCCACACTTCACGCGGCCCTCTCCGCGCAAAACACGTTCTCCACGCTACAAACGGCTACACAGGCCATCTCAATCCCGCCCTAAGAGGCTGTCTAACAGGCGTCATTGGCCACATGACGGCTCAAAGCCCCGGAAGCAGATTTGAGCGGGCGTGTCATGGTGGGAGGTCGTGGTCTGTTATATACGGCAATGGATTTGATTATGTGACGCAGCGACCTGATGGGGATGATGGGTCTGCGGGCGATTTGATGCTGGGAGGGGGCTTGTTTAGGAGTAAAGATGAGGGATTGGACCAGATTGGCGTTTGGGATGATGGGAGAATGGATGCGTTTCCGCTGATGCATTTGAGGGGGAGCATGGCGACGGTGTTTGAGCCGAGATGGGGTGTTGGGGGGGAGTTGAAGGGGGCGTGGACGGGGATTATGGGATTTACAGGTGATATGCTCCCTTTTGTGGGGGGTTTGCCCTCGAAGTTGGATGTATCGAGGAAGACGGCACGAGGGGGCTGTGGAGAGGGGGCTTCTGGGCAGTGGCTGGCTGCTGGGTTTAACGGAGAGGGCATGGTGTGGGCTTGGCTGAGCGGCGTGGCGGTGGCTGTTATGATGTTGGGCTTGGAGGAGCAGGATTTAAAAGAGGCTGTGGGACGGCCTGGAGGGAGGCTGGATGAGTGGTATCCGGTAGAGGAGGTTAAAGTTGATAAGGCGAGGCTGAGGAGGGCGGATTTGACGAATTTGGCTGGTGAGGTTTGATAAAAGAAGACTCGAAATGAAACAAGAGGATATATGTATATTTATATTAAATGTCTATAACTGCATCTTTACAGCTTCGCCTTCTCCTTCCGCCACTGCTCAACCCACACCTTTCCAAACTCCTTCCTCTCCGCCTCCTTTCTCATATCCTCCTTGAACCTTGCCTCCTCCACCTCCAACCCCGCGCCACTTAGCTCCTTGACCAGATCCTTATAAATCTCCCTCTTAATCGTCCCGTACACGCCCTTCTTCGGCTTCTCCAGCAACTGTTTCTCTGCCACAAACTTGAGCGCGTCCTCCAATCCTCCCGGGGCCAACGCATCCGCGATGCCCTCGTCCACTGCCTCTTGGCCTGTGAAGCGGTGGCCCTCGAGGGCGACTTTGCGGAAGAGTGCGTTGGAGGGCAGTTTTGCGCGGAAGAGGGACGCCATGGCGGGCTGGAGGTGCGCGCCGAAGAGGACCTCGTTGAGGCAGATGAAGCCTTTGGGGGAGGGGGCGAGGCGGTAGTCGTGGGCCATGGCGAGCATGAGGCCGCCGGCGTAGGTGTGGCCGTTCATAAGAGCGACGGTGGGCATGGGGAAGCTGTGATTGTTAGCTGGTGATGATGATGATAACGATGATGAGGGTTGACTTGCGTTATCAGACGCTGCCAGACAGAGTAGAACAAGGCCCAGAAGCCCTCCGTCTCAATGGCATGCTGCAGATCCAGCCCATTGCTGTAGAATTTGGCGATGCCGCTGGTGGTGATGAGCACTCCCGGGGGGTGGCCGCCAAACTCGAGGAGATCGAGGGCTGCGAGGAGGGCTTTACAGACGGTGGTGGTGAGGCGGTTGTCGGGGGGTGAGATGAAGGTGAGCAGGTAGACGGCCGGCGAGGGCTCGGTGACGGTGATGGAGCCGCCGGGATGGGGGCCGGAAGGGGCGATGGGCACGGTGAAGAGGGTTTTTGACATTGTGACGAGAGTATAGTTTTAATTAATGAGAAGAGAAAGTGAAGTTGTAAAAGATGAGTGAGATGGAAAGGCTTATGGGTATGGAGGATTATGGGTGGTTGAGTGAGGCTAGGCTCTCATCTACCTCGGCATTTTTCTGAGGTATGGAGAAGGGCGATGACATCCCGAGCTCCTAAAATGCTTGCACTAATACAACCAATCAAAGTATATTTAAGTGTAGTTATGAGCCCTTGACCTATAATTGATTTACCAAGGCATCAGCTGCGATTATTAAACACCGAACCCGAGCATCTCCATATCGCTTGTTGCTATTGAAGCAGTACATCCCCGGCATGTCGTCACATGTGATACCCGCGCCGCGTTCTAGCTCTAAACTCGCACCACCAGGCAGCTCCCTGTACTTGCTCTCCAAGTACCGCGTCTTCCGTCCCTTTTAATTCCCGACTGCTGCAACTGGCATGCGCCACTAAGCTTCTTCCAGCCTAGGCCAATCTACCCCACAATGTAGCTTCATTCAAGCTCCAACGTGCTCCAACTCCAAGTGGCATCTTTTTTCAACACCAGACACTCTTTTCATTCGCCATGTCTTTACAAGCAGACGCGCAGCCTGCTCCAGACGGCACAATCGTCTTCTTCCATCCGGACTTGGGCATTGGCGGCGCGGAGCGGCTGGTTGTCGATGCGGCGGTTGGGCTGCAGCAGCGCGGACACCACGTTGTCATCTTTACGAATCATTGCGATCGCAACCACTGCTTTGACGAGTGTCGCGATGGTGAGTAAAAGAACGCCTTTGTATAAATATTGACAGTAGCCAACTAATTGATGCTCAGGCACCCTCGATGTCCGCGTTCACGGCGAATGGCCCATCCCCATGTCCATCTTCAACCGCCTCACCATCGTCTGCGCCATCCTGCGCCATCTCCAGCTCCTCATACAGATCGCGCTCTCCGGCGAATTGAAAGCTCTTAAACCCCGCGCCTTTGTCGTCGACCAACTATCCGCCGGTCTTCCGCTCTTACGATATATCGCTCCCGATGCGCCGATCCTGTTTTACTGCCACTTTCCAGACTTGTTGCTCGCGCAGGGACGCCAATCAGCCCTGAAGCGACTCTATCGACTGCCTTTTGACTGGATCGAAGAGTGGTCCATGGGGTTTGCGCAGGCTGTTGCTGTCAACTCTGAGTTTACAAAGGGCGTTGTTGCGAGGACGTGGCCGCGGTTGAAGGAAAAGGTGGACACCAAGGTGGTATACCCATGCGTGGACACAACGGTTAAAGAGGATAACTCGTCTGCAAGTGATGAAGTATTGCTTGGTGGCAACCACAAGGTGATTCTCAGCATCAATCGGTTTGAGCGGAAAAAGGATATTGGACTAGCTGTCAAGGCGTTTGCTGCCATCTCTGAGGATTTGCGCCGCGGAGTGCGTCTTGTTCTAGCAGGTAAGCTATATGTTACACCTTCTTATTCTTTGGTTTTACACATGATACTTACCAGGTTTCAGGTGGCTACGATCCCCGAGTTGCCGAAAACGTCGAATATCACACCGAGCTCGAAGCTCTCGCCTCCTCCCACTCCCTCAAACACCACACCGTCACATCTTTCGACACCACCTCTCTATCCTCCATTCCCAGCGATGCCTCCGTCCTCTTCCTCCTCTCTATACCAAACTCTATCAAAACTTCACTTTTGCGTGTAGCTCGACTCCTAGTCTACACACCTTCCAACGAGCATTTTGGAATTGTGCCCCTCGAGGCTATGCTTGCCCGCGTGCCTGTCCTCGCCGCCAACACGGGCGGTCCCGTTGAGACAATACAGAACATGAAGACTGGCTGGCTGCGCGATCCGGAAGATATCGGCGCGTGGTCGAGTGTCATGCTCAGCGTGCTGAGAATGCCTGATCAGGATGTTCAGCGGATGGGTACTGATGGTGAAGAGCGTGTGCGGTCTCTTTTTGGACGTGATAACATGGCTCTGCGGCTTGAGACGTCCATAAATGAGATTCTTTCTCAGAAGCATGCCCGGCCATCTTTGTTAGTGCCAATTGGCATAGTAATTTCTCTTTTATTAGCAGTATTGGCGATTTATGTCCAGATCTCATGAATAACCTACATCTTTTGTTTTCGCTTCATGTATATAAGTTTCACAACTACGGCTACCACTCAGAAAGATAAAAATAGACCAATAGCATAAACCAAAGAAGTATCTACTTCTAGTCTAACTTCTCACGTTAAAAGCAGCACTACCGCTCCACTACTTGTGTCGTTTATGAAATCTTGTAAAATATATTTTCAGCATATCTCTATGTTAAAGCTGACAAGAAGCCACTAAACAGCATCGGGGGCTCCGTTTTTCAAAAGGAAAATAATTTAGAGAATCTTGAGGTTAGACTACAGACATTCATATATTACCTAGCACTAAGAAAACAAATCAACACTGAGAAAAAAGAAAGCAAACAAATATTAAGAAAAGAGAAAAACAGACAAACCTCGAAAAAAAAAGGAAAGCAAGCAAACATTAAGAGAGTAGAAACAAATAAACATGAAGAAAAAAAAAGCAAATAAACATTATGCTTAATGGACTAGATTTCCATTTCTATAGATTCTTCAAACTCTTCCTCAAAACCCTCCTAGTATTTCTATAAACAATCAGAGCAATGTAAAAATAAAATTCAAGTAAATCTACTTACCGCTGTAAGGTAATTTATAAAGAGAGAGGTTACCCAGTACCATAATTCTGTTATCCAGCCCTCTAGCTTAAGCGTGAGCTGCTGCCAGTATTATTGCTACTGCTACTACTACTGCTGCTATTACTGCTGCTACTGCTGCTACTACTGCTGCTATTTATAATATATTAACGGTATTTAGTAGTTATATACATGCAGTTTGATATGTGGAATGGCCGCTTTGTTGCTTACAGCTGGGGTGTTGGATAATGAGATTGGGATGCTGAATAACGTCTCCCTTTATAAGTGAAAGACAGCCAGCAGTGCCATTTATATCGTGGAGATAAAGTAAAGCAACAGTATAGTGAAACCCGTTTATAGCGAATTGCGAGATACTGTCCTCTGGAAGTCCGAGTGGTATTTCTTTGCTGTACATACTGCAAACTATGCCTGCTGATAGTTCTCACGTAACTGCTCTAGATAAGATCTCCTTCAGGATCTTCTGTAGTCTCTGGTTGTGCGTTGTGACTGGTTATTTGGTCCTCAGCTTGTCCATATCGCTCTGTGTCTTCCAATAGTTCAGGGAGCTCGGGCAATTCCCATCTCTTGCCAAAGGGATTTTCGGGATCACCAGAAAAGTCGGCCAGACTGTCCGCCTTGTTGGAAACGCTGACATCCCTTGTCATGAGCCCGCACGACTCGGTCAGCTTGTCCCACACCTTCTTCAAATCTTTCTTGGCTTGTTCATTCGTAGCCGCCTGGGCAGCCGCCATTTCTTTTTTGGACTTTGCCAATTCATCAAGAGACCGGAGAAATGCCGGATCCACCCTACGCGTCTCATAGTCATCAAAGATTGTCTTTGACATTACCAAGGGCTTATTCAACGACGATTTTAGATGGGCTTTCGCCCAAGTTGCGATCACTTTCCAGACCGAGCCTTCCGGGGGTTCAGTCCACGTATCCGTCAGTTTCCTTAAAACTTTCTCAACATCTTCATTAATACCAATTAGTATTATAATATCTCTTTTATTAGCAGTATTAGCGGTGTATATCTATATTTCATAAATAGCCTATATTTTTATTTTTCCTTTATATATATAAGTTTTATAACTATAGCTATTACTTAGAAAGATAAAAAAGAGTATTTTGTATATTTGTATACCCAAATAGCATAAAATAAAGAAGTAAGAATTTACTTCTAGCCCAGCCTCGTTCTACGTTAACAGCAACACTATCTCTCCACTGCTTGTGTCGTTTATTACATCCTGTAAAATATATTTTCAGCATATGTAGTGTCCTATCTAGTTCCATGTACCCAGCGTAGCGCACATATCCATCCCTTGAATCTTTCTCATATTTGGGGGCGGCATCATAACCTCTCAATACTAAAAGATATATTTTCCACTTGACTACTATTGTCCGTAACGGTTTCAATTTCCTTCTCCGCGAGTTCGGCTGAACGGCTTTCTGTTGCTTCAGCCGCAAACTTTTCCTAATAGCATGGGCTGGTAACGAACTCATGCACTATTGATACATCCCAAAGTAATATTTCATGTCCTATTCTTGCTGCTATCAACTTCCAGTCATGTGAGAAGGCCAGCTGATTACCGTCAGCCTTGAGCGAGTACAGGCAATTGCCAGTTGTGCTATCCCAGAGCTTGATGATTCCATCGGACGACCCTGATGCTAATAATTTCGAGTCGTGCGAGAAGGCAATTGATCCAAAATAACCCTTACGGCCTTGAAATGTGCGTAGGCATTCGCCAGTTGCGGTATCCCAGAGCTTGATGGTTCTATCGTATGACCCTGATGCTAGTAATTTTGAGTCATGCGAGAAGGCAACTGAAGTAACAGCATCATCATGGCCTTGAAATGTGCGTATGCACTCGCCAGTTGCGGTATCCCAGAGCTGGATGGTATGATCGTAAGACCCTGATGCTAGTATTTTTGAGTCATGCGAGAAGGCAACTGAGACGACATGTCCCTTATGGCCTTGAAATGTGCATATGCACTCGCCAGTTGCGGTTTCCCAGAGCTTGGTGGTTCTATCGTATGACCCTGATGCTAGTATTTTTGAGTCATGCGAGAAGACAACTGATATAATACAATGCGTATGGCCTTGAAATGTGCGTAGACATTCGCCAGTTGTGCTATCCCAGAGCTTGATGGTATGATCGTAAGACCCTGATGCTAGTATTTTTGAGTCATGCGAGAAGGCAACTGAGACGACATGTCCCTTATGGCCTTGAAATGTGCATATGCACTCGCCAGTTGTGCTATCCCAGAGCATAACAGTACTATCAGCGGACCCTGACAAGATTAACTCTGAGTCATGAGAGAAAGCTACTGAAATAATATCGTCGCTGTGGCCCCGGAGTTTGCGTAAACAGGCAGGCTTGTCCTCCCGGAGCATCAGTCGCACTATATCGCGGTATCCTCCATCCAAGGCCCAACGAAGTGGCGTCAGACCATGATTGTCTTTCGAACGAACGTCGACCCTGTTCGTGTCGAGCAGCTGCTTGACAACATCAAGATGACCATGCATGATTGCCCAGGCGAGTGGGGTCCGTCCAAAAATGCCATCTTTATGCTCAAGCTCAGTCTGGTCAGTATCGAGGAGCAAACGAATTTCATTGACATCGCCTTTTATTGAAGCTGTAATAAAACGCATCCATGGCTTGTCTTCATATATAATATCGGTGGTCACGTCGAATAGTAGATCCATCATATCAATGTCGTCAAGCTCAACAGCTTCATGAAACGGTGTCCTGCCATCTTCACAGCCTTTGGCATGGTAGAAATCTTTCAGTCGCTTCTGTACATCTACCAATTGTCGTGCATTTTCAGGTTGTCGCTTCCTTATATCTCCCTGCTCCTCCTCCAAACGCCGCATTTCTTGAATCTTAACTTGTTCTTCTTCAACAAGCAGGCTCTTTTTTGCTTCCAGTCGTTTAACTTCGTTCTCTACACTCTCTCTTTCTTCCTCTATGTCTCCCAAGCGACTCTTGCATTCTTCAACTCTTTGGCTCAGCTCCCTCATGTCCGCCTCGTTTTTCTTCCTTTCCCGCAGCAGTCTTGTTGACTCCAGCATTGTGGTCAAGTTTTCCAAAGCCATTGTCGCGTTAATTGTATAGCGTGGCGGACTAGCCATTGCTTTAGGGGTGATGGAGATTATGTTTCCTTCCATAGGCTTAAATTTAATACGCAGATTGAGAGATTCGTTACTCGCACTTGTCCCTTTAAATACCTCCAGCGCCTCTCGCTGAAACTTTCCGGCTATCTCATCCAACTCAGTGTCTCTGTGGCATGTAAACAAGCAACACAATTGATCTAAGCGAGAATCAGGCTGCTGAACATCCATCACTATTACAAAATCAAGAAACTGTTCCTTGCTTTGACTAACTCGAATTAATATTTGATCAGTACTTGTCTGCGAAATCAGAGACAGCTGATTATCCCAACAAGCCCGAGGGATCACATCAATGACTTCCAGCCCAATTTTAGCAAATAAATCCACATCATAGAACAGAAACTGTTGATTCTTTGTCAATATCTGCTTTTGGCCATCTTTTTTAATGTGAATAAGCTCGCGTGTAGCATCAGACGTAGGTACCGGTTGAAGTACTGAAGGGTACCCCCTTGGTCTCACATATTCGTTCGCCACCGCCGAGTTTATTTTTGCGAGAGGGATCGCAGCGACTTGCTTTGCATTGGATTTAGGGCCACAGCTGAGCAATCCAAAAGTTCTGCCAGTATCACTCGTAGCCAACGGCAAGAAAATTCTAAGACTACCCCCAAAGATATCTAGCGAGTGCAGAGGGTTGGTGGCTTGTTCGCGGGCGACGATTTGCCCGGAATTTGCAAAATCTGACGGAGTAGCTGCTAATATGTCTCCATAAATGAACTTATTTTCATCCATGAATTGTTGAGGGTTGATTGTAGACGATTTGTGCATGAAGCCCCATGCTAGGATAGAGTCATCTCTCGTCGACTTCATAATATGCTCTTGCAGCCGAAAGAAGGCCTCTCTGCCACCCTCGCCATAAATCATTGGCATTGTTATGCCAAATATCCCCAGCAAACAATATGCAAGATCTTCAGCTCTTCCAGTTTTCCTTTGCGCAGCCCAGGACATGCGCTGTGCAACGCTTGCAGTGTGCAATTCGGCAACGCCTAGTAAGAATTGACGCGGCACAGAAGTGATTTTCTGGATGACAGTGCATTTATTCCCCTTGTTGCCTATAAGATGCCATTCTAAGTTATAGAATCGTACATGTTTAGGCGCAAGAAGCTCTTGTAACGTCCATCCTCTGGTGAACCACCGACTTGACCGAAATTTAGATTCAGGAGCGGAGGCATCATCGTCATCTGGGACGTCGGATAAGTAGGCGTAACAGACATTTGCGAGGCTATACCATCGGAACATGGAATTGATGGCTTCGCCAAGCTCGACCATATTGGTTTTGTCAATACAGCAAGTATCAATCCAAGCGTAACCAAGTGAATCTTTTTGGGCCTGTCGACAGCATTCTCGGAACTTGGTCAATCCGAGACTTTCCTTTTCGTCGGGTGCCTTGCTTATTCCCTTTTGGACATCAGAAAAGGTGAGCTCTTCGGAGTCAGGGCCCCAAGTGTGCGACAGAATCGCATATGGGGGGACCTCATCGTCCGAAAAAACCTTGAGCTTAAATGTTTCAGTATTGATCAAACGCATGATGAAAGTAGGAGTAATTTGATTTGTAGACAATGATTTCGTCTAGTATCGTGTATCGTATCGTTTTATACGCTCGGGTAATTAGAGGACGTGTAGAACGCGGAGCTGAGTTGAAACATGTTGCAATATATTGGATTGGGCCGCCATGATGCGAGAAAAAGGCGCACGACGGGCTTTCACTTTAACACGACAGTGCGGGGAAGAACATCGAAACCTAGATAGATAAGTATTGATAGACGTTCATTGGAAGAAAATGAATCAATCCCTTTTTGTCGAGTAAGGCATGCAGACAGGGTAGTATGTATCTTAGAGCAGGCGACCAATTACAAGCGTTTATCCAGCTTGCCTGGTAGCGAAAAACTACGCCAAGTCTCAGCAGAGCATCGATTGGCAGTGATGGCCGAAGCATCAAAGCAAGAAGACAAGGGAAGATATAATGAAGACGATGAGAAAGGGAAATCAACGCTTGTTCGCTTGAACACGCACGTGTGTGTACATGACAATGTACATGCACTCGTGCTTGCCTTCTAAAACACCATATTATTGTTGATGCCCGGCAGCCTCACAACGATCAGAGCGGTAAATGGCCTGAAACCATCATCACAAATTCGTACACAGCGAGCAAAAAGCAAGATCTAGAGTATAAGACAAAAAACGCATTCACATTACGCAACTAGCTACCAACGTCCCACCAAATCATTCTATAGCATTGCATTCGCCCATAAAAGCATATCGGGCAAATCCCATTCCTAACACTGCCCTACCCCCTCACGACCTAAAAAACAACAAACAAAAAAACGCCCCCATTATCCCAATACTCCATAAACCACAAACCTCCCGAAAAAGAAAACCTCAATCTCATACGTAACTGAAGTACCTGTAGTCCAATCAAGACAAAATGTGAAAAGACCAGTGAAAACGACAAGTAAAAGAAATAAGAGAAAAGAAAAATAGAAAATGAGAAGAAAAGTCGGTAAAAAGAAGATTAAGAGACCCCACGAAGAGAGATTCATTCTACTTCAGTCCTTCAAAAGAAAAGTACCAGTTGTTGTTGTTTTTGGTTGATATTTCAAGTCGGCAAGCAAACGAATAAACAAACAAATTAACCTCCAATGCAATGCAAAATAGCACAACGCCTCCCCATCCCAAAATTTAACCCCGGTTCCTCCTTCCCTTTCCTCCTCTTTCCAGTATTCAAGTAAAGGGGTATGCGACAATAAAGGAAAACACCAAAAATGTCCGGTAATCCGTCCCTTTTGAATAATGATGCAGATGATAATAATAATAATAATATGATGATGATGAAAAGATAGATAATGCCATCTTTGATTCATCCCCACACTCGTGTGTAGGTGTTCCAGCCATGCCAAGCGCTTGTACAAGTCCTCTTTCTGTCCGGTAATTATAAATGTATATATATTTCGCTTAAAGAAGAATGTCCACATGAAATACAAAAAAGAAGAACCGAACAGCGCTGTGGCCGACCCACCCAAAGTAATAAAGTTCCAGGTATGCCTTAGTTTCATGATCTTGGAGAGATGTCGACTCTCCTAGCAGTCTCATCACTTGCCGTGCTCATGTTTGTATCGCGTCGCCTAGCCTCAAAGGGCCGATGTCTGGTAGTAACTGGTGGCCGCTTCTTAGGCTTGGCCATCACTAAAAGTCCCTCATCGCTATCATCATCCTCTTCCTCCTCTTTGTGAGGATGGCTTGTCGGTGCCGGTGGACGCGTGTCATCAGTGCTCACTCGCAGCGGAACGCCTTCCATGGATGTATTGTTATCAAAGACTTGGTCAAGAGGAAAGCCATTAACCGGCTCCTTTGGCAGGGCGGGAGGAGTGAGCGAATCCTTGGTATCTAGAAATGCGCCTTGCGGGCCTACCGTACCTGGTCTCAGCAATAGCTCTCCTTCTAAATCTGCTGAAACAGAACTGGCACCGCTGAGAAGGGCAGGTAGCGATGGATCAGACTGAAAGGCGAGCATTCGATGGGGTGCATTCGTCGCTTGTGGGCAAGCAACCACGGGGCTAGCAGTTTCGCTTGGGCTAGTCAGCGGCGTCCCAAGATGATCCATGGACTCCGTGCTCGATGTCTTGGCGATTTCTATAGTGCCTCGGCGTGACTGAGCATCGGGTTGCCAATCTTGATGTGCAATACGTGACCACTGGCTCTCCGAGCCCATGTCCACTGAGCCGTCTTCACTCACATACGAGGCAGAATAGGTGGGACCGGGGCTTTTCAAGATGGAGGGGCGCGAAGGTGGCTTGATGTCAATGCCATTGGCCACTCGGTGAGCGGTAGTTGGGCGCTCCTGGGGTCTGTTGTGATGAAAGTTTGGGTCTGATTGAAGATGTCTGTGTTGCTGGTATGTAGAAGGATGCACGGCATGAGGCGACGAGGATAAGGGGGAAGATGAAAGTCCGTAGCTATATCTGTTTCTCCCCAGATCAACAGAGCGCATGGATCGCGTGCTTCGCAGGTTCGGAATGTTTCCAGGGGCCACAGAGGTGTTGAGGGCTACTTGAGGCGTAGCTCGTTTGTCGTGGCTCGCAAAGAGACTACGGTCTGCAGAAGGGGAGCGGAAAGTGCTTTGGCCTAGAGCGTTGAGCTCTGCTCTTGCGCTTGGCAACTCGAGCTGGAAAGAAGTACGCCTCTCATACAAAGGAGTCGCTGGGACTGTGTGAGGTCCACCAATGTGAGGAGTCAGAGGCAAGAACTGCGGGCCATTTCTAGCACGTATGGTGCCTCCGTTGCGGCCATTCGCGCGACTAGCAGAAGGGCGAAATTCCGACGTTGCCGCCTCATCCAGCTCACTATGAGAGCGGCCTCGAGTGACAACGGATGGTGTTTCACGCAAGACAGTAGCCAGGGGATCGTATGCTGCAGGTTCTCCGCCAACATTGGCCGCCGCCACAGAATCAGAAAAGCGCGGGTCAACATTTGACAAAAAGTCCTTGTCCAAAGGGGGAAGCAAGTCGCCCACGTGAATGCTGCGGCGTCTATCGAGGTAAGGAGTGGGAGGCATCGTAGCAGGAAGCGGTGGCGCGGCGGCGGGAACAGGCCGCGGCAAGCTGTCGCCTCCAGAACTCGCGACACTACTCGTAGCCCTTTTACGTGTTCGACTCTCGCTGCGGTCGACCAATGGATGCACGACTCTCGCGATGGTCTTCTTGACGGCCGATCGAGCACGTTCGAGAAAGGTGAGAGGCACGACAGCAGAAGAAACTTCCTTCTCATTGACGAGAATCTTGCTACCACTGGTTGGCTTGGCCGGGTCCGTCTCTTCCAGCCACTGTCTTGGGTTGGAGAGTCCTTGGAGAACCCATGGGTGCCGCTTGATGTCCTTGAGGCGGATTCGCTTTTCTGGATTCTTGGTGAGCATCTTGCGCAACAAATCGTACAAAAGGCCGTCCACGTCTTCGTATTGAACGTCGTTGTCATCGCGATAGGGGTACGTGTTCTGGCGCTTGTACAGAGACGTTACTGCTGGGGAGGTTGAGGGGTCCACGGGCATCAGTCTCCTGCGCGGAATGTACACTTCCTCGGTTGCAATCTTCCTGAACATTTGAAATTCGTCCTCTGCCAGGAAAGGGATGCGCGCGTAGATGAGACAGTAGAGAGTTACGCCTAGGGACCATATATCGATCTGTTCAGACACCTTGGGCTGGGGTTCGTCTGGGTCAGTGTAGCAAAGCTCCGGGGCAAAAAAGGCCGGGGTGCCAACGGTCTTGGAAAGCTCCAGGTCATCATCGAAGTCCTGGGCTTCTGACTCGGATACCAAATCATCAGGTTCACCGTCACGATTAGGTCGGCCGAAATAGGAAACACCAAAGTCGGAAATCTTGACGCGGTGGTCTTTGCTCCACAGCAAATTGGCAGGTTTGATATCACGGTGGACAACGCCATGGTAGTGCAAATATTCAAGGCCTAGCACAGTGTCGCGGAATGCAGACCGTGCCTGGTCAAAAGTGAAGCAAGGAACATAGGAAAAGTCGTCAGCAAAGGGGTCGTATGCACGAGGATTGTAGTCGATGGAGGACATGTGGGAGATGATGGAGTCGGCCATGCTGGGGGACCGTTCGCGAAAGCTCATGGTCTCATTGTTTGCATAGGACCCCCCAAACACGGATCCCTCCAGGGCGCTGGTGGACATTGCTGGTTGGGAGGGGCCGGGAGTAACATGGTCATCCTGCCATTCGTCTTCTTCTCTGGGGTGAATGCCTGAAGTGCCGGGCGAGGAAGAGTTGGAATAGGAGCGGGATGGAGCCAGAGAGGACCGGCGGGAGATTGGCTGGGACATGGAGCCCTCAGTGGCAGCAAAGTCATCCTTGGAGGAGATACGGGACCAAGGGCTTCCGGTGCTGATGTCGTCGGCAGCACCGTGCTCAACGCTCCAGTACTCATTTGGACCACTGTAGTGTTGGGCCATCCTGGCTCGCTTGATCTCTTTGAGGGCCTGGCGTCGCTCGAGATACTGGTCGTAGATCTGCTCTTCCTTACTGGGCGCCTCTCCGTTGACTTCGCGCTCGGCTCGCTTCCGTTCATACGAGCAGACATGGGGCAGTCCCTTCTTACGCCATACAATCTCGCCCAGCTCCACGTGCTCCAACACCATGTAAATCTTTTTGAGCTCGGGATCGTCAATGACTTCGAGGAGGGCGACGACATTGGGGTGTCGGATCTTCTTGAGGATGGCGATTTCCTTCTTGGTCTTGTCCTGGGGAGACAGGGCCGTGAGCTTACCAAGACGGCGTTTCTTGGAAAAGCGCGGGATAATTTTGATGGCAACGTTCTCACTGGTAGTGAGATTGCGGGCCAGCTTCACCTTGCCGTGCATTCCACGACCAATCTCTTCGATAACCTCATATTGATTGATTGATTTGCGGCCGGTGACGGTGTCCGAGTCGATGAGAGCTTTATGGGTCCTGTAATTGAGGGAGAAAAATTCATCAGCTAGTGTGTCTCAAGGGCGGCAGTAGAATGCCGCTGTTGCAACGCTGTCGAGAAAAACAACAACGAATTCGTTGCGGAAGCAGAGAAAAGACAAGCAAACATACTCTCTGACTCGGTGAGTCTGCAGCGGGTGCAAGTAGGGGCTGTCGAACGGGGGAGCTGGCGTGTTGCTCTCGGAGAGGGACGAGGTCGGGATATGGTGGGCGTGCCTGGCAACCGGGCTGAAGAGACCCGGCGATGTCGTGGGCGTGCTGCTGGCGGTGCGCAGGGGAAGCGAAGACAATTGAGACAGTTGCGTGTAGAGAGCCGGCTTTGGCTGCGGCTGCTGGCTGTCCATGGCGGAGGGCGGATCGCAGCGAGGTGCTGTCGGTGATCTCGAGGAGGGGAGCGTGAGGGTTGGCGGGACGGCTCGCGAGAAGGGAGGATGCCTCGAATACAGGCCGAATCACAGCGCTGGTCAGGGAGGCACCTCACTAACGAAGCATCGTCTTTGTGCAGACTGCGTCGAGGGGCTCCTGGCAGGCGAGGAGCACCAGAGGCGGGAGCTGAGGGAAGCGGAAACGCTGGCGATAACGATGCAGGCGAGGCGAGGCTATGCGATAGGTGCAGACAGAGACTGAGACTGAGACGGGGCTCTGAGCAACGGCGAGACAAAACGATGCAGGCGACGGTGTCTAGTAGAGGCACGCTTGTTGGTGGTGAGGCCTTTCGAGCAGAGGTCGAGTCCTGTCTTGCTTCTGCTTTTCACTAAGTGGGCAATGTTGGATTGGATATGGGGCAAAAAGCGAGCATGAAGGCGGCGAACGGCCTTGGAGCGGGCTGGCCAAAAGCGGATTTGCGGTTGGCACAGTCTGAGCTGGGGCGGGGCGCGGGCCGCGTACGGAGTACCGCGTGCTGCAGTACCCTTGGCAGGGATGGCTGGAGCGCTGGTCGGCGGCGTCGTAGGGGATGGAAGGCGCTGGAGCCGAGGTTTGAAGGGCCAGACAGTTGGGAAAAAGGGAGCGGTACTCGGCGCCAAAGTACCAAAGATAAGATCAATAGCGCGGCAGCGATTAGCACGCCTGGCGGTTGATAGTGTGGCAGCGATCCGTTTAGCACTAAACCTTCTTGACGCTCCGCTAGCAATAGCAGCACTCCTTGTAAGCAGCGAGCATTTGCAATGATTGTTTTGCGATTCTGTCAATATTACGAATCAGACAACGCCATGAATGTGCATCGCATGGGCGCAACGATTACGGAGCACATGCCTGCTGCAGGTAAACACTGCATAGAGACAGACTCTTGTTGCCGGGCACATGCCTGGACAGCCCCCTTATTCTGCGGATTATCCTGACGTCTCTCCTCGCAATACCTCTTTGCAGCGCCATGGCCCCATTTGCGCCCCATGGTTCTACGTCTGCAGCCAGGTTTCTGTCGCCAGCAGCTCCACGCTGCTTCATACCTCATACCTCAGACCTCACATTCGACGCTCTTCCGCAGCAGCCAGCAGGACCCGCAGCCGCATGTACCGTCTCGCGCCAGGGACGTCACCACGGGCCATTAATCTCGCAGCGCGGCCGAATCATGGCGCTGCGCTGCGCACTTATCTCTGGCCGTGGTGGTGGGCAAAGGCGAAAGTCGGAGCACACGCATGTGGGACAGGCGATGCAATTACCTAAGGCAGAGATAAGTGCTGGGCCGCGGCCAATTGGACGATCGCACTGTGCCGGCCGGGTGACGAGTCACATCTGCTAAATTGCAATCAGCGTCCGCGCAGCGTCTTGGGTGGCAGAAGATGCGCGCCGGGGCCGTGCGCGATGTACAGTGCACTGTGCGATAAGGGGACTGTGGCGGCCGTCAACGGTGGACATTGTCATCGACATCATTTTCGACAGTTTGGAGTCTTGGTGGTCGAGCTGATGGATGCTTGCTGCGCTTAGGTAATGGTCGCAGCCAATCACACGGCCGCCTCCCCTCTTTTCCCTGCAGCCTGTTTCTCCGGAGAAGTTCCCCCGGCTTTGCCGTCCCGGTGTCATTCCAATCAGGTTTTCCTCTCTTGCAGAGCACTCAAACTTAATCACGCCTCCATCTGCGATAGACTGCCAACGACCAGTAGCAGTACTTCGTATAGTACCTACTCGGCACCCTAATTATAGACGTCGCTCAACGCTCACTCAACAAACAGCCGCTCCAACATGGGGAGGCGAGGCCGCCCTTCACTCAATATCACGCCAGAGGAGCGGCTCCAGCGCAGACGATCGCAGCTCGTTGCCTCTCAACGAAAGCGCAGGGCCCACAAACGCCTGTTATCCCAGCCGTCTACGTCTACGGCAACATCCGAGGGGCTTCTACCGGCTGTACCGACTGCGCTGCCCGTCTATGATGCCATGATGCCGGGGCACCGCGCGGGAGTCGCCGTGTCTCGGCCGCAAGGCGTCGAAGCCACCACAAACACAACCGCAAACGAAGCATCGTCTCCGAGCGCTCGGTCGCCGCCTGCAATCTGTCACCGTTGCGGATCGGCCCCCCTCGACACGGCCGCAATACCCGCGGCCGTGTCGCCCACTTCACCGGCAAGTCTTTTGAGGACTCGCCAACTTGGAACAGATACTCATGCGTTATCCTCTAGACTCGCGAGCCCGATGCCGCCATCTTCAATATGGGCTGACACCAACGCGAACGAGCCCGATGCGGGCACCGACAAAGCCTCTTTTACATTCATAGCCAGTCATGCGTCATTATATGACCGGGGATTCGATTCCTTCGATTGTGTTGGCAGTAATACTCTACTAAGCGAGGAACTCGAAACGAGCGCGGCATGGCTGAAACGCCCCGCGCACGCATTCGCGACAGGGATAGACAATGTCTTTTTCCCAGGGCGGGCGACCTTTACCGCAGACTCTCTGTGGATGCCATCACCTTCTCTATTGGAGGACGACGGCCCGATGTTGACTGGCGCGACATTGTGCGGCCCAATCCTAGAGGCATGCAGCCCGATGTTGAGTGACGATGGCATTGAGTTTTGGACGCCATGGACGGGAGCTAAGCAAGTAAGTTTCTCTTGATTCTTTATCTCTTTATCTGAGAACCTAGAACCTGAAACGCACGTTGATGGTTGATGGCATTTACACTTTTTTTAAGACTAATTGCTAACCTTCTTATCTTTGCGCCAGGCGATCCCTATGGGCTTTTGAGATGTATTCTTGCACGCGCAACCGAGCGCCGCAAACGAATATCGACGGAATCTCACACTTGCATTAGCATTAGTCGGAGATCGACTTTACCATTTGCTCGGGCATTTTCAAGCTCCACATCCCCGGAAATTGATACGCAGATTTGTGGAAGCATGTGATATTGGCGCAGCATTACTAAAGTACAATGGGTTTTAATACGGAGAGCTATGGTGGAGACAGAGCTGGATAAGGTCACAAACTCGGTAATCAGAAATGAAATCGGAAACCAAAGAGTGAATGAAAAGCCTGCTTTTTCTGCAAACTGCCTGTGTCTGATTAGTGGTAGCCTGTCATTTGCTCAGCTGGCTATTTTTAGGGCCCGCATGACATGACGGCTTAGATACGGCATACTAGTAATCGTCAACGGGCGTTTTGTCTTGGGTACGGTACACAGTATCACAATTCTGGCCTTGCCCATTGTGTGTCACCCATTGTGTGTGACGCCAAGGATGGGATTTTATTACAGGTAGTCTTTATTGGTCGAACCGCCGCACTGGAAGGATGCGGAACAATAGAGAGATTTATAACTTGAAACTTGGAAACTCCTTTCTGGGTTGATTATTGCTACCTACCTGTTCGTGGCAGTGCGTGACTCAGGTTTGTCATACAAACACGCGTTTGAAAGCACGTGTGCCCATTTTCTTTCTAGTAGAATGTGGTGGGTGGGAGGATTTGAAGTGCCGATGCTACGCGTTCGTAGTTGGATGTGATGGATGCAGGTTATTGGTGAAGCTGGGCGGCAGTTGATACTATTGTTGCTGCTAAATTTGATGCTAGCAGGATTGCGAGCGCAAAACTGGCCTTTTGCGTTTGTATTATGGGTTTGGGTGGTTTGCGAGAAGTGATTGATCATGATGCTAGTGATACACTCCTACGTGTCGCATTCTGTGGTTTACATGTACTTTCGCTGAGCTGTATCCCTGGGGCGAGACAAGTCGGCGAAGAGGGATCAACACTCCGCTTTCTCGATCCTTTGCGAAGAGATAATGTGTGAAACTGTTGAGGTCGGGACTTTGTTTTGTGTCTGAATGTGGACCAATCACGGTGTTGTTGAAGATGATGTGCCGTACTGTTTATGTCCTGCTTGGTAGCACTTCAAAGCCTGGTGATGAATGCAGCGAAGATGACGATGATATGAAAGACGAAGAAACACATGGTGAACATGAATGAGTCAAGGCAGGATTTATGAAACTGCCTGATTTTGCTTTCACAGAATGGTCATGATATATATACTTCTATTAGTACAAGTATCAACATCTTCTACCAAGTATCTACATCTCTTTTGGCGACATCCGGGCATATTCAGCACCAAACATGCCATTCAACCACTCTCCCGCTTCCTTGCTAACACTGTCTCCAAGGCCAGCTCGGTTCAATGATTCTGTCCAATTCATAATCTCCCATACAGACGTCCCTTGGAACACAGAGGCATCCAATCCGTTGATGGCAGCTCCGTCGCTATGCTTGATGCTCATGTCTTCTATAACGCCATGTCTCGCGGAAAGATGCATGTTTAGCTTGAAATAGCGCGTTAGTATTTAGACATTGGTTCGTATAGATAGCTTGATAGCTTACATCAAATGGCAACTCTGGCCGAGGCCGAGGATCATCCTCCGTCGGATGCGTCGAAAACGTAAACTTTGGCGTCTGGCCCCAAATCCAGCTCTTGGATTTCAGCTCGCGGTAGCCCTTTTGCACTTCATCCACTTCAAGCGCCGTGTCGTCAAATTCACCGCGGAAGTCAACATCGCCATACATGTTTTCAAACTCTCTCACCACGGCGTCTTGAAACTCTTGGTTATCCAAGTCAATGTTCCTGACTGGGCTGCGTACGCTGTCGACGCCGCGGGCATCGATGTATCCCAGGGCTGGAGATCGTAATAAACCAGAGATGCTGGTGAGGTTGGGGCTGTTAAGAAGACATGTCCCGTGATGCAGTGATCGTAGGCGTGTGAGCTTATAAGCCGAGCCGGAGATTTTATACGTCTCCATATCGGCAGCAGCTTTTGACGCCACGTCCATGACAATATCATGTCTCTCATTAACGCGCGTATTCGGCCTTCCAAGAGCTTTCAACGCGCGCACAACCATTTCAGCGTGTTTATCCCGGTCAAACCGCTCCGGCGGGCAAATCACGCTGAAATTAACATTGCCCGCATCGTGAAAAACAGCACCTCCTCCAGATCTCCGGCGCACCAATTGGATAGGCGAATCAGTCCAGCCAACACTAGACGGCTGCTGGGCAATTTGCGCGAGGCGGTTCAGGTTCACCTGCAGCCAGGGATTCTGGTTGCGGCCAAAGATGATGCTGGGCGCGTTGACGTAGAGCGTGAGGACGGTGGAGTCCGGGGGCGTGATTTGGAGGAGGCGGTGCTCGACGGAGAGGTTGAGGAAGGGGTCGGTGGATTTGGAGAGGTAGATTTGGGTTTTGTGGGAGGGGTGGGAGGCGGAGGCTGTGAGGTAGGAGAAGCGAGATGTCGAGGCTGAAGAGGAGGATGAGGCTGGATGTCGTGGTGAGATGATGGTTGGTAGCCGTGCAGTGGCCCTAGGCCTTGATAATTGTGGGATCCTCATTGGATGGAGGGTGATGGAGGATGGTGATGAGTTAAGGGTATATGCAACTTGTTGAGAGCATCATGAATGATTGTTGTGGGTTTGCATTGGCATGAAAATTGAAGATGTTGTTATTCTTTCAAGTTGATGAGTTTCTATGCTAAGAAGTCAAGCTAGCACGCTAGTAGTTGTCAAGTCTCTACACACTCAATCATCAACCTCAACTATCTTGGACCAATTAGAGTAAAACACACCCTCTCATAATTCTACAAAAAAATCATATAAGTTTCATATTCCTTAGATAATGTTCACTGCTCTATTCATCATGAATAATACCCCATCCCGCCTTTTCGTCTCATTCCCGAAACTGCAGGGTAAGGCTACATGAAAAATGCCTGTATTTGCCCCTCCAACTTGCATCCAGGGTCCTAGCACAGCCCAGGGCCCCCCCTACAGCATTGTCCAACCGCTGTAAATCGGCTTCGGACAAAACACGGGAGAATCCCTGCCAGATGCACGTCAGACGGCACTCCAAGATTTTTGCGAGCCGGACCCTGAAGCCGGCTTGATATTATCAGCCTGCAGTCAGCATTTCTCGTATTTTGTATTACTGTAGATTTGTATTCTGCCTTTCTCTAAATTCAGTGTCTAGGTACTGAGGACAGCCCTGAAAGGTCCATATGGGTAGGTAACTAGATTTGTAGATATGCACACGCTACAGCAATGCAGCTTTCAACCACATCTGATCACACAAATCGGGGAAGAAGCAAAGTAAATCCTGCTACAACTCGCACATCAAACCTGATATCCAAAATGCTGTAGACATTATATATACGTATATATCAGTTACCCAAAACACTACGCCGGATTTTGCATCGCTAGTATGACCAAGCGCCAAAACACCTACCCATCATAACTGTCCTCCAGAAATTCACTACCACCTTCATCTTGATAAATGAATGATAGATGACGCAGTTTAGTGCTTGGAAACTCATATGCTTCTATTCAGCCTATCCAGATTCCTGATGCTCATCAAACAGCCCTCCCAGTACATCACTAGGAATATACTCCAGCCACCCACCCATAAGATCCGGCTGTTGTAATCCAAGAGCTCCAATATCGATATCCTGGCTGTCAAATGTGATGGCGTCCATGTTGCCCATAATCGGACCCCACGGCTGGTAGGCCATATTCTGTGCATAGTACAAGCTGTTATGAGCTCCTCCCGTAGTAGCAGCAGCGCTAGTCACGGCCGTTGAACTCATCATGCCTCGAGAATTGGTGCCATTGACTGAGACGTTGTAAGCGTCGTATCTCCCGGATCCCTGACCCAGACCTGCGTAGCCAGCAGGCAGCTCTTCGTTCTCTTCCTTGATATCTTCAAAGCTCATAATATTGCGTGAAGCCACGCCGGTAGCATTCATCGAGTTAGTAGTAGCGTACGCCGGCCGTCGGGGAGAGTTCCGGATTGCCGAAATGTTTGGCTGTGGAATAGGAGGAGAAAACATGCCCACTTCTGGCATTGCAGGTCGAATAGAGTCGTAGGTGATGCTTCCCGGTGATTCACTGGCTGGTCTCGCCATAGTGTGCGAAGTGGGAGGGTATCCGGTAGGAGGTACTGCGTTGGAGTTGAATGCCTGATACATGAGTGTCAGGCTCGAATTCGGTGAATGATTTGTTCCGGATAAACTGAAGGCGATTGGTGAGCCGGCAATCTTTGGTGATGATTGCTTCTCCAACCGAGAAAGCTGCTCGCCAATAGACGGCCGAGCTGGCGGCAATTTGGTGCTCTCATACTCCTCTACGGTATATGTCTCACAGTCCCATTTGCCTTTTGATTTTTGATCCAAGACAGTGAGAATGTACGTCACACCGCCCCAGTATGACTGAATCTGCTGTAAAGAGTTGTAGCATTTTTGATAGTTTTGATTTGCCGCCGAAGCGAGGAGCGAGTGTCGAGACTGTTTGGTATTAGGTTTGGCCTGCTGCTTGCGGTTCGCATTGGAGTTTGAGGCGGAAGGCGTTCCCTCTCTGGATGATCCTTCAGACGCATTGGTGGCGCTGGATTCCATGAGAAAAGCGCACGCGGCAATGTAGATGGGTTGATTGGTGAATGGATTGCCTATGAAACTCTTGGGGTCGATCAAGTCGGCAAAAGATAGGATATCGCAAATGGTCTTGGCGCTGCTCATGCTCAGTTCACGGCTATCAGAGAGGAGCTGGAGCTCGCTTCTCAGTTCGCAAAAGGGGGTTAGAAGGGTTGGCTGGTGCAAGATGATGAAGAGCGCGTGGAACCAAAAGTGAAGGAGGATAAAGTTGGTGCCCTGGCCCATTCCAAGATATGTCTTGAAGTTGCTAACGTTAAACTGAAGTCGTGGGTCCCAGTGTTTGTACATTCTCGTTAGCCGGTGTTCCATATCAGACAGCTGATCCCATTTATCCTGCGTAAGATCCTGGGCGTTGTGCAGATTATTCAAAACATCGCACACCTGGCCGTAGAGATTGATGATTTTGACAAAAACTGGAAACGGGTTGGGCCACCCAGTCATCAAGTCATTGTTGGATTCGGGGAAAGCAAGCTCGTAATCGCCGTCTCGTATAGTGACCGGACGTCCTGTGCCAGAAGAGATGACTCTATCCAAGATGAATACGGACCAAAATGTGTCGATGCGCTCTTGTTCCACCTCTTTCTGCTCTTGCGGGCTGAGCGTGTCGATACCGTCAGTTTTATGAGCTTCTGGGCTCTCGTGGTCATCGTCATTGGCGCGGCTTCGATGTCGGGTGTACCAGGGATCTTTCTCGCCCTGGTACTGGATTCCCACGCACTTTTGAAGACCAAGATCGACGGCCATGCGTATAGCCAGGCCCAAGTACATCCACAGCGCGCTATCTTGGTTGGCGCCAAAGCCTTCATATGCCATGAGCAGGCAGGCTTGGACAGCGCCTACAGAAGGACAGGGGAAGGTATCGACAGTGGCTTGTCTGGCTCTCTGCGCAAAGACTTGGCCCCTCTCTGTTCGGGGCATCTTGTCGTTGCCACCAGTCAGAATATGGTTATCTGAGAAGCGCGCCGAAATGGCACACACGGCATCTACCAAGATTGGCTCGACGCGCTTCTCCTTGACATGGCGCAGAAACTTTTCCTTATTGAGAAAAGGGTAGTTGCAGCCAACATCGTTGAAGAATGCAGTGGTTAGTTGGATAATGAGGGGATGGACCGGGGCGGGGTTGTTCGGATCATAAGATGGAATGTCTTCACGGACAATGTCGCTATCCACGGCCGAGCCACTGGCTATGACGCCGCTTGGAGTGGACTGGAGCGAAGGGTTAGAATGCGAGCCCCCAGTAGACCGACGTCGATCGCGTACGGACACCACCATTTGCTTGAATCCTGGGACGATGGCCGTGGAGCCAAAGTATCGGAAGTAGGGGATGCGACGGCTGGGAATGACCCGCCGTAGAGTGGGAGAGCTGGGTATATCATCGGAGGTAGCTGAAGGGTGAGCCTGGTGATGGCTCACCACACGATGTTGGTGATTGAATACAGGAGATTGGTGTGGTTCTATATCGTTGGGTTTGCCATCGGCGCTTATTTCAATGCTTGGCGCAATGTTGGATGTTCTCGAAATCAGCGGTGGTCGTGAAGCCGAGGAGGCAGACGCTGGCGCATGGTCTCTTCTTGATGACGTCGGATGAGTCTCGGACGCGGTCCCAGCATGTTTCATTGCCACATCGTCATCGTCTTCTGCTTGGTTGATTTCTTCATTCGGTGCATCGTCTTCTTCGCCCGTCCTCAGTCCGGAGGGGTCGACACCATCTCTCCTATCCTCAGGATAGCCCAGGCACTGGTGTCCGTTCTTGGTGCATGTCGAGCATTGCGGCCGTTCGCCGGCGCATCTTGTTTTACGCCTTCGGCAGGTCAGGCATCTGCGTCGCAAGAAATCAGAGCCGCTGTTAGCATGATATTGTGTTTATTCGTTTGTTGTGTTGGTGCTGGAAGGGGGGAAAGCTGAAGATGCTGCTTATTCGCCACCATTACTCGAACCAGTTGAGGGGCAAAACAGACAAGAGACAAGACGACATATGGACAGAAGAGCAGCCGTGATGCGAGATGGCCAGGAAAGAAGAGGTCAGTGGACTTACGCCGCATTGATTCTGCGCCGCTTGGACGGCGGCTGGCCCTGGTTATGGACAAAGCGAATCGGGCGAGGCGGGGGACCTGAATCCGGGCGGTTGTTGAGCAGCGTGGTCATGGCTAGACCATGACGGTGATGATGCGGAGCATAAGACTCTGCGTCTGGCTTTGCGTCGGCCTGAGATGGACGGGGGCGGAAGCGGGAAACGGCGGACGGGGGAGCGAGATTGGGCGCAAATCTGGCAATCTAGCCGCCGGATAGCTTGATTTGGCGATATCGTGACGAACGGATGGAGCTCGGCGAAGTCGAGGCGTGTCGCACAGCAGACGGGAGATTGATTAGGCGTGATTGACCAGCAAAGTATTAGGTATTCGTCATTGAGATTAAGGCATTAATTAGGTCGTATGTATGTATGTGCGAATAAAAATAGAAACAGCATGTAGAGAAACTAGGGATATGCGTTGAAACAGCGTCGCTGGGCTGGAATTGTTCGTGGGATGGAGTTGGAAAGAATGGGGTCGCTATTCTTTTGGCTGTGGGTAAAAACGGACGCTCCAGCACACAATGCAGCGCTAAAGAGGAGGCGAGCTCCAGGGCCCTTTGGCGCACCGCATGCACACCCTGTGCGGGAAGCTCCAGCGATGCGAAAGTGACTTTTGGCGCCGCAACCTGCTTTGCGTGCACTGACTGACGCTGATGTGCAGAGCGCAGAGCGCAGAGCCAAGGTACTCCATACTCGGCGGCAGATGGGCATCTAGCGGCAAACTCAGGTACCCGGTACCCACAGCGAGGTGCATGCTGCCGAGCTGCATCCTGTGCCGTGCCCCGGATCCTGATCCTGATCCTGCTGCCAGCATGCAGCAGAGCAGAGTCTCAGTTCGGCAGGCCGGCTTCTAGAAATCTTCTATCGGTTAGATGGTGTTTGGCATAAATTGCGAATGAGATTTTGTTAATTCTGAAGGATCGATCCTATACGACTTGGATATGCTCGGCCGTCAGAAATTGCACCGGTACTTGCTTATGCTGGTCCTTGAGAAGTTGCCGATCCCAGCACCGCATCAACACTACAATGCTTAACTTGTACGATCTACCCCCCTCTATGCAACCTAAATTCAAGAAATGTCTTGGCCATGGGTCTCTCGCCTTTGTATATCGGTCTTATCTTGTGTGACCATTAGCAGGATCGCAATTGCCTGCAGTCCATTGTTATACCACCGTATAACATGACACAGCACTGCACAAACAACATTAAGACACGATAATAGGGGATACACATACACAGCGTTTGCCCCAACGCCCGCTCTTCCGATTCCGAGAAGCATCCATCCATATCAATCCCCGCATTCTGCCAGTGGGTAGCATCGAGCATCACCCCGGCCACTTTGGGCGTTACAGCCTTAGCATCAATCTCATCTGATTTGAGCGGCACATTTCGATGCTGTCGTCGAAATGACCAATAGCCTATCTACCCAACACTAACTTCCTAAATAGGCATCGTCAACGAAGGATGCCTTACAAGGAAAAAGACAAGCAAAAGCCAAGACGATGGCAGCTGGCGACTATTTCTCTTGGCCTGGCCTTCAGGCTATTCTAACCATTCGTGGCATGATGTTTTTCTAGCCCGAGCCAGCATTATAAAGCATGGAAGCGTTGACTTGATTCGTATTCTTGACTCGGCTTCACGTGCCCACTTGTTCTGGCTTTTATTCTTCTGCCTAATGACTAGAACTAGCCGTCTTCTGCCATTACTTTCTCTCTCTCTTTCTTTCCTTTCTAGCTTAAAGTGAATCTAATTTTCATATACGAGGTGGCATTCGTCATACGGAGTCTACTAGCAAAGATGCTAAACACGTAGCACTGCTACTAGTATTAGTAGTATTCCCCATGTCTTTAGCAAGTAAAGTCTCCAGCCAAGTTCAATGCTCAGCGATAGCCGTCCATGGAGCTATACCTAGCCAGCCCACAAATCCCACCCTCAGCAGATCGCCAATCCTCTGCCTTTGCCCTTCTCATCCATAGGTACCTAGCGAAATACGGCTCCGTACCGACATCGCTCCAAGTTTTCCTGTCATGCAGGGCAATCCTGCACTAGACCGACTCTCCAGGGCCAAGGGTTGGTTCTTAATGACTTTCTTCTTCTCCATCTTTCTATCTGATCTTGTGACCTCCAAAATTTCCCCTAACGCTGTGGATAGAGCCCATATTTCCTACTAATTATGTACCTAATAGCCATGCAGCTGCACCTCTCCTTTTACTGTACCAAAGAAAACGAGGGGCCATCCAATCCATGCATCGTCTAAAACACTAGAGTAGGTAACGCAAGCCACCTCTCGTAGTCGCATTCTTTTGCTTCTTCTGCCTCTGCCCGCCCCTGCCATGTTGCAAAGCAGCGAGATCCATGTTCCGATCCCATAGTGCTTACTAGTTTTCTACCACTAGCAATGTTTGCCCTTTTTTGCCATCTGCCATTCAAACCAAAACCCTGTCACTTTTTGAACTGACAGCGTCAAGGCGTAGATGCTGTCATGATGGATGTCCCAACAAGCTAACATGTATCCTGCGCCGTGGCACTCGCGCACATGGGAAACTCTAAAACTCTATTTCTTCTAGAATAATCCAATTTACGCCGAAATTCGCAGATAAGTACACAGTGTTTAGCGACACTGTACTGAATTATCATCGTGGAGGTATCCCTCAAACCCACATATCTCTATGAGGTTTATTTTAGTTTTATACGTTAATGCTTAATCTGAGATTCATATCTTTTCCGTTCTCTTGAAAAAGTATCATTTCTTTTTTTCGCTATAGGAAGCGCGTTTTAAATACTCCAGTCCCCGCCCGTCCGCCGTGATAACATCCCCAACGCCTCATGCGAAACTGAAGCCAGCTGTAAGTGACGTAGTAATCCCTCGCCTATTCACCCAGCGCAGCTTGTCGTAGTCTCGAAAAAATTAATCCCTTTGATTCGCTCCCATCCATGCCGTGGTTACAAAGCTTTCATTATACAATCTGCAATGCGTCATCGCTCCCATGATTCGCGCTGCTCATTATGTCTATCCAAAGACAACCGATACCCCCATATCTTCGCTCACCCTCCTCCACAAATCTTTCTTTCGCTCGTCATCATGCATTATTTCTTCTTCGACATCTTCGCCATTGTCCGCTCGTCTCCAAACCTCCTCTACGATGCATCTCGCCCGCTCGATATTAGTCATTCCCTGTCGCTGCAAAACAGCTGCAAATGATTGCCGGGACATCTCTCGATCAACAGGATCAATCGCCTCGCAAGATGCCACAAAGAGGGGCCAGAGCAGAGCACCCATTGGGCCTTCGTTATTCACAGTTCCGATGCAATGGAGGAGGCTGATGTGCGTGTGGCGTTGTACAACGGCGTGCCGCCGAGAACGGCCGTAGATCGTTCGGTAAAGGTAGACGAATCCAGAGTGCCGATATGCCATGGCGCTGTTTACAATGCTTTGCATCCGATTGCTGGCCGCATTACCCTCATCGTTAGGAAGAGCCCAATTCTGTAGAGCAAGCTCAACTGCAGAAGCCGTAGTCGCGAATTCCGTTCGAAGTATTGCTATTTTCGAAGCGTCGCCTCGTAGCTCAGCCAAATGGAGCTCCTGTTTCATATCGCCCAGGGTCGACAGTCGGTGTATGATGGGCCATAGAGAAGTAGCCATTCCAAGTAGTGCATCAGCCCCTGTAGAGGCTGTAGCACCACGGCAGTCCACGGGAGGGAATGGTGCAAAGTTTCCGGTGTCTGGTGTGGGCAGAATTGGGGTAGAGCCAAAGGACAGTGCTGTGATAACGTCATAGAACCGGAAGGCCTGTATTATTAGAATGACACCGGTCAGCTAACACACAAAACTGATGAGTGCTCTCTAGGCTGCAAAAGAACTCACCCGTTCCAAGAAGACTCCAGTTGGATCAGACATCGCTTGGCTATTGTACATGATGGCTACAGCACCTCTCAAGTGCCCGTCAACGATATTGGAGCGGCCAGTTTGAACCAGCTGTAGTTTGTCAATATTAAACAAGTGCTGTGGAAAAACAGCGAGCGATGACAACTTACCACCTCGTAATAAACCAGCAGTATAATGGCCGCCAACATCTCATTTCTTGAATCGCACCCTTTCGCAATCATAGTAGACAGCCCACGGATGGCTTGGTTGTGAAAGTGGATGCTCTTCTCGTTGTTTCGTACGCCTCGGTGTTCCATATGAGCACTAGCCAGTGCAAAAACAGCGTTCAAAACAACTGGGCTCTTTTGGGATAATGGCAAGACAAGCTGCTGAAATGGGTTGCCCCCATCTTCGCGTAGGACAATGAGATGAGATAGCACATTGGCGAAGTGATCAATCAGGGCTCGTCTGTTCGTCTGCGGAGAGAATTCGGCAAAGGCGGGCATGACAAGTTCGACGGTTGGAAACGGAGGTACAGTTGATGTGGAGGCGACCATTGCGAGGGAAGAATCGTTTGAGGTAGAGTTGGAGGTCTCATCGTTGATGAGGGTGATATCTCGTTCGTCATCATCGTCGTTGTCGTCGTCGTCATCCTGCTCCTGCTCCTGCCGTACGGGGCCTTTAGCCGCGCCAAAATTCAGGCCGGCGATATCCAAGCAGCCATCGTTTTCTACTGTGTCGGGGGCCCATGTCGTGACTATCTCATCAGCAACATCTTCGCCATACTTGGTTGAAGAGGCTCGATGCTGTATACGGCTATCTGCGGTGAGATTGTTTCCCAGATACGTGTCGGAGCACCACAGAAGAGCATCTTCCCATTGCTCAAAAGACATTCGTTTCTGCGCGGCGCGGGATAGCGAATTGTTTTCCAGAACCACAGAGGAGAGTGCATTCACAGACGAGTCGTCGAAAGAATCCTGCCTCCGCCGTTGACGCGGCTTAATGGGCTCATATACACAGCTCTGCCCATGGTCTTGGCAGCGACTGCATATAGGTCTGATTTCATCGCATTTCTTCTTCTATTACGATGGTGTTAGAGGGAATCATGAGTAGTGGCCTGTGGTATGGTGAGATGTTACCTTCTCTTTGCTACAAGAGAAAAGGGAATATGCGCGTTAGCTGTCATGCTCCTGTCTACCGGCAGTAAACAGAGTCCAACTCACCAATAGTTGCATCCTTTAAACTCGATCACAGAGAAGATTAGTAAAATCTTCTTGCACCCATCGCTCACAGGGAACGGTGAATTCGGAGTTTAGCTTACCAGCTCTAGAACGGCGCTTCGGGACTTTTGGCGGAGCTAATCGAGTATACAGCAGCATGTCTTTGACAGCTTCGTTTGATGGTTTCCAAGATGCGGCGCTGAAAGTTGGCGTGGCAAAAGTCCTCAGTAGCCCATCACCTGCTCCTACAGAACTCAAAGTGTAGAAGCGCCCAGAATCGAAGGTTTAGATCGGCTGAAATTGGGCAGTTTCTGAGTATTGATTCAACTATGAAAAGAGCAAACGGAACTTGGCTGTTAGCTCAAACGGCACTGCCAACAAAGGAGTACCCGGCCGGTTTGCACGTGGTAATAGTTGGCAACCAGCGGCCTCGAGCGCGGATTTTGGCAGGCGGGAGGTGCCGAGAAAGGGGTTAAATGAGATTGTAGGCTGGACGTTTGGTTGATGAAACAGTTGAGCGGTCTGAGCGTATGGAGTAGATAAAGGGAAGAGGCTTCGGTGATGGGAAAAGGTCAGCAGATTTGAGGCCGGTCTTGACATGAAGGATTAGCCGTTTCTCCAGACCCTTCCACAGTGTCCCACTTTGTTCGCCTCGAAAAGCTACCTCAGGCTATCCGTGCGGTTCACCACATTCCGGGTTGCTCAACACGGCTTAAGCCAGGTCAAGGCACCACCAAGTCCTCGTTGGAGGCAAAAAGTGGAGGTAATACTAGCATGCGGGGTTGCCACAGGCAGGCCTGAAGATCGCTGTTTTAAACACAGTACGGATTCACATGGGGCGTAATCTAGGCTGCAAAAGGTGCTTCGTGGGTGATTTTCTGCTGTCTTGCATGAGACGCCAGCTAAAGAGTTTTTGACAAAGGGGCTATGGCTATGCTATGCAGCCCTATTGTCTTCCGTCAACCGAGGATTTCGAACCCAGCAGAGACGTCGATTGCTGGCAACACGATAGATTGCGGAGAGAAGTTGCAGAGAGAAGCGTATTGCATGACACGCAGGACGGCTTTCACGCTCTGTCTACTCCGCACCAGAAACGGAGCTTTGACCAGTTTTGGGATAACTGGCCACTGTGACGCCTTGGAGCCAGAAGGGGGCACGTCCCTGGTGTGCCTTGGAAATGCGAAAGTAGACGGAGTCAGTCATTCGGCCTTTTGCGCCGTGAGAGCGGGGAAGCGGGTTGGCTAGCGAGGGCGACGAGGGCTTTTCTTCTCCACGTTTTCGCGTCAAACTACCGAGGGCCTGGAGCAGTCCGCGATTTCGATGTAACTGAAAAGCACTGTACCTGCTGTGTCTGGAATAGAGACGGCAAGCTTCCGCAGAAGGGCATTGCTGCTGCTTCTGCCATGATTAGCTCGAAGCTTCTATCTCGTAAGAGGCACCGCAATACTGCAACATCACTTACTGGACCATGTCACGCAGGGACAGACTTTACGAATCCTATTGCAGGCCCTCCGCCCATGCCCATGCCCATATCCAAGACCATGCCATCGCGGCCGGCCGCGTGTTGTCTAGGAAGCATGTTGCGCCCGTACGATATCCTGGGTTCAACAGCGACGAGCCGAGTTTCGCTTGAGATCGCTTGAGAATCGCTTGAGAATCGCTTGAGAGTCGTCGGCCTACCTCTGTCTTTTGACATCGCGCAACGTGATGCCGAGGATCATGCCTTGGTTAGGGGTAGACTAACAGCGGCTGCTAGGAAGCACTTCGGCGCCTTCATCTTGGTCTGCGACGGATTCTGATCCATCGCTGCCACATGCCGAATCCCGGTCTAGCGTCTGCACATGGTAGCATGCGAATGTACTTCGGGCAAGGAGCCCGGCTCGTTGACTGTTCCTTCTGCGGTAGCTGGGTGAATTTGGCATCTGAGGTGTTGATCCTGGTGACATTGCAGCGGTAACTTTGCCGTGGCTCTGCTGCGAGCCTTTTCTGGTGACAGCTGTGGCTTTGCCGTGCACCATCCGTCGCAAACTGGAATCGGGATTAGGTAATATTCTGCACCGCTGCCTCAGGCTATCTGATAGCAATAGATGCCTGAAACCGCCAGCACCAGGCTCAACGTTGCCATGTAATCCGCATAATTCTTACGCACATACGACAGCACCACTTCTGGTTTTCGTTCGCCCTTGTGTTGTAGTGGAATTCCTGAGAGGCTTCCGCAGTATGGAATGCTGAGCTTAGCTGCAGCGCCCCAGCGTGCCGAGCCTGCTGTACCGACTTGCAGACATGTACGGGTCATGATGCTAATTTTGGCACATTCGCAGCGTCGTATCATTGGTTGCCTTGTGTAGAGTTTGTGCTGCATCCAACACCAGCAGCCAGTCAGGCGGGGTCGAGCACCTCCATTACAACGTCGAGATGGCCCATCACGCGAGAGCCACGGGCACCATCCGCTAGCAGCCAATGGCGACGGGGCGAGATGCATCCGCGAACGGGTGCGATGGAGCGCCGCTGCCACACTGCAGATCACAGCCTCAGTGCTGAGTCCTGCAATGGCACACCCTTCAGGGCATCCTCATGGCCGTTTTGGCACTTGAGCGCTGTCGACTGCTGGAATTAGCTGCCATCTCCACCGCCCGCTCGCGTGTTTGGCCCGCCTGCAAGGGATCTTCGATCTCCAGGCGCTTATTTCGTCTGATTCCAGCTTACAGCCTCGATATTCAGCCTCGTTGGTCGCGGCAGCAGAGACGGGCATCATGGCTTTTTCATTTAATCGCGGCCCCCTCGTTGCTTTTCGAGTGGACCAAGCGCAGCGCACAGCTATATCTATAGAACTGGCGGGCATAACTAGCAGCATTAAAGACGAAGGGAAACCTTGTGCTCTCGATCACAGCTATCAAAAAGCTCTTCTTCTGTTTGAACAATTCTCACCTCACTTACACCTGCGCTTCCACTTATACCTTCCACTTATAATCGACCACTCTTCTCAACCCGAATGAGCAACGAAATCTCATTTCAGCTCCCTACACTGGCCAGCTCCAGGTAGTCGTTACGGCTACCACTCGTCACGATGCTTGCTTCTGCGCCAATCTTGCACAGCGTATTGCTGCTTGGGGCCCTCTTTGGCACAGTCGTGGGCGCTTTGGACTTTGGACGATATGACGAAGCCCATCGTGTGACGAAATCAGTTGAATCTACGCAGCCAGTCGCGGCGACAATAACGACGGCTATTACTACAGCCACATTTACAACAGTAACCGTCAGCGCCAGGAATTCCGATATTCCAACTCGTCTTGGCAGGTTGAGGGGTCGAGTGAATGGCGATGATGCCAACCAAGGAGCCGACACCGGCACTTCCACCACCTCCACCCCGGAAACTGCGTCCTCAGCAGCTGAGACGGATAACAGTGGCAGCGACAGCCAGGACAGCCTTTCTTCGACACAACTGGGCGGCATAATCGGAGGAGCTGCTGCGTTTCTGGCATTGGTGGTTGCTGTGGCCTGTGTCCTGATCCGGCACATTGACAGGCTGGCTGACCAGATAGCTAAGATACCAAGGTCGTCCAAGTCTACCAGCACAAGGAAATTAAGAAGCAAGCCAACCAGCGTGTCGTCATCAGACACTGATAGCAGGGATTCGCGAGAGGGTTCTGCCATCGAGTTAATGCAGCGCTCATCGTTGCGGCGCTCACAAGCTCGTCGGAAACCCAAATCCACAGCTCGCCGTAACAACCAGCGTCGCAACGGCCTGTACATTGCTGCGGCCGGCAATCCCCAGAGCGAACGAGCCCCCGAGAGACAAGATCGTTCAACTGACATACCCCTCCAAACATTGTCTCGGCCTGTCATCAATCGCCGCCCTGTCCCGGTTCCAAATCCAGCGCGTACTGCAATTGTATCGCCTGCACCAGTTAATGCTATTTCCCCGAGGCTACTGAGCTCGCCCTCACCAGTTAGCGCCATATCCTCAGAACTTGAAGCGTGCTCGCTTGCACAAGAATTAGCTGGAATAGCATCAGCAGAAAGCCTGGCAGCAGACTCACTCATACACTATGCGCGAGATGTTCCCCCAAGCGATCTCCCGTGGTTTGCTGTTAGGCCGCCTCTTAAAGACCAATGGATGAAGAGCGTGTTGCTGTTAAGGCAGTCGGAGAATGCCTCTCCTGAGCACTTTAGCCTCGATGATGGCGACGAGGAATGGCATGGATTCTACGGGGCCAGGGGATATATGGCGGGACGAACTGGACTTGGTATAACCTATCCACGGAACGGTCACACCAGGGAGGGGAGCAATTGACGTTTATGATACCACTAGCATTTTCAACTTTTTTTCCCTAAAACATACCCAGCATATGAACTTTGAGGTAACAGAGGAGGAACTCAACGGAGGGGTTCGAGCGTTTGTTTTAAAACTGCATTGGGTTTGGATACGGCGTTATTCTTTATGAGACAGCGAGGCACATATTGAATTCATACTAGCTAGGTGCTTGCATATATGATACACGGCAGGGGTAGTGGAACAGCATTGACATTTGCATAAAATAGAGCATATAGAATGTAATGAATAATCTTAATGTTATACTACCATAATTCTCTCACATTTACCAATCCCATGATATATGTTGAATATATGTTGAGGATGAGTGAAAAGATGGGAGAGGATGGCTGCGGGGCATAGAGTGCTGGCTTCCTAATCTGGAATAAGTCTGCCGACACACATGAAATAGGCCGTGTGGCTCAATGGCAGAGCGTCTGACTACGATTTGGTATATCAGGAGGTTGCAGGTTCGACCCCTGTCTCGGTCAATTCTTTTTTTTTATATTTTTATAATACACCAAGCTGTGTATTCAAATTTCTTTTTGTTCTGTTCTTTCCTTTTGTTTGTGTCTATAATGCTTGATTGAAGATGTATGGCGTGAGATACAAGGCGCTCTGCATTTTCTTCCACGCCAAGTGCTACAGCTGCCTCCCTCAAGCGGTTGATAATGGTAGTAAAGTGTACATTACCCTGGAGAAGAAGAAATAGCATGAATTTGCGTAAGGTAATAGAAAACAAGTACTAAGCACTACAGCAACTAACAGCTCTTGCATAGAGCAGATTAACCTTGCGAGGGAGTGTCTAACATAAAGAGCCAGCAGGTGGCTATCATGGCATATTATAATCATACTAGGTTTATAATTTAGGTAGCAGAAGTCGAAATTGAAGGCAGCCGAGTATACACCAGGTCCCTATTACACAACACTGCCGCGTAAACATGCAGTCTCGGCTAATTCAGTGATTAGTTCGACCTATGCTCGGCCTATTAGCGCTGCAGCTTGCCAAGCGAGACTGCATTTATCCTGCGAGTTCTTTTCTAGGGAATAAGAATTATAACAGAGGACATGCATATGGTCTTCTCATAGTGGCAAAACCACCGAATAGAGAAGCGCAATGCTTGGGATCGAGCTCTTGAGATGAATACCGACGGCCGTCTTCCATCAACCAGGCCGTGTGGCTCAATGGCAGAGCGTCTGACTACGATTTAGTACATCAGGAGGTTGCAGGTTCGACCCCTGTCTCGGTCAAGCACATAAGTTTTTGCCTATTCCACAATCGGACGGGTAGCTAGAGAATGTTTGCCTTAGTGAACATTAGCAATGATGTCTGCTTTTTTGCTTTTTCCCTTTTTCACACCTTTTTACGTTATTACTATTTCTCGATGAAGAGGAGTTTCTTTTTCTTTTTCGCCAATCACCAACAACTGGAGTTACTGGGTCCCAGCGATCGATGGGCGTGATGATTGCCCGATTCGGTTCGGATACAGCCGAAGGCCAGAACGTGCTTCTGGATCCGAGTTCCACCCTAAGATGCGACTTGGAACCTAGAGAACCAACAGCTGGTCCGACCATGAAGTAGAAGTGCTTGGGTTATACAACGGAGTTTCAATCTGCTGTTCAAGGCAAGCGCTGCGTATACTAGTAGTAGTAATGTGGAAGCTGTATACTTGCATGTGTGTATCCTGAGCCAAAAACTCGGGCTTACTGGGTGTACGTTCCTCGAATACCACCTAGAGTGACCTAGGCTGCCAAGTGTGCCGCCCACTCTACAGCTGCCGTCTTGTACATATTTCCCTGAAATTGAGCAAGTGCTAGAGATCTTTGTAATACTAAGCCAGAGCCTTAGTGCTGTCAAATAACACAAAAAACAAAGGTATGTAATGAAGTAATGTCTCTGTTCTTTAGTGAAATGACTCTGCTATCCTCATGGTTCGTCCGCGTCCATTAGATAGCCTGAGCGTGCAGACAAGATGGCTAACAAGTCAGAAAAAGTGAGTTCCGAAAAGATACAAGAAATTATTGACCTTTTCCGCAAGAGCTGCCACGTGGATATGTGCTGTTATAAGAGTTACATTATGCTTGGCACTCACAGGCGTGGTTGCATGTACCCATCCCCTGGTTGGCTTGGCAAGGAACTTTTTGCTTCTCTACCTCTTCTATTCTTCACGTCTGTCTATTCCCTTTCCGCCATGGACGTGATTCTTCAGCTCAAATGCACCTAACCGTGGACATCATCTCGGGCTCCATCCGACAAAATTGCGCTCGATACCCCAGCACATGGCATCGTCCAATCGAGGCGCCTGTCAAACCGGCCATAGCGGGTATTACAGCGCTGTTAGCGTCCCAGTACCTGCAGCTTGGGCTCCCGCTAGAGGCCGCTAGAGCAGAGGCTTTCGTGCTGATTTCTTCATCAGGCCACGCCAATTGATGACGGCATGAGGCCGACCTGAGCTTGCATCTTGGCATCTGGACTTTGGCCTCTGATCCCTTGTCCTGGAGACATTCCGGTGATGCTGCTAATGGCTGGGGACTTGTGCTCGTATCGGCTGGAGTTGTTACCTAAGGGTGAGTGTTTTTTTCATTTCACCCAATCTTCGATCAAGTACACCTTCTTGCTACCAAGATATTGGCTCTTGCATCCGAACATCTGGACCATAGCGGTGCTTACTTTTCGTGCGGACTGAAGTAGAAACAAAAGGATTGGAAATGTTTTGTTTGTTTGCAGAGATTTAGCAGACGCTAATAACTTGCGGGATTAGGGTCTCGTAGGATCTGACGCTGCGGCTGAGACAAACAGTCTTATATCCGCCGGGGAAATACGATTCCTCCCTTGGTCTGGTTAAAGCAGTTCTGGCCAAAGCCTGCCATATGTGTTCGAACGAGCGTGGGCACCGGTGGATAAAATCAGGAGTTTGCGCCTCTCGGCGGGAATTTTTTCCTCCAACTGGTTGAGCTTAAGAGCTACCATGGCTCTGTCGTGCCAACGGATCGTACGGATAGCAGACTGGAGCCATCTACTGATGTTGACGGGATTTTGCAGCTGTATCGCCACTATAGAGTGCGTACTAATGCCAATATTAGCCAGGGTTGCTTTCTTGGTATGCAGGGGACCGAGAACCTGGTCCATCCATCAACAAATGCACCCTCTTCTACTTCTCCCAACACGGCCACTGAAGGATCTCTATCTTTCTAACCTGTATGTACTTTCTCGTGCTCCAACTGAGAGCAGTAAGCTCAATTGAGTTACATCAGACTCCAGAAATGGATTATGTGACAATCTTCAGCCCCAGATTATTCCCGCCTCATGGGGGATGGAGAGGCCCCGATAGGTGGAGAGCTATTAGCCACGAGGCTTTTAAGAGCTGGCCAACGTCGGGAACCTCTGCTAGTTTCCGGGATGGAGCTGAAATGACAGGGAAGCCATGCTTTTGAATGCGGCTGGTAGCGCCGATGAAGGCCTGTAACAATGGAATACGCTGCTCTAGTTCATTGGGAATCCCCAAAGCGGCTATCTGTCGGTCCAATGCGAATTCGGCCCCGAGCCGAATCTCTCTTCCATACGGCCAGCAGCCCCCGTTTGCTATATAGTAGCTGTGTGGCGCTCTCCTGCCTTTGTTTTGTCCCTTTCTCTGTATTCCTGCGTTGGCCAATCATCATCCACCTCAACGGATCGCAACTCAAGTCTCTCGACCATTTTATATAAACGACTCTCGTCCAATATCGCAAATATGAAGGCTTCTATTGTTCTGTCTTTTGCTGCTGCCGCCATGGCTAGCGTTATCGAGCGTACCAACGGTTGTAATGCCGATAACTGCGCTCGTGCCGTCACTGGCACTCGCGACGGTCTGCCCCCTATTTCTTCTCGCAAGGCCGATTGCTCCAGCTTTATGCGAGCTACTGTCACTCCAAAGGCTACGTACGTATTCACTCATAGCCGCGAGTTATACGTGCTATGTGATAGAAGTATGACTTCACTGTTGCTAACTAATTGTAAAGAACCACCACCATCACCATTACTGTTCACCCCGATATTACTCCCAAGCCCAAGAACGATATCAACTACGCTGCCGCCACCGTCCATCCCACGGCTGTCCCAGCCTATGCCTCTTCTTGCGACGGTGCTAAGCGATACTCCTCTGTTTGCTCTTGCTGGGGCATCACTGCCACCACCGTCACCGCTCACACGCCTACAAAGACTGAGATTGTCACCGTTACCCAGAACTACTGTGAGCTGTAGGTGGTGGACAGAAAGAAGCAATGGGCAGAGAAGGCTTTTTAAAAAACGGGGCTTTCGATAAAGTGGGAAGATTCGGCACTTATAGAGGCCGGTAATTGAATGCCAGCTATGTGCTTGAGCCTAGCTGCCAATGTTATGACGAACATGATATAGAACATGAAAGGATGCAAAAAGTCATGTATACTTACATAGCTTTCCATAGCGAGTTATCGAATGTCAAGACTCTATTGACATGCTGCTGCTGCCTCTGAGTGTCACCAAAAGCGCTGAGTCTATATGGTAACTCTGGAGTTTACGACATTGAGCTTACACGCATGCTGAGATAACTCGCATCCATCGATGGAATTTCTTCTAGTTGCTGATGAGATCCTTCTGTTTATTGTTGAAATGCGGTGATTTGTGGATGAATTTGCTTTTTCATGAATGAGATCTGCTTTTTCATTAAGGTGATATATTGTTCGTCGACGAAATCTGCTTTCTGTAGATGCCATATACAATAAAAGTTATTTAATAAGCCTTGATAACACTAAACGTCGAGGCATTGACACCCATTTCGAGAAGTTTACTGAAAGTAATCGCCCTATAAGCTATGTGTACTAGCAGGAAAAATCCCAGCGGTTCACATACTGCCACGAACTCTCACTAGTTGTACAGTAATATGATACTCTAAGCAACCCCCTACATACTTTCTCGTGGGCTTGTATCTTAGCGTCTAATTCGTATAGGCAGAGTAGAGTGTTGGACATTTTTGAGATCATTGCTATTCAAGAATTATCAAGAAAAGGAAACTCCGCAGGGCATTAAATCGCCATACAGCAGTTCCTCCAATAGCCGAAACTAGTGATTGAGCAACACTCTGCGTCTGCTTACACGTACATATGCTCCGAAGTACATTTCTGCCCTGTTCAGATGAGCCAGATTAAACTTAGTAAATGATATCGAATTGTGTTGTGTCATTTTGGCACTTGAAGTTTTACTGAGATTCTCTCATTTCCCCGTGAAAATGCTATTCATTTGTTAGGAATAGCTCGAAGAGCATTCTATACCAACTCTATAGAAACTGGCGATTAGCTTGGCGCCTCTCCGCAAGTGCCCAGTAATTCTAGACCTCTTTTTGTTCCTCCTTTATCTCTCTACGTTTTACCCCACGTAGCGCTCAATCTGACACTCCATATCTAACAAGTGATATTATTCGCTTGTTGTAGTGGATCTACTAGCCGTTATATGCCAAGGTTTGAGAAGCATGCCTACAAATTTGAAGAATGCTTGGCACAAAGCATAATGCGACGCAGTCACTGAACCCTTGTTATTGGTATTTCCTGCTGTAGATTGAAAGATTAATATATGTACTCATTAATCCAAATGTTGCCAGCAATTAAGATAGTACTTGTAAACTGGAATTATCTGTCGTCGGCACCCAGGAACTCAATTATAAGCCCGCGGACCTACAACTACCGCCGCCCCGGATTTACAAGACCGTTTTCTGGGCGTCGAGTCACGGCAATCAACCTGACACGCAAATTGTTTTGAAGCCGACCGTTTGTAAGGGTCTTTTCCATAATGGCGGTTAAGCTTAATACCCATGCACACCTTATCGGAGAACCTGAGACGTGTTATGCGCTCCCCAGAAAAGAGAGAGAGACAAGAAACTTCAATTTTAAAGTGTAAGGCATAACAGGACTTGCTCTATGGAAATCGAGCGAGCTCAATAATACAAAGGTGTCGACTTTCTAGTGAAGCTCCACCATAACGGACGAGCTGGCTACTCCATTTGAAGGTTAACCCGGGCCTCCCGAATGCCTACGATGTCCAATATTGGAGCCAACAGTGAGCTGAACGGCACAGATAGCCGATTCGTCTGTTGCGATGTAAACGGCAAATTGATGATTGCCAAATCTTAGCTGACTGCCTTGATTTAATCAAGTGGGACTTTTATGGCTTGTTACCAATTCGATCCATGGTAAGCATGGCTAGCAGCACGCTATAAGTGTAAGTCGCGCCAGAAAACCAGTGGAAAACTGAACTTTTCGTTTCCCTGGGCACGGTATTCGCCTGAGACGCCCGTGAGAAGGAGGCCTATTCTGGGGGTTAAGCTTCGAGATGAGACATACGAAGAATTGTAAGTGCCGAGGATGACAACACCGGGGGAGGCTGAGGGAATGCCCGGGGGTTGAATGAGGGTCGCATCCGAGATTGTAAGAGTTTTATAAGCTCATCCCCTATTCTTGGCGGAGCTACATCTAGAGGCCTCAACCCGCTCATTTTGCTGATTTCGACGGCAGCTGGTCTCTTCAAAAACTGTTCATCCCAAACTCGAATATTTGTCTTTCATTATAATACGCAGAAGATGACTCGGTTTACTCAGTTCACAGTTACTGCCCTGGCGCTGGTCGCCCCGGCATTTGCTTCCTGTGACTACGGAACCCATCTCTACCCCCGAGAGCACACCGTGCCCGTCAGCACTTTTGGTTACAACGATCTCATCGGACCTCTGAATTGGTACAGCCTCAACAAGACGGCCAACGAGCTCTGTGCCACCGGCCAGCACCAGTCCCCCATTGTGCTGGACTCGTCCATCGCCACGGCCCATGGCGACTCCATCTCTTTCACCGTGGACTCGTACCCCTTTGGAGCCGAGTTTGAGAATCTGGGCAGCACGGTTGAGGTGCCCGTCAACGGAACGCTCAAGGCCGGCGGCAAAGACTACAAGCTTGCGCAGTTTCACTTTCATACTCCTAGCGAGCACCGAATCGACTCTGAGTACCATCCTATGGAAATACACTTTGTGTTTTCTACCCCTGGTGAGTTAATAAGATGCACTTTGTGATGCATTCATGCGACCCCCTTCTAGGTCTTATGCCAAGATCTTGGGCTAATGACATTTTCCATGCGTGTGAATAGACAAGTCTACTGCTGTTGTATCTTTCCTGGTCGATCTCGGCGTGCCCAACCTCCTGTTGTCCTCAGTCTTTCAGAACATCAATGAGATTGCCACTCCTGGTGAAACCACCCTGACTGGGCCTCTCTTGTTTGCTGCACTGGAGAACCATCTCAAGTCCAACGCCATCTTCACGTGAGTCGAAAGCCTGGGAAGTAGAAACTTGCAAAACTTGAAGCTGACTTTTGAATGGAAATAGCTACTCTGGCTCACTGACCACTCCTCCGTGCACTGAGGGTGTTGATTGGTACATCAGCGCCCAGCCTCTGCAGATTGACACGGCTACCTATGGCAAAGTCAAGGACGTGATCAAGTTCAACGCTCGGTATACTCAGAATAAGCTTGGTGGCGTGAATCTGCTGCAGAACATTGCCAACGAGCTTAAATAAGCTGTTGAGTCGATGAGTTGCGTGTATTAGTAGTCATAAATTTGTGTATTTAAATATATTGTATATGAGCGGGTTAGGTGAATACGTGTCTTGTTCTATTTTGGGGTATGAAAATGAAAATGAAAGGTGTAAAATATTGGTAATAGATAAAGTTGGTTAACAAGTTATAATTCTCTAACCGGGGTTGATAGCTCCCGTGAAGCTTTACACTACTGCGAGTTGTGGCGCTGGTGTCTCAAGTGTCAGTAATATGCAGGGACTTGTTGAAGATGTCTTGGCTCAAATTAAAGTTTCACTATACAAAATGCTACTATCATTTCTATCTGTTATAAGACGCAGAGGGATAGCAGTATTTGTACCAAGGAATTGTCGTGTGACTACTCCACCCTTTACTAGAATGACAGGCGGGAGGCGCCGCGAAGATTCATCTTAGCCGAGCTGAGTTGTCAATGTTTTGGGACTCATAGGTACTGCTGCCGGTACCATTGAACTCATAGAGCTGTCACTATGATTTGAGGTCCACGGGCACATGAGTTTTGGCTGCCTTATGTAAGATGGAGAGAATAGCCTGATCGATTTGGCGGTGAGAGGGGAGCACACGCGTTGGCACTTTTTTCCCGCTTTTGCCACTACAAGCAGTAGCAGAGTGTTTACCATTTATGAAATCTGCTTGCATTGAATTAGGTAGTTGCTACAGTTCTTCTTACCCCTTGTGGATCAACAGCTTCTTGTACAGAGCACCGGATGAGTCTGCCGCCGAAATCCCCAGGTTAACCGCTCTTGGCCCTTCAAACTGACGCTGCCGTTGTCGCAGTAAACAAAAAACTCGTTGCTTCTGCCACCTACCAACTGCCAACCGTCCGTTTCACGGCCCCCTGGCTGGCTTGGCTGGCAAGACTGGAACTGTGGATCGATGACAGGGGAAAGGAACCGCTAAATTGTGTGTGTGCATGTAACATCCACGTAAGGCATCCATCAGATCGCTTCAGGCTGCAAAGCACATGATGTTGATGTTGATGTTGATCGTCTACTGGTGTTGATGTTGACGAGAAAAGACTCAATTGGCGCGTAGGAAAGTAGCTGCACTCGAATACTCTGTGCTTCTTCTCTTCCTCATCCATGCATAATAAGCAGCTGCATCAATCAATCGTTCAATCGCTCAGTCAATTGACAGAAAAAGCGCCGCTCTTGGGCGTCTACAGGCTCCAGGGGCTGCTCGCTAGTGGCGCGTCCGCCAATCAAGCCCCGCGATATGGCGGCCCGCCCGGCATTGGCAGGGCAACCGCCGTCAACAAACATCCTAACTAGGCCGCTGCAGGAGGTTGGGCCAACCAAGCGAAGCCACATCTGCACGCACTGCAGCGCTCTCCATATTTGACTATCACATCTCACCTCCGCTGGGAATCTCTGATCCTCCCTGTGGCATTTCCCCTGTGGTATTTTTCCTTCCTCCTCCTTCTGCTTGCAGCCTTTGTCAAGATTATATCATACATTCACTTGTACTGTACATCCCACCGTTTGTTATTCCCATCCAGCGTTGTGGGCGTCCGTTTTGTTGGGTTAAGCGAATTCAATCACACCTACATAATCAACCAACCAGCCTCTGAGCGCGAATCTCGGCTCGCTCTCTTTTAAGCTTTCATCACTTGACCCCTCATGCCCCGGCAGTCGAGGGCACAGGGCCCAGACTTTGACATCCACAACGACCCAGCCTGCAGTGGCCCTAGCATGGAAGACGAATACCGCTACGAAGACGTAGACGAGAGTGTCCTGCACACCTACGACGACAACGACGAGGAGGGCGACATGTCCCACGTCGACGGCGGCGACAACAGCTCGCACCACGAGAACGACAACGAGGACGACGTCTTCAGCGACAACAGCCCGCGCAGCTCCATGGGCTCCGTGTCCGAGGACGCGCCGCGCAAGAACGACGCCAGATCGCTGCGCTCCGACATCCCGCAGTACGAGGCTGAGGCCGACTTTGTGCCCGCTGCCAAGGGGGCTCCGCGACCGTCGGCCTTCCGGTCTGCCTCGGCCGTCAAAGCCGTGGGAATGAACTCGCCGGCGCCGTCTGTCTCGGGCCAGCCTCGCTCCGGCCGTCGCAGCGCCTTGCCCACCGTCTCGCGCATTGGCTCGCCGGGCGTCAGCCAGCCGCCGCAGTACTCGCCCAAGAAGACCCCGCCGCGCTTCAAGAAGAACGACCCGCCGCTGGTGCTCCTGCACGTCACTTTGCTGCCGCTGCGATGGCCGTGGGGCGAAGTCCTGGACGAGGCCAAGACCAGCGAGCTGAGCGAGGGCGTCAAGACGCTGCGGGAGGCCTGGCGAGAGCTGCAGGACACCATCGGCGACACCATCCAAGACCGTGGCGTCCTCCTGCCCCATCCCCAAAACGACTTTGAGGTCATGGAAGAGCGCCTTCTGGAGGCTCTGGAGCTTCCCTTCAAGCGACGAGCACGCATCCTGGAATGCGGCCATTATCTAGGCCCTTCCAACGAGATGCCCTTTGCTGATGAACACGACAGCGATGAGGACGATGCTTTTGATGAGGACGGAGAGATGCTGCCCAGCAATGACAAGAAGCCAACACACTGGTGCACCACCTGTTCTGGTGAGATTCCTGTAGACGCCCTCGGAGCTGGCAAGATTTATCGCGTCAAAGTCTACGCTAGCAACGGCTTGATGAGGGCTGGTGCGTGGGAGGCTTGCTGGAAAGAGATGGAGCGGGTCGACATTGAGTTGGAGCCCATGATGGACGCCAAGCTTCAGGACGAGCTCGTTCACATTGCCGCACGCCAGGACAGAGTCATTCACTCAAAGAGCCGAGCAGGCCGACGACCGATCTCATCCCGCATTCAGGATGTTGAGGACGAACGGGAGGACGAGTTCGAGGACCATGTTAATGAGACAATGAATGAGGGCGACGAGTCCTTCATGGACGAAAAGACACATCGCCGACAGACTTCATATGACACGAATTCCTCTGGCAAATACCGCCAGCATTCGGCCAAGAATTCCATGGGTGGTCGGTCATCGACGGGATTCGTGCCCCAAGATGAATCTTCTGGCAAGCAACAACGACGCTTCAAGGCGGGAAGCTTTCCCGACATGGTCGTCAACGCCTTCAAGACACTGCTGGATGACAAGAGAAACCTTGCTATCCTCCTCCTGGGCGCCCTAACCGTGGTAGTTGCGCTTCGTGGTGGCATTAGCAATCCACTTGACGACGTTGTTTCCTTCCAGCCAGTCGTTACCGACTTTGAGGCGCCGACTGCAGTCCTTAGAGACGGCGAAGGAGAGGGAATAGAGTTGGAGGGAGAAGCTGAAGATGGAACCTCGCCCGTGGATGATATCCTATTCGCGTCCCAGGCCGACGCTGACGGAGAGAACCCTTGCCCTGCCGTGGAGCCACAGACCGTTGAGAAGTGGATGACTGCTACGGTGACCGAGATGTCCACTGTGGCACGTACCGACATGCCCTCTGTAGACTCAGACTTTTCTGACGACGACGAAGAGGCTATTGTGGACAAGATGCTTGCTGGAGACACGCTCACTCTGGGTGAGAACTATGTTGAGGACGAGGAGGATATGCATGGCCAACAACACTCGAGCTGGAATTGGGGATCTCCGTTCAAGCTCTTTGGGTAATTTACTTTCTTCTTCTTCTGCTTCTATTTACTCCCTTTCTCTTTCTCACCTCTCTGTTTCTCTCTCTGCTATTTTGACCAGCGAATGATGAAGAATACCAATGATGCAAGTATGTAAGCAACGAGCTGGAAAGATGGAAATATGCCGCGACGAATATGATTATGTTTACTTTGGGAAGTGGAAAATCCTGTAGTTAGCTGGGGAGAGATGCGTACTTATAATAAGACTGGAACGTCGGATGATTGTTGTACAATGGAAGTTTTGGATATTGCTTTCGCATTTGGATGCTAATTGGTGGTTGATTTGTTTGCGCGAAGCCCATGATACCTTGTTGCCTATCTGCCTACTAGTACCTATATAGAGTAAAATGAAGCAGTAGATAGACTTTTCATGCATATATTACTTGGTATCAGATACAGCTGATAATGTCCACACTTTGAAACATCAAGATCTATTTGTTCATGCACGTTTCACAGGCCAAGCTGTGTGGCTTGACGCTCAAGATGCTGATACTACAAGGCCCCACTCGTCGTGGCGGCTACGTCAACCGTGTGACAAAAGTGTCATCCCGAGCGATTGCTGTAGTAGGTACCCGTCGCCAAGCTGGGGGAACATGCGCACAATGATACGATATATGCCGTTCGTGTATTATTACAGAAGCAAGAAGCAATTAATAAAATAGTAAAGATAATAGACAAAATGCTGTAGCCCGTATGTTCATATCCTTGCGCTGGCATAACGGAAGGATCCATAACCTCCTTCTTTTTTCTTAAATTTCTGCCCAACGCCCAAGGTCATCAAAATCAAAGGTATTCGTATGTTCATAATTCCAACCTCGGCGCTTTGTATGTCGCTGCCACCATCGCTATTCGTCGTCGTTATGATCATCCCATTACAGCCTGATATATATATCCATGCAATCGACCCTCCACTCCCGCTTGCCCAGCATGTTGCGCAGCCACTCGAAGCCCACGCCCGTCCATTCGTTCCTCAGCACGGCAATCTCCTCGGCGGCGGCGCGGGCGGCGGCCTTTGCGGTGGAATTGAGCATGTCGACGACGGTCTCGTTGAAGGCGCTGCTGCTGCTGGTGGTGGTTTCGTCGTCTTGGAGGAACGGCGCGGTCGGTCGGGGCTGGAACCAGTTGCTGCCGAGGTCGAAGAAGCAGCGGTCGGACCAGTTGCAGGACGTCAGGAAGAGGATGAGCAGGAGGACAGAGCAGTAGACGCAGGGGCGGTTGAGGAAGTAGGTGCAGATGAAGAAGAGGAGGATGAAGGCGGGCGAGGCGTTTGTTGGGATGAAGAGGAGGGGGAGCCAACTGTTGGATCATGTTTTGTTAGTTGATTTATAGAGAGAGAGACAGAACAAAGGGATGGATTGGCGTTGGGGGGAAACGAACCTTCGAAGGCAAAACATGGTGAGCTCTCGGTGGCGGTGAGTGAGCGAATAGAAAGAGATTATGCAGAGAGAGGGAGTGTCGCTGAGTTGGAGGAGGGTTGTGAAGTTGAAAGCTTCCTTGAACGATGGAAAGTCGAGAGTGGCGAGACCCTATGATGTGGATATCACTGACTTGAAGAGCCAAGCATGTGATGGAGAGTCCAGCTCAGAAAAAAAAATATTCAATTCCCAAAACAAATAACAGTGAATAAGCAAGAATGGGAGAGTTTGTCCTGTGTTATGCAAGATGGACAATATCACTGCTGGCAGCTTTGTTGTAAGAAAAAAGGGCCATGATAGGATAGCTGGAAAGATACGATAATCTCTACTGGCGCTCAAGTCGAGGTGAGGCTGAGCTAGCGTTGCGCCACACGAGGCTGTTGACTCGACACCGCATTTTCGCGATCTTCCCCTTTGTCTTTCTCGCTGCTTTTTGGTATTGGAAATGAAGCTTAGTACTATATCTAAAAGGGCTTTGACCAAATCAAGATGAATTCATGCCCTGTGCTACTTGATTTTTTTTCTCCCTTGCATTTTCATTTTGTTTTACCACTCTTCCTTATCTTTCTCGCTTCGGGCTTTGCGGTTGGGTATCTGTGACGTGCTTGAAGAGGTGTGTGTGAGTGAGCTGGCAGCAGTGGGTACATGCTAGTGCACGCATAAAGGCGCTGAGATCCCTTGGATTTCTTGCCTTCTCCTATGTTGATTTGTTGCCTAATTGGTTGGTCACTAAAGTATCTAGTCTCGTAAAATTTCCTCTCTCTTTCCAAGCGAGCTTTTCATCTGCTTGGACCTTTGTTAACCCTTATCGATGCATAACTCGTAAACGATAAACATCTTGAAGAGCAAAGTCTGGGCTCTTCTCGCTGACTAACCCGTCGGAGCTTAAACTCTTCAGCAGCCCGTGCGCCGCAAACTGGTGGGATTTCCAGGCGCGTCTCCAGTGGAGGCTCTAGCGCCCACAAGCGCTCTCCCGCACCTTTGCTTCCGCTGCTAGCAGAAGCACGCACTGGAACTAAGAATTTAGGCCTAGGCCGCCTTGTGCTACGCCTAAGTGAATTGTGACCTGACTGCCGCCAAGTTTTTTTCCACACTCCTTTCACGAAACTTCAGACTCGAAGCGCCTTCAACACGTTTCTCCCAACTTACTTTCTTCATCCTCTTCTTCGCCATCACCCCCATCTTCTATCCCTCCCCGCAACGCCACAAACCCAATTCTTCAACCCCTCCATCGAGAAATCAGAAGCAGACACGCAGCTTCAGGTCGCTCCACATTCGCCTCCACGCCCATCTCGCGCAGCGCGGCAGCCAAATCAGCATTGCATCGCATCGCATCGCATTGCCCGATCGTCCGTCAATTCGCAGCTCCCGCCCATCATGGATCTGCCTCCTGCACCTACTCCGCCCGTGTCTGGCGGCGTCGGCCCCAATTCAGAGCGGACTGCCAATCTGCTGAATCTGCTCAAGTTTAGCGGCCCCGGCAGCTCCAAAGACCTGCTGCAGGCGTCGAACCACAGCCAGAGTCAGGGCCAGGGTCAAGCTCAGGCTCATGCTCAGGCTCCGCTGCCAGCTTCCTTATCATCCGCCCAGCAGCATCAGCAGGCGGCCGAGTCCCCCTCCCAGCCTCATTCCCAGCTCCAGCACCAGCATCAGCACCCAGAGCCGTCGTCGGTGCAGCCTGAGAGGCAAGACGATGAGGTCGACGACGACGAAGACGACGAAGAGCAGTACCAACGTATCCAACATCTCCAGATGCAGTCCTCGCACCAGTTCCAGCCCCGTATCCATCAGCCTGCCCCCACGGCGGCCGATCCGACGGGCCTGCTCGCTGCCCTTATGAGAGGCACTCACGAGATGGACGAGCCCAAGTCTGCTCCCACGCCACCCCAAGTCCAGGCCCAGCCTGCGAATTCCTTTGCTAGCGGAACGCCGCCGCCTGATACCAGATCGTACCTTCTCAATCTCCTAAACAGGCCCAAGCCTAGCCAGACCGACCAGCCGCTGCTGGTTGAGTCGTCACGCTCTAACCAGCACACCCCACAATCGCAGGAGCATATGTCGGAGACGAGCAGCCGTTACTATGGCCATCACTCGCAGCAGCCTCAACAGCAGCATTCTCAGCCGCAACACTCGCAGCAGCAGCACCCGACCGCCTATCACCCGCAGCAATTGTACCAGCAACAGGTCGAGGCGTTTGCCGGGCATGGCACTGCAAACGCCAATCCCATCTTCTCGCCTACGCCAAAGGACCCCGCAGATGTGTCTGTTCTGTATCAGGCACTGGCGGGCACCTTGAACCAGATGTCGCCTCATAGTACCGGCAGCGTCCATGGGTCTGGCCCTCCGCCTGCATTCCACATCTTGAAGAAGGATCAGAGCTCGCCGGCAGGTTCTAATCCCTTTGCCGGCAGTGAGCGAAGCTCTTTGCAGAGCCCTCCTCAGCAGTTTAGGCATAGCCTTGACCGGGCTTCCTCTCTTCGTTCTCATGAATCGCATCACTCTCAGCACTCGCATCATTCCACCCAGCACTCTATAAAGCAGACGCCTACGACTTCTGACTTTGGTAGCTTCGTCAACATTGACAAGAACCGAGAGACTGTTTCCGAGGCCGTTCACGACCTCGCCGGTAGAGCCGATCGCGACGCTCAAGAGGCCTTGGATAGGGCTGAACGTGAGACTGCATCCAACTATGCCGACAGTGCCACCGTCCGACCTCACGATGAGAGTGACTGGGTTCAGCCATCCAACTACTCTGACGCTACTCGCTCCATCGAGAAGCAGATAATTGATGATATCAAGTCTGATCAGGAGCATCGCGGATACGGTTCCTCCCAGGAGCATCTTTCCAAGGAGGAGGCCCCAGAGTCCAGAGATATTGACAATCATGGAATCGCCGACAGCTGGGAGAGCGCTGATCAAGATGAGATTGTCGTCATCGAGGAAAAGGAGGCTCCCTCTGTCAGGGTCTACAACTTCCCGATGAAGCCATGGATTTCCATTACGCTTCAAGAGGACACCACCGAGCCTCGTCCTCAATTCCGCGAAGAGTCAATCATGGACGTTGCTCACCTCAAGAAGGACTTTGACCAGATTGATCGCAACTTGTACACTGCCTCTCAGTCCTACATGACTCACGGCATGTCCAAACAGGGTGGCTTACGTGTCATTCGTCAAGACGATGGCAAGGACGCAAAGGTTTTTAGAGATACCAAGGACCGCATCTTCAACGTCGCCATGTCTGTCACCCCCCACGATTACGAAGGTGTTCCCCGAGAGGCCATCATCGCTACTGGCATCAGCGGCACCGTCTACTGGGTTCAGATCAAGGATGGTGAAAAGGATCACCTCGAGGATCCCCATCTTGAGCAGTACGGCTTCGCGCTGCCTCCCATCAACTCTCAGGAAGGTGATGCTCCCGGAGGCGCCCTCAAGACTCGCGCCAGAGCCTCTACCAATCACCCCGAGTTCTTCGCCGTGGGCCGTGGCAAGTCTATCCACTTTATCTGGCCGTCCTTTATCTTGCAGAACGGTCTTTTCAAGCCCGGACACGACCGCGTCGCGGATACCGAGGCACTGCTGAACCAATGCTCCCTCAAGATCAACACTGGCAAGGCTGGTAAGGACTTTACCTTTAGCCAGGACGACTCTGTTGTTGTCTCGCTGGACAAGTCTGGCCGTGTCAAGTTTTGGGACGTTCGCGATCTCACCGCTGTCAAGGAGGGCTCGGATCCTCGCAACCCCGCCCCCGCTCACTCGTCTTTGGAGATTAAGGAGCCTTTAATGACTCTGGCTAGCACTCCAGAGGGCGAAAAGGCCTGGCCGACATCCGTGCTGCTCCTTGACAAGCAGCGCCCTTACCAGAAGCGATGCGCGCTGAGATACATGATTGTTGGCATGAAGCAAAACCACACTCTACAGCTGTGGGATCTCGCTCTGGGCAAGCCTGTTCAAGAGTTTAACCTGCCTCACAGCAAGGAGTCGGACGCCGTTTGCAGCGTCATGTATCACCCGGCCAGCGGCATGATCATCATCGGCCACCCGACTCGTAACTCGGTCTACTTTGCGCATCTTTCGGCTCCTAAGTATAACCTAAAGAACGTAACTCAGGCCGAGTACATCCAGAAGCTGGTCAACCAGGACCCCTCTATTCCCCAGCCAGATAGTACTGCTGTCATTAGCGGCGTTCGAGAATACTCCTTTGCCAACCGCGGCATTCTACGCAGCCTGGATATTCTCGCTACCCCTGCCATGGTCCAGGATACAGACGAGCCCACGTTGTTTGAGCTGTACGCCATGCATTCCAAGGGTGTTGCTTGTCTAATGATTAAGCAAGCTGAGCTTGGATGGTCCAAGGACAACAAGGTGCTTGATGCTGTCGATGCCGTCATTGAGGGTGTCGTCACCGTTTCTAAGCTGAAGACTCCTGTTCAGACGGATGTTGCCAACGGTACCACTACCACCGAGCACACTACTCCAGTGCGCATTGCCACTCGATCCGCGACAAGAGAGATTCTACAGCCGCCTGCTCAGGCCGCTGCCCCTTCTGAAGCAGCAACTACTCCTCGGGTCATCGAACAGCAGGTGACCACCCCGGCCAAGCCCAACAACGACGCCAAAGAGATTGAGACCCCGGGACAGTCATCTAAGGAAAACCATCCCGAGAAACATGAGCGCAGGCAGCGCAAGAAGAAGGGCAAGGATGCCGAGGCAAATGCCAATGGATCGGCGTCCTCGCACAAGGGCGAGGCTGCTGCGCCGACCAACAAGAGCGCTATCAACGGTGGCCTGGTTGCTGGTGGCATCTCGTCTGAGGCATTTGACGCCGCCATTGGTAGCTTGGAGACGAGGCTCGGAGCTACCGTGTCCGACTCGTTCAAGTCTTCGATGAATAACTTGCACAACAAGATCAACGACAGCGCTCGCGTCAGGGACGAGAGCTTCAACCAGCATCAGCTGAAACTGCTCGATATGGTTTCTGACATCTTGAACGAGAACACTCAGAAAGTGCTCGAGAATTTGATCCACCAGCAGTTCACCGATGTTGTGATACCTTCCATTGGCGACAAGACCAGCAAGGTCGTGGCCGATATGGTCCAGAATAAGATCCAGGTCAATATGGCTTCCGCTGTGCAGAAGGAGATCCAAGGTGCCCTGCCCCATGCCGTTAGCCGCTCGCTGCGGTCCAACGATTTCATCAACGCAATCTCTGATAGAGTCAGCACTGCGGTTACCACCAGCGTACAGCAGGAGGTCATTTCCACGATTTCTCAACGCTTGGCGCCCACATTCAACAACATTGCTACCCAGGCGGCTCAACGCGTGGCCACTGACGTTCACAAGCAGTACCATGAGCAGTTTGAGCAGCTGAAGGCGCAGCATGCCGCAGACAACAACAAGATTGACCAGCTTCTGTCCTATGTTACCCGGCTGTCGGATATGGTGTCCACCATGGCAGCTTCGCAGTCATCGCTCCAGGCCGAGTTCCTCAAGTTCAAGCAGCAGCCTGTTGAGCTTCCCGTCGTGACTGCTGCCGGCGGCGGCATCAACGTTCCGCACGCTGCCAGCGTTGCTCACAGCATCGGATCTCATGGTTACGCTAACACTGTGGCCAGCCACCGCGCAAGCTTCCCGCCAAGCCAGGCTCCTAGCCAGGCTCCTAGTCACCCCCAGCAGTATGGAAGCCCTCAATACATGCGCGGATCTCAGCACATGGCAAGCCCCCATGGATCTGCCGCCCCGTCGGACCACGTTGGCCCGGCCAACAACGTGGCTGCGCTTGCCGGTGCCTATGCCAGCCAGATGAACAAATCCGAGGCCGAGGCCGACAACGACCTTGTGCAGCGCATCCGAGTGATTGAGACGGCGATTGCGGAGAACCGTCTGCAGGACGCCATGATCCAGTGGATCCAGAGCGGCCGTGAGACGGAGATCTTCCGGCGCTGCTTGAGCCGATACCCTCCCGGCAAGTTTGATTCCTTGCAACCGCTGATGCTGCTCGTTGTGATTGCGACAATTTCCAAGGATTTGAAGCCGAACCCGCGTCTAAAGGAGGAAGTTGAATGGATTGAGATGGCTGTCAGGTCGTTTGGCGCCAGCTTGCCCAACTACGTGAGTTTACCTTGTTTGCCTTTGCTTTCGTACAATTGCCAGATATGCTAACCGTATTGTTGCAAACTACAGAACTGGGACGATGACATGTCTCGTGAGGTGATGAAGAGCACATCGCAAACGATGCAGCTGCTCATAACCCGCGTGCAGCCTTTGATTGCCGGCATCCAGGACGGATTCCCTACTGATCCCTTCTTGGCCAACCTCGACCGAGGCAAGCTCGAGTGGATTGTGTCAACATCCCAACACATCTTGGCCAACTTTTACTAGACGACAGCATGATGGCTTTGTTTTTTTCATAGTGGTCTTTTATTTGCTTATTTTATATATTGCCTGGCGTACGCGAACGTAAAAGCCCAGTTGCATGATGCGGATACTTTTTTTTTGTAATTTATGTCGGACACTGTACATTTTAGGTAGAGAGGGAATGGACTTGGGGCATATTATGTGTAATCTCTCAATCACACTATAGCATGCGACTATTTTTCGTTCTTTTGAGTTGTGACCCCTGTATATGGACTTTTATTGCTAAGCTGCTGTTGATTTTATAGTTTCTGATTTCTTATCTACCCGCACCTACAGTACGGGCGAGGAAAAGCTTAAAATGTCGTGCCGCATACGTAATGCCACACGTCACGGAGCAATTGTAGGACGTGAGCGGTGTTGTGTCGCGTGGATACGTATTTCTGCGGGCGCCGGTAAGATTTAATCGCGATTAGGTGTTCCTATTGACCCGAGAGGGGGATGTCTGATGAGTGATGCATCGGCTGCATGGAATCAACGAATATATTGCGAAGAATACAAGGGTTTTTGATTTTCGTTTGAGCTATTCAATCTTCTTTTGAACCCTACAGATCCTTGCTCATCGAATTTGCTTTGCATTCAAGAGATTTGGACAAGTTGATTTGTTGCTGGAGGCGGGCTCGAAGGTCTTGGCATCGATGATAGTTCCGTAGCTGCCGAGATGATAGAGGGCGGCAAAGGGGTAATGGAAGAGCGAAAAAGGTTAAAGAAATGCCGGAGAAGAATATCTGCGTTGGAATTAAAGTTGCATGGAGAAGAGATTCGGGTTGTGTGGCGATGTGGACATGTCGTCATTCATTTTACTTTTTGATGTCGGTTTTGTCCTATCATTTATCATGTAGTGTTTAGTAAGTTCGGCATATATATATATGTAAGAGAGAGAGAGAGAGAGAGAAAATGTAAGGTTTTTGGGATTGAGTGATTGTTTGCCTCCCCCTTTTCTCTTCTTCTTTTCTTCTGATGAATTGAGGCTTTGAAGGAGTGTGACGATTGTATGAAGATGGGACTTTTCAAGGATGTTATTGAACCAGCGAGTATGTCAAGGACAACAAGACCACGAATGTTCCAGCTCTTTAACCAGTTTGGCAATCACGCAGTGCTGACAGAGTACAATGATAAACAATAGCCATCATCCTCGCCTTCACGGCCGGAACGCTGATCAACCGGCGGCGCTTGAAGCACCCTCACCAACGTGACATCGAATCCATACCCGAATGCATAGCCGGCGAGAAGAGGACTGACGTCTCGTCAGCCGAGCGCAGGAAGAAGAGAGGAAAAGGCGGCTCGGACCTGCTGGTGTTTCGATGGCTGTCGTGGATTTTCGGGACGTTTCCGTTTTTGCCGGAGATATGGTATTGGCTTTTGACTTATTGGTCCGCCTGCCTACTACGAAACGAACAACAAAGAATGGATTTGAATTGATGCTGATGTTTATTTTCTATAGGATATACCAACTTAGTCGGGCTTTTACAGCCCGTGCTATAGCTCCCTATCCGCACATCTACGCCCTCGCCAAAGAGCACGCGCTGCAGCTGCTCGCCATCGAACGATTTCTTCACATCGACTTTGAGCAGGCCTTTCAGATGAACATGCTTACGAACCATCCGTGCATCATGCCATTCCTGCGACACGTTTACCACTCGCACATCATCGTCGGCGTCGTCTTTATAGTCTATACCTACACGTTTCTGCCGCAGCCGGTGTACCGGCGCATCCGCCGCACCATTGCCATGGACAACTTGATCGCCTTTGTGATTGTGTCTCTATGGCGCTGCTACCCGCCGCGCATGCTTCCTCCCGAGTACGGCTTCGTGGACGTGCTGCACCCGACGGCCACGGAGCCGGGCTCGGTGTGGACCAACAACCGGTTCCGGCTGACGATTGCGGCGATGCCGAGCCTGCACTTCGGCACGGCGGTGCTGTTTGCCGTGAGCTTGGCGCGGTTCAGCCCGCACGCTGTGGTGCGGTGGATGGCGGTGCTGTGGCCGATGGTGATGTTTGTGACGGTGGTGGCGACGGCGAACCATTTCGTGCTGGACGTGGTGGTGGGCGCGATGGTGCCGGCGCTGGGGTGGAGGTGGAATCGGGGCGTGTTGGTGTTGAAGGGGGTGCATGATTGGGTGCTTTCGCCGGTGACTCATCGGATGGATTTAGAGGTTGAGGAGGAGTGACGGTTCTTGGAATAGTTGCAGACCATGGTTGGTGGTTCAACTATGGTTTAGTATTGATCGTAAAATATATATAGTGCTTAGATATATCATCAAGTAAAATATTATCAAGTATTGCCATTCTCTACCTTACATCTCACATCTCTCAGCTGTCCAAAATGCCTGTCCCCGTCGAAGCCATCATCAAAACCTACCACTTTGACCCCAAAGACGCAGAGCGCATCGCCTTCCGCCGCATCCCAAACAAGATTGAAATCGTGGAACCCAACCCGCTATGGCCCCAGTACTTTGAGGTGCTTAAAGAGCGCATCGTCTCCGCCCTCGGCTCGACCATTGTCGAAATCGCCCACGTCGGATCCACTAGTGTTCCTGGCTTGCCCGCCAAAAACCTCATCGACATTGACCTCACCGTCAAGGATATCCTAGACGAGGATTCCTACGTGCCGCAGCTGCAGGCGGCGGGATTCGATTTCTTGTTCCGCGAGCCCAAGTGGCATCAGCACCGCTTCTTTTGCGCGTACGAGCCCGTGGCTAATTTGCATGTCTATGGGCCGGATTGTCCTGAGGCGGTGCGGCACAAGATTTTTAGGGACTGGTTGAGGAAGACGCCCGAGGATAGGGAGGCGTATGTCAAGGTGAAGAGGGAGTCGGCGGAGCTGGCGCAGAGCTTGGGGAATGATAATGTGAATGAGTATGGGAAGAGGAAGGATGAGGTTGTTGCGGCGATTTTGCAGAGGGCGTTTCGGGATTTGGGGTATATTGAGTAGCTTGGCTCGAGCTCTTGTTTATTGATTGAGACACGGATCTAGCTACATGATGTGGTCTTACTGGCTATAGGTGATGATCATGGTCAACTACCGCTCTTCTCTTCATGTCCGCTATAATGTGTTTGTCGCCTGACGAACGTCTAAAACTCCCAGCTACCAGCCAAGCCCAAAGCCTCTATTCCAGAATTAATTCAGCCGCAGCTTTTGGCTGGAGATACGTAACTTTTTATGCGTGGGCTGGAGACTTTGATGACGCCATGGCGCGCCACTTTTGCTAACCCAGTGCGGCCGTACTTGACATCGAAGTGAGGCTGGATAGCCGCATCTTGGCTATACCAGATCTGCTCTGGTTGTGACGGCAACTTTTGGGCCTTTGTCGAGGGAAAACTTATCCAGTAGCCCAAAATCTACTATCCAACAAATCAGCTGTAGCTCAACACAGAGGCAGCCTATATACGGGTACGTGTTAAGTTTATGTCATTTATATGTACATGTACTCATTACAACAGCTCACAGTCCACATATCAGGTTTGTAGAGGTTAATTGGATTGTGCTATGTGCTGCTGCAAGTTTTAAGTATATATCATCTCGTTACAATATGGTGGTAATGTGAATGCTTATCGCATACTATTATTCCCTGATTTTGCATTTTCATGCCCCAGCGTCTCTGATAGTCCCGTGTTTCATCCATGCCTATGCAAATGATATGGTGAAAACCGTCATTTTTGACTCCTTCTAGAATAAGGAACCTCACTTCAGTTGTTTCACCAATATTACCGTTGGTGTTGTCGAGTCAAACGAGTTGATGGAGCCCACAGCCGTTTCACTACCTTCATGCTCGCTGCTCTCTTTATGACACAACATCTCGGTAGCCCGTGGTTGTTGAAGCAGTTCCACCAGCGCTGCTTCATCGAGAATGATTCCTGAGTCGATTCTGTGACGGATACTGGCCGCGATTTCAGCAACTACGCCTCTGTTTTAGTATAGAGAAATGATGTCTGGTGGGATAAGAACTGGCTCTTACTCATGGAATCCGTGAAAAGAGGCTTCGCTTTTATGGGCTTCACTACCAAGAGAAGCTCTTTGGCATAAGCTGCTGCTGTTGCACTTGCGTAGTATTCCCATTCGTCAGTCTTATGACAGTCGGCATAGTTACTTATCCCTCGTATCGCGATACATGGAAAGTCGTTCATGAGGCCCGCAGACTCCATCTCAAAACAGAGCACGTACCTACCTTCCATCTCGCCATAGCTCACATAGTTTTCTTTGGAATCTTTCATGACTGTGTTTCCGGATGCCACAGTGCCGTAAAAAACGTCGACATCTCTCTTCAAGTTCCGTGGCTGACGCACATCGAGGTCCTTCATTTTGCACTGTGAACAATTTTTTTCTGAAACAGCATGGTAACTGTCATCTTTGAACAAGTAATCATTCTCTGGCCTCTGGAAGCGTGAATCTTCGCTTAGAAGCTTCAAATGTTGGTCTATTCCTCCATATCTCGCCGGATTGTTGTGTCTTCGCTTTACTTCGGGTAGCGCACTGAGAAGTACTGCCGGCGGAGAATTGAGGTGTCCAGCTCGGTCAAGACCTCGGTCTTGGTATCCAGAATCATGCTGAAAGACGCCTCCAGAGTCTGCATTTGGCTCGCTGACGACAACGTCACCGAGGCGGATGTCCCGCCCCTTTATTGGTACACCGCCTGCTGTGCCCACCATCAACAAGAATCTCAGCTGGGGAAAAGATCGCATCATATCTTTGGCAAGGCGAGTGGCTGGAGTTGTACCCCTCTGGCCGGATGGGAGGCAGCTAATCACGATGCGATGTTTGCCGATCCTGCCAAAGAAATATGTATTGCTGTCATTTTGCTCTGCTAATTCTGGACCTGCAAGGTCTTCATCTAGCATCGCACAAGCTGCCTCATATACTTGTTGGATGGCACAGATCCACCCTACAGTAAAGGTTTCATTGGATGCCATGTCTTGTATGCGATAATAGAAATGTTTCGAAAACAGCTGTTTTAAAAAAGATGAGGTAATATTATATCGTATGTAGAAATTTGAGAATAGTCCGAGTTTATCTTTGCAAAGAGCAAGAAGGTAAAAATTACTTATATACTGATACATATGAGCATAAGAGGCAGCCAGAAGAATGAGCCCTTTGTTAGCCGTATCAACTGCGCGCGTTAATGCTCCAATCGGGAGATGGCTCCTTGTTTCGGCTCATGCAAGTCTGGCGCGTATAAGCCGAGCCACACAGCTGGGCGCTTAAATACCCACACACGTCAACGTCGTGAAAACTAAAATTTCGGAGTACAAAAGGCCCTAATATGTTGTATCAATGGGGCAGTACCTATTTAGATTCCACGATGCTATTCAAGAGTGCTCTGAAGCCGCCAAATATGCTTCGTTGGTGGGGTAGGCTGTCCCCAAGATTCTACTTTTTATATATTCGCAGTAACCCTTTTGCTACAACGTGGCGTGTGGCAACGAGCTTGTCTTCCTAAGTTTCTTGGATCTCATATTTGCGTTTGCTCCATGCTGGGCGGTCGTTGTAGGTCTGGATCCGGCTGTACACGTCAGCGTCTAAATACGCATACTTGTAAGGGCAAATCTTATTTGTCCCATACGTGGATAGCCGAGTAAATCGCGGGAGCAGGTGTTCTTGTTAATTTATACAGAGACAAAGAAATTAGACGGTACCCATTGGAGTAAGAAGAGGGTGTGACATGGGCGAAGCTTTTCACCTGTCTGAGTGATATCGAGATAATCATTACCTGCATGCTAAGAAGCGCTGGAAATGGTCGTCAAGAGAAGGTCTTGAATTCTGGATTCACTTACGATAACTCTACTACTGCGAGGTGGGCAACTCTCTCAGCGAGTGCATACTATAGATCAAGTCTCGCAAGCTTCGGAGCTAACTGCTCTGCGGGTTCAGCTACATGTACTATCTATCTAATACAATAGCTGCGCAAGATCATACCCAGATAGCCTATATAGGAGGAAAGCAAAAAGCATATGTCAAGTAGGCACAAGGTAAGCTACTGCTGCTAAGATCATTTCGATTTCCGCATTCTAGGTATACATGGTCAATAACCGATTTGGGAAACGGGGGCTTTCGGCCAAATCTTGAAAATTTAATTACAGCCCAGAATGTTGTAACTGTTGGAATAAAGGGCACCAGAGTATTCGATTATCCTCCGATTATAGTTCTACTTGACACAATAGATATATACGGTGGAGCTCACACACCTTGATTGAACTCAGATTTCTAGCTATTGTCAGCCCATAGAGTCCTCTTCAACTTTTGCTACAACGAATTTTCCCGCATGCCTCAGCTTCACCATACAAAGTACTTGCAAATGCGCATATCGATATCGTCTTATTCTGGGATTCAGATATGAACTGTTCAAAGGACTGACATCAAATACTTTGCTTATTAGATTTTACTATGTACCATGTACTAGTTTGCTCGTGCTAGCACGCTCGAGCCAATTTGGTTCTTTAGCTGTCGTCAACAAAACAGACTAATTTTTCTCTTTTTAATGTGGCCGAATCCACTCCTTAAACTTCACCAACTTACTCTGACAGCTACTAGCAATCGATGAAGGGTAGACAGAAAATGGAAACCTAGAAAATGGGAGTCTCATGACGCGTTCTCCCAGAACGGACAAGAATATATTTCTCGCTCAGCATTGACATCTCCGTCCTACTGATGCGGCAACTTGTCAAGAATACGCCTCTCGCCGACGCGCAGGGCTTGTCAGATGTGCAGACTCATCAAGCCATCGAAGCAGTTCAGCCACAATGCCAACAAGAGCGAGAGTTGGGTAGCTTTTCTTCCTTGTACTTCTAAAATTCGGAGCATGTCGTAGTACCAGATTCAAGGCGTATAGAGACTTTGGAGATGAGACGGTGCCCGTCGGAGCACGTAGACGAATGAATACGGTCAAAGTATTTTTCTGCCTGCAAAGACTTTGGGCCTACTGCTCCATGATTTCAACTACAAGTATAACCGAGTACTATCGCTCCACAAGATGCTAGATGGCGTATATGAGTAAAAGCAAAACACTTTTTTTAAAGTATAATTTCCATGGAATCGAAAAACCTAAATCTACACTCAATAGTGGAAGCGTTAATCATGGTGCCTATAGCCTCTTATTTACCTATATATTGAGCTCCTTTCCTCTCTACAGCTTCTACTCTTTTCTCTTCCTTTACTATCTCCACAGCCTCTGCTATATCAACAGCTTCAACTGTCTTTATAGCTTCACACTTTCACAGCAACTACCATCCCTACAGCTGCTACCATGTCTGCCATTTCTACAGCTGCCACCATCTTCACATCGTCTACCAGCTCTAGACGCACTACCCAGACAACACCAACCGACTTGGCCATGGCATCGCCGTCACCGCCAAGCAGCAAGGAGGCAGACCTCTATTACTGGGGACTTCCCTCCCGCCCCAAGCTGGTTGCTCGCTCCAGCACACATGTCTGGGAAGACCCGTTTTGGTCACCCTCCCCCTCCATGATGCATAAATCCCTTCGTCCTGCTGATGGGAATCCGTTACTGCACCGTCTGTGGAACGACGCAACGTCTTCCCTGAGAAACCAGATCGTGGAAGCCGTCGACGCCGCAGACTGGACGGCAGTTGATATCCTGCGCCTGGGCTGTGCTGGAGAATTCCACACAACTCTGCTGGTATCCGTCAAGCCAGCGTCTCTTTCTTGGAGCCAGGCGCATCCCATCACGCTGCGATGCAAGGCCATTCTGGAGGGGCATGGCATCGACAATGTTCATTGCGAAATACGCGAGAGCATTGTCACTCCTTGCGGCAATGTCTTGTCTAGAAGTAAATCCGCTGCCGTTGCCGACACGACAAGCGGATTGCAGCTTTCTTCGGCTTCTAGGACAAGACTGCGAGCAGACCGTGTCGATATGTCCGACTGCCTTGGTACCCGGATATCTATGAAAGATGACGATACCAGGTTTGGCACAAAGGGCATATACCTCTCTGTCAAGCCATCAGATCGCCAAAAGGGGGAGCAGCCTAAGATCGTGGCCTTGGCTTGTGGGCATGTAGTGGCACCCCAGAAGAGTAGGAGTTTGACGACACGACTCCAAGGCTCCCAGACACCCAGAGAAGCCATCCAAATCGACCAGCCCGAGTACGACAGCAGACTTGCGCGCCTTGAAAGCTCCGCCAGACAAGATCGTAACCATGCGACAGAGTCCCGCAACTGTGGCGATACCGAATCTGCAGTTGCATACGACCAGATAGCAGACGACGAGGAAGACCTTGTCAGGAAGATGAAGCCGTATGTGGCCTCTTCCTCAAGGGTATTCGGAACGCTGCTCTCCGCGCCGAAACTGGTGTATTCGCGAGCTCTACGCGACACGCCAGGTTACGATCCATGGCTCAGAGACTGGGCGCTCATTGAGCTGTTGCCCCGCCGCCACCAGATTTCTCTCGACACTCTGAGGAACAAGGTCTTTGTCGGACCACCGAACCACCTTCGCAGTATTGTGCACGACAATTCGGCCGGATGGAGAGGACTCGAGAGGATCAACGTCCCAGCGGCGCTCAACGGCACCCTGGCGCTGGCAAAGACGGCCGTTCCCATGAGCGAGCTTTACCAACCCGCTCCTGATGCTAGCGACGACGAGCCGACGATGCTTGTCGCGCAATATGGAGCGGGCGGGAAGCTGACGGTAGGCCTCGGCAACAGCTTGAAGTCGCTTGTTCGTCGAAATGAGGCTCTGGATGGAGACGTCGAGAACTACGGCGAGGAATGGGCCGTAACATCGTTTGCCGGGACTGACCATCTCCAAGCGGCATTTTCGTTGAAAGGCGATTCTGGGTCTTGTGTATGGGATATACATACGCAACGCCCTGCTGCGATTATCATGGCGGGAGTACACAGCCCGGCGCAGAATGGGGGCAACGATGTTACGTATGCGCAGCCTTTGGAGCGTTTGCTTGGTGATATTGGGCAATATGGCTTTGACGTTTCGCTGGTATAACTGGAAGAGGGGCGTGTAAGATTTCTTTGTAATTCCATGTAAAAGTATTATAGACTGGTACAATGTATACTGCAATAGTACAGTATGAATGAAAAATAGTTTACTCTGCTTCTACTGCCTCTGCTGTGTCATCTTTGAAAAATTGGTTGTCCTCATTAAGCCATCTACTGTACTAAATACGTCGCATTAACAGGACACTTTTGTAAAAGGGCGTCATGCTCATCAGTCCAGCCCCCGTCTGTCGTATATGCCAGCCCAACCCTTCGAAACACCAACTCCGAAACATCCTTTTTAGATAGATCCGGATCGTATTCCTCGGTAGTTGCCTTGTGTCCCACGGCTTCGAGCACCAGAGCCGCAAACATCGTCTTTTCCTTGACGGTGCTCTTGGTTGGTAAGCGCTTGAAGGTCGCTATGGGGAGGCAGTAAAGCGACTCGGTGATGGCATAATGCATGCTATCTGGATAAAATACTAGAGGCGGCATCTTCTCAAGCGCAGACTCGTCGCTTTCATCTTCTTCCTTGGGAGGCATAAGGAGAATCCTCCTTTGAACAATTTCTCGACCAACGGAGCTTTCCTGGAGTATACTTGCTGACATGGCTCCCAGGTAGTAAGTGTATTCCGGATACTCTGTGTTGCTAATCGTAAAGGAAAACGCCGATGGAGTCATTTTCGTCTTCCAAATTGGCCCGACGATGATCATCCCGGAAGGTGGTACTTCGGCATACATGTCGTCCTTTACCCAGTCCCGAGGCTGGTCGTGATCGTCGGGTAATTTTGGAACATTCAGAGCGCCGCCGATGGAAACCACGAGCGAGAATTGGTTGACTACCTCGTCGTTTACAAATGGGTATGTGACTGCGCATTCGGGATATGCCCAGCTCCATGAGATGGGCACAGCAGGTTCTGACAAATCACTTCTCTCGGCATCTTTAAAGTATGTCAGTCTCCATAGCAGATCCAGTGCAGTTTCGGCTTGTGGCTGGAAATCTTCAGTTTCGCCCTCTTTGTACTCGTCGTACCAGATTCCTGCAAAGTAATTTTTGCCGCCTAGTCTTGCGTTGAAGCTCTTTGCGAGGCCTGCTATGGCGTATAAAGTATCGCTGCGATATGTGTAGTCGAGTTGGGAATATGCCTCGATAACGTGTCTCCATGCGCGACGAAGCTGGCTGTGAGAGGGATCGTCGCCAAGGAGTTGCTGCATGTCTCTTCTACTGCTGGCTGAGCGTTCTGGCACATGGACATCATCCCCCCATTCTTTCATGAGCTTCACAGTCTGTGACTCGGATTCGTCGAGACCACATTCACACTTGTGGTGACTGGCACACTGCCACGAGAGCTCGTCGGGTCCGAAAATGAGAAGACGGTGTGAGAGAAGGCGTTCCTGGAACACCCATGCTCGTTTCCAGACGGGGATATTGCCGTCGTTGATCATATAAGTGGGATGAAAGATTGGTTTTCGGAAATGTAGCTGGTGGTCGTTGCCTTGTGCGTCTTTAATGGAAACCGGCTTCGAAACATCTCTTGAGGAAGCGTCTTGGAATAGCCGTTTGTCTGTACCTAGCTCGTGGCTTTCTACCAAAGTAATCAGGGAATTGGAATAGGTGTCGCTCATTTTGAGTGAGTGTTTTGCCCAATCATTCTTGGAATCTTGTATGATGCACAAACTGTCGATCCATATGTAGCGAATAGGCTCTCCATACTCCTCCTGATACCATTTCGAGAATTTCCGTAGAAACGTTATCGAGTCTTGATAAGTGGGCGAAAGGTAATCCCATGGAATCTCTTTGCATAAGGAACCGATGTTCTCTCCTGTTGTTTGGGAAGTATCTTTTCCCCACCGGTGACTTAGACAAGCGTATCGTGCTTTCTGCCCGTTGGTATGGATCAATTTGACACCAGACTTGGTATCTTCGGCGAAGATGTCGACAACTCGTTCAGGCATTTCTGAGATCTCCCCAAGCGAGCAACTTGAGTGTGTATTGTTACATTCACGAAACCAACCAGCAGCCTTTTGGAAGGCTTCCTCAGATGCCGTGTTTCCAGAAATGGCCGGTCGTTCAAATATGGTTAATCCACGGTCCGGATACCAAGGCTGTCTCCAAGGCGATGGAATATCTGGTTAACGTATTAGTTATGCCTATTAGCAATGACTGAACTCTCTAGTTACGTACCGTCTTTGAGAAAGGGTTCTACAGACCACACGCATGTTGGTATCTCTCCGGCACTCATATGCCCAATTCTCAGACACTGAGACGCTGCATATCCGCCCGTGTTGACAAATCCCAAGTCTTGCATCAGCTGCTGACGGCCTGCATATCCACTGCTAGCTTCCATCATATAATCATGAAGTCCGCGTCTAAAGGTTACACAGGGCGCAATGTCGCCTTTAGTATCGCGATGTGAAGGGCAAGGCTGCTCAAGCCAGTAGTTGAATGGGATGGACTTGTTCTTGATGAGTTCAGCACTGACAAAAGCTTTCGCTTCTTCATATCCGCTCTCCTTGATATCTGGCTTTTCACCGTTGAGGATGTCATAAACCCGTGTATCAACTATCTCGTTATCAATAGGCATAGTGTAGATAGTTTCGATATTCTTGTCAAATTTATGCCTCATGATCTCAGAGCTGGTCAACCTGTTCATAGCAGATCGCATTTCGGTCCCCACTGCGATGTTCTGAGATATCTCGGAACCTGTCACTCTTGAAGGTCTATCTGGCGTCTCTTTGACAATTTCCTTGTCGGTTTTCTCATTTTGGGGACTTGATGATCTTGAATTGGAAGAATTTGATGCAGAATCCTCCTCGACAGAGCCGCGAAATGCAGATTGCGTGAAGCCAAAGTCGAAGCAGATTGGGCATACCAAATCTACCCTTTTCGACCTGTTTGCAGACGTTGTAAGAAGTCGCCGGGCGCCGTTATGGAGACTATTCCGCAGCATGATGATTTGATATAATGATTTTGCTGCAAATTCTAGTGTCGGTGATGTGGATATGGCTCAATCAAGTTATTTATGCGTCCTCACGAAATAGCCAGGCTGACTGCGGCTCTGCCTCGCCCCGCCTATGGTTTATGCACCCCGGCAGTCAGGATTTAGCGTCAATGATTACGACGCGATTTTTGGAGGATTTTAACTAACTCCAAGGCATCTATCTATACTAAGTCTTTGATACAGCATTTGTTCTCATCCAATTCCTCTTCTGTGAAGTCAGAACTATTGTAGAGCCTTGCGAGAGCCTTGCGAGACCTTCTAAATCGAGGCTCAAGCTGGAGTACGGATCGCGCCAACCTTGTTTCCCTAAAGTTCACTAATGTGGCAATTGCAACACGCTAAAAACATGGTCCTGAGAGATTGACGAGTTTACATTTTTCGCAGGTTGTAAGTGCTCTACTCGATGTAGTAGTCAATGGTCACAATCACGATGCTTCAAGTAGAGTTTCCTACCACAACTTTCTATTAATGCAAAGCCATTAAGGCTATGGCAGAAAACTTCGTAGGTTTTAGTTACGCGATTGGAAATTTTCAAGACACAACAAGCAAGGCACTGCTGAAGATCTCCCGCCAACCAAGAATAGTAAACATTATCCACTAGAGTTATCAACTCGTGCTTAAGCCCAAACTAAAACGCCGTTTCCGGAGTTTAAATACTAGATCCATAAATGACAACTAATGCAACCTGGGGAGCATACACAAGCCTATAATACGTCGCTACGTTGCAAAGTTCTGACGTTGCTGATGCGGGGTTGAATCAACTTCTCTGCCAACCCGAACATAAGAGGTCGTAATTCTTCCAATTCTGACTTACTTTTCGCTTTTGTTCATCTTAAACGTTTATACCTAACATTTAAGCCTTTCAAAAGTGTAACAAGAGTTTCTACAAAATGATTATTCCAACTGAAGTAGTGGGCTCGCTGCCTCGTCCCGTGTGTAAGGCAATGAATATTCGGCGCCCACTATAAGTTAAGCTAGGACTAAAAAGTAGCAGATTTACAAAAGGCCTTTGCTGACTACGATGCTGGACTCATCACCCGCAATGATCTTGTGGCCGCCCAGGACAAGGCCGCGAAAGATTCGGTTGAGAGAATGGAGGCGGCCGGGGAGACTTATGTAACTGACGGAGAGCAGCGCGCAAGTTCGTAAGTATAGACATAACGATGAGTATCTGATCTATTCATACCATTATTAACATGAAACTTTAGTTTCGCGACGTATCCTATTACTGAGTGAGTGTCACAAAATTCACTTACATGTTAGAATTCTGACAAAACATGTTTTCAGGACTCTCAAGGGCACTGGGCTTCCTGACAACTTTGCAGCGGATGGCCAGTTGTTTGTCTGTTTTCTTTGAAGCAATCAAGAACGACTACACACTAACCTACATCAATAGGCCAATTTTGCGGATGGCCATCATCGCCAGCTTCCACGACTGGTCAAAGGGCCTTTCAAGTACGGCTCTTCTCAATTCGCTGAGAGTATTACAATGCTAACACAAACTCTCCGCCTCATGAATCAGATACGCGACATATGCGTTTCAAAATCTCCAAAAGTCTATACCCTACGCCTCGCATCCTATGAAGCAAGCTGTCATTGCGCCGAGTATGATGTACCTCTTATATCCTCTTCAGGGAGACCTAGAAGGCTACTCTCGAGTAGAGTTTATTAAAGATCTGATTGATGAAGTAAGCCGCAGTGCTAGCTTCATAGTGATGTGCTTGCTAATCTTGTGAATGTAGTGCGAAAAAGACATTCGAGGATGTTTCGAAACAGGCGCCAAGAGAGTCTCGATTGATTTCACAGAAGGCCGCCTCGCTTTAAAAAACGACCCTAGAAATCCTTGGACAAATGCCGAGCTTCTCGAGAGATTCATCTTGCTAATTAACCAGTACGCATGAGTGGCGTATTACGGTCTATAAAATATCTTGCTGAGATGTACGCAGGGTCCTTGACCGCTTCAACCCCGAAGAACGAATCAACATTGGCCTGCACACGTGTCCTGGCGGCGATTGCGACTCTGTGCACTCACTAGACGTCGACTATCACAAGCTACTGCCATCACTGTTTCACATTAATGCCGGATATTTCTTGATTCAGCTGTCTTCTGAGAAGGATCGTGAGGAAATATATAGAACGATTGGACAGCATATCCGCAAAGATGCCGGTGGTATCAAACAGGTACTCGCTCATGTTGTATATAGCGCAAGCTTGGCAATTCTACGCATGCTAATACAACAAATCAGGTCGCTTTTATTGGAGTCATTAACACCCTCAATCCAAGAGTTGAGACACCAGAGGAAATTGCCGACCATTTAATACTTGCCAGCAAATATATCCCGCCGGATCAGCTCGGGGCAACAGACGATTGTGGTAAGCTGCCTTTGATTTGACTCGTATTTTGAGCCGAGACGTGACTGACGTATAAATCGCCGTAGGCTTCTCTCCATTCTCCATCGACCTCAAGCCAAGCCATGGCAGTCCGGACTTTGCGAGGGATATCGCATTTCAAAAGATTGCAAATCGCGTCCAAGGGGCTAAATTAGCCAGTGAAACCATTTCTGCCTAATTTCGATCCAAGGGAGTCGAACTGGGAGATCAATAGTTTGATTTCAGAACGGATGCAAAGGATCGAAAATAAAATAACCAAACCAGCCATATAAAAAAGAGTAGCTGTTTTTAGCCATAAGCGCAATAACAAATGCTCCGTTACTTATTTGTTAAGGATAAACAAGAATAGGACTGCAATTCCATCCTAGAGCTTTATAAAGCTTATTTTCCTCTTTATTACCAAGTCCTGCAGCTATATTACGCATGAAGCGTAGACCTTTTACTTTATATAGGCCTGCTTGCGTAAGTCGAATATACTATCTCCGGACCTTGGCCCGAGCGTATTGCTTTAGCTAGGAGAGAGAAGAGATACTCCGTTAGCCTACTCCATGACCAGGAGAAAATACTCCGTTGTTGAGAGATACCCCGTAGTGCTGATTTCGAACCCCTGGGGTAAGTAGCCGACCACCCGATATGAAGAGAGATTCGGCGGGGTTCCAGCCTCAACGTTTCATACAATAAGCGCACTTGAACAGAAATCTCCCCATAATATCATTAACACGGGGGCCAAATCGAAAAATAATAGTGGGTAAATGCTGACAAGGTGCCTGCGACAAGGATCACAAGCGGGGTTTGGTGCCCGGATACCCGCGATGATAGCTCACTTGGATGTCTATTACGATTTGTTGTTGGAATGCTATAATGATTATAAGGCAGAATAATGTGATATTTGTGTAGCTGAAGCATGGGATTTATTGGATAAAGTATACAATATCGTTACTCGTCTCGTTTAAAGTGTCGTTTGTTGATCGTGACATTCATGAACACGAAACACCAAGGTAAAAATGTTATGTACTACACGCTTTTACATACCCCTGCTTCTTCTATGTCTTACGCGGGGATCCCCCGCGACTCCATGCACGTTTACCTGCGTTTGGCGACTACCGCTATCGACTATAACAAAGAGACAGACCTGGTAGAACTAAATGAGTCATGGAGGCCTATAATAAACCCTACAATCCTGTTCATTGCTACTAGTATCTAATCAAACCCGCTGAAGAGTAGCAATTTATCCGTAGATAAATATAGAGACATCTAATTTGCCCTGCCATTTACAGCAATAGGGTGACAAAAGAAAATACCAGGAAAGATATTCTTGGCAGAGTGTATGAGGAGTCTATTACTCCGTAACATCGCTTTCTGTCCACGATCTAGCTAAAACCGGAAATCAATATGTGGAGCAATAAGGTCCGATTCTGACGAAAGGGTCTGCATCAGCTTACTATGCTGCATGTTACTGGGTGTACGGTTATAGCCTGATTCCTGAAGTGGTGATGTTGCTCGTGGTATACCGACTTCCGAGACAGCTTGTAAAGAACCGGGACTGGGGAAATAATCGGCATACAGATTTCTTGGAAACGCAAATGATAACTAAGCGGCAATATATTTTCCGTGTACTTGTTTGTACTCTGTGCGATCTTATTGTATGCGCTTATTCACTCTCGGTCACTCTCGGTCCCGATTGTTTTGCACGCTGCTTGTAGTAATGTTATTCCTTATCTTGTTAGGTGTACCACAATTGGCTACTTACAATCCAAATCGAGAGTTACGAGCCATGGAACCGATGTCCTCTCCTGTTAATCTCCATGTGACAGATGAAGAGGATCATCATCTTCACACTAGACGTTTCGTATTGAAAAGCCACGCTTCCAGTAATTTCTCAAAAGGGACTAGAAAATCACTGTATTCAGTTATCACCATTTATATTCTGAAATTAGTCTAGAGATAGTAAGAACACACTAAATTTGAATACCGCTTTGGCGTAGCAGATGCCATTAAGTAATGCCCCTGGATATTGCTTTTTACAGTAGCATTTACTCGATCTGTGACAAAATCTCCAGAAAATAAGTTCAACGTACAGGGAATCTTTGAATAAGCCTAAAACCGCATGCATTAGCTTTCAACATTATACGGTAATCATGGCAAACGGCCAAAAAAAAAAAAAAAGAGACTGGGGAAATCACCAGTACGCAGCTCCACTCATACACATTGGAGCATCCACACCTGTTCGACGACGAAGATGCGCCTATTTTGGCATCGTATGCGTATTTCGTGTTGAAGCTTGCACGTCCTGATCCACTTGCATGGGTTGGCATACATTATTGAAAGTGTGCATCAACTATGACAATACGAATTAGCGGCCTAGTATTCAGGAGAAGCAAAAGATTATAAATATCTGGTCCAAGGTCGTATCCTAACTCCTCTTATCCTCATCACCATTGCCTACATCTCATCAGGAAAACATTCACGAAAACCCACCTTTCCAACTTTTCAACCCTTCCGCACCATCAAAATGAAGACCGCCACCGTCCTCTTTGCTCTTGTTGCTGCTGCTTTTGCTGCACCCACTAACGTCGAAGAGCCTACTCTTGCTAAGCGTGGCTGCGCTGCTGGCGATATCTGCATCGACGGCACTTGCTACGTATGGAGCTGCGGTCCTTTTGGCTGCAGTACCGGTGGCAGCCTCGGCACAAGCTGCTAATTTCATCTTGTATGTTACTCTCAGACTGCTTCGAAACAACGGGCATATCAGAAACTGACCGCGTAGGGCAAACCAAATAAACCATGGACCTAGTGGAGGTGAATCGAATTTGAATACTGCAATGAAAGTGCCCAGATAACGCTTGAAGACTGTGGTTTGAGAAGGGTTTGGTTGAAGTGTGGAAGTATATTGAAGGGAGTGTCTACCATGGGTTCAATAGTTCCAGATCTCCACCGACAATCCAAATATGAATCACATCGTATAAATGTCAGCTTGATGTACGGTCATAACCTGTATGACGAAAATCCCTAGTTCCTTGTTTCATTTTGTGATCCTAAACATGGGTGTATGAACTAGTTAGTAGGTCAACGAAGAAGTAGTCGACTCTATGCTCATTACTGGTACCTCGTAGTAGGCTACAGTGGATGAATATGTAGTCACTCGGCAGCCACTTGGATCTCTGCTTCTTACTCTGAAAGCTACCTAGTGAGAAGAAAGTCGTTCACAGTATGTTTGTTTGGCAACTTAAAGGCTTCTTATTATGAGTTGGACTTCGTATTGTAAGACGTCAAACCAATCTCCATTTTTGGCAACTTCGCGAATGAGAGTTCCGAGTCAGATCGTCGTGACCAATCGTGCAATCAACTTACTGTTTCTTATGAAACTCACTATTCAGCGTACCGTCTTTTCTATGAACAGATACACAACACTTTATCAATACAAGCATCTGGGATTGGGAGAACGCTAGTGCAGTTGCGAGTAGCTCGGCGCTTGGAAATAAGAGCGCGGTGCTAGTCCAAAACTGCCTCTGTTTAGCGCCCTATCTTGTCTTATTCGATACACGGCGAACATAACTACTACACATAAAAGCTGAAGCAGAGAATAACTGGCATAGTTGTTACTATGTGCTCATGTTTCGGCTCGTCACCAATTTGGAGTCTCAGCTGCCTGTCCCAAAGAGCCGGAAGTGGAAGGTTTCGTGCTCAATCTCCGCCTCAAATGACGCCTTACGATCCCAACCAGATCTTATGGGGCCGCTCCTCGGGCCGTGTCAACTAATACGTGTATCCCCCACATCGTGGGGATACTGTAAACTAGAACGAGATGGATTAATATAATTAAGTTGCTAGGATGGTCCGATTAGTGTGGCATCTACTACTGAGTGCCACGTCGTGAGGCACTCGTCTTGGATCTTGGGCGGAAATTTTAGAGTGGGGAGTGTGATCTACAGAAGGAAAATTAAGATACCTAAACACCGCATCAGGATGTATTGGATCATTAGTCTGCATGCTCAAGTTTACGGGAAGACAACAATATAAGCAGCATGCTCGCATGTTATCACACGTTATTAAAGGTCTGCATCGCCCCATTCTACATTATAAAGACCAAAAATCAACCTCGATCTCCCCATATTCATTGCCGTGACTGACACGGTATCGGCACTTCGGGCTCTGAATGCCGAGAACTATCATAAGTCTCCATCTCCTGCATCGCCTAGTATGGATACCCTCGGTAATGACACGCTACCACTGATCGTTGGATTCCCCCACATCTTCGTATTATACATTTGAACTCCGGGCTCAATGAGACAGTTTAAGATTCCAGAGCAAGGTAAGGCGTTATAGATCCCATGGAGACTTCTATAATATACACGCTAAGCAAACCAACGTTACCTTTCTTCATTTACTCATAACGGTACGCAGAGGATATAAGTCACAAAAGCCATTACCAGATCAGCAGCACATCAAAGCTTCATTGAATTATTTAGAAAGCTCTTCCAGACTCTAATAGCCTACCAATTAGTAGCATATAACGCAAGCATATCACGTCAAAGTTACTGCTGGGTTAGTAGGCCTGAGCTTACGGAGATCTTACAAAATCTCTGTTCTCTTAATGATTCTTTCGTCACCACTGCATCTGGGACTGTCTATTCCCCATGAGTAATACCAAAAAAACATTCAATCCGGGAGAATGGCAATTAAAGTCAGCGTTTCTCTGGTGTACTGTATTCAATGTTGTGGCGGATGTTACTCCGTGTTCTGAAAAGCCGAGTAGCTTTTACTATTTAAGCAGAGACTTGAACGACGTTGCGTGACTGAAGACTTTTTCGAAGACAGTATCTGGGTTCACCCAATTGTAAAGCGGCACGAGTATATCGTCTAATGGCTTGCAAGTCTGTAAACCAGATAATGTATTCTTCTTATACCTACCATGGTAAACTCTTGTCGCATCAAGGCGCATTCCATCAGCTGCGTCTGTAGTAAATCCATGGCCCTCGTCTGATCTTCATCCATAATGCTGCTGACAGTACTATCGCATGTCGGACATGTTGTAACAAATGACATGTGATTGGTTCCTTGTAACTCTTGATCTTTCACATGCTTGCGCTCGTGAGACATGAGTACCATGTCTGACAGTAAACTGTCTAGGAGTCTTCGTTGGCGGCTTGCCTATGGGTAGGTATATGTTGATATACTATCTGGGATCGGCTCACGTGCCGGAATGTCAAAGTATCCCAAGAATGCCTCCAATTGTGAAGGATGTCGGTCAAATCCCCTAAAGTCCGATTTACGTCGAAATATAGCGAGGTACATCAGGAGTATGGACCTGTGCAGGTCTTCGAGGCTATATTTCCCTGCAACCGTACGGATGTTACCGCCATGGCCAGCAGGCGTCGGATATCTGTGGGTATATTCGCTGGAGTTACGCCTGTAGACGATATCTGGATTCCAACGAGTCGGTGCGAACAAGAGGATTTGAATCGCATGGGCCAAAATAGTCGCGGGTGCGTCTATGATGTCCTGCTCGTCGTCTGTCTTGATGATCATGTTTCGCGTAATGGGCAGAAAAGTAGGAACAGTAAGTGAGTCTACAATCGTATCGATCAGACTCTTCAGTGTGTGGCTACGGGTGTATTCTAAGACCAGTTCAGTGGGACCGATCATCCTTGGGGCCGGAGCTGAGACGTCCCATCTTGATAGTATATCGGTATATAGCGTGGCCATATCTGTGGAAAGCCCCGGGAGTATGTTGCTAATGTCCCTAGGAAGCAGGGGCTTGACAGCCAAATTATATTTGCTGGCAACAAAGAGCAGCCCTTGAGGGATGATATCACAGACTGCGCGCGAGTTAGTAAGAGAGCGGAGAGTGAAATGTACATTTTGCTTGTCTGGGCAATTTTGAAAGGCTACTCACCAACCGTATCTGTGAAATTGACGAGTGCGTCTCCATACATGCCGTTGTATCCAGCGAGCTGTGAGATGGGGAGACGGCCGTTTCTCCACCTGTGAAGGACTAGGATGCCAGGAGGATGATTGAAAGAGCACCACAAGGCAGCTTTTTCTTCAGGAGACAGGAGAACACCATCAGCCGATAAACAGACCGCAGCACCCATAACACGATAGTCGGTAGCCTGCAGCGTCTGACGCCACGGAGCGATATTGCCCCGGCGACGGAGAACGGGATCGAAGCTGATGGGCTGCTCGGATGCTTCGTCCGCGTTGGAAGTCGTGGAAGCCATTGTGTTTATGGGCTAGCCTCGCAGTCATAAAACTTTTCGGGGGAAAAGGGGGTGGAGAAACAGGCAAAAGAGAGAGAGAAGAAACAACTAGAGATGAGGACATGGGAATGCGCGGGAGAGAAGTCGAATGATGGAGGAAAGAACGTCGAAGCTGAAAATGAGCCAGCAAAGTTTACGTAGGCCAGGCTGTTGCGACTCAAGCGAATACAGATATTTCGTTCTAATCTCAGTGAATGCCCCTTTGTTTGTCTTCAACAACCACCGGCGGAGGCCTAAATCAGGCATAAACCAGAGCTACATGGACGAATTGGAGCTGTGTAAAAGTAGGCACCTCAATTACTACTGACAATGCAATGATTGATGAGTGACATGTATGCTATTAACCCGTTATATATTTTGTAAGTTTATAACATTAGCACATGCTCTATGCCTGTTCTTTCCTTTTGGCAAATTTCACGTCAGCCGAACCAAGTCACTGACTAGTCTAGGTAGTTGTTGCTGGTTCGAATCACTAAAAAGGAGTAACAGAACTATTCACTATATAGCGCTAGAGAGTTGAATCAGATAAACAAGGACCGTAGCCCTCGTGTTGTGGGATACATATCGTCCTGAGACCGTGCCGGTGTAAAGTGTATCTCAAGAGGCGACTACGGTTTATACAAGCGCAATATAGCGCTGTCAATCCAGCGATACTGCTAGATGAAGATACGGCATATGGGGATTTGACATGTCAAGAGCTTTTATGGGTCTCTATTGATGGATAACATTCAGTTTCCCACGCATGGTTCTGATTTTGCAAAATCCACAACGCATTGAGAAGAAGCAATATGCCGAGCGGTTAATCCGGTGAAGGTATCACGTCGTCGTCGATCAAGAGTGTGGCGGTGCCCTCGAGCGTGGCTGTAATCACTCAGGTACAGCAGTAGCGCAATACCTGCCAAGCTGGAGTGTACCGGCGTCATGGCGTGTCCCGCGGGTACCTCAGCAGCTCATCAAGGTCGCCAAGTGTGGCGCTCCTCTATTGATGGATGCAGCTATGCTCTAGCCAAGTACACTCATCAAGCTTTTATCGTATACAGTTTATCGTCTGTATACATTCAGGTCAATAAATCGCCACCTTCAGCCCAATCCCGGGCATTGCGCGGCGCTCTGCCGGGCTGCGTCATCCTTGCGTCCGCTAAGACGCAGCGGGCAGCCTCCGCACTCCAGAAGGTACAAGCGCTGCTCGCACCGCCACACTCGTCCCCAATCCTCCAGGAACAAACCTCGAGTGTCGTGGTGCCTGATTCTTCTTCAAATCACCTAAATCCTCTTCAAAGACTCATTCTTTATCCGATACCCAAGTCTTCAACTTCTCATTTTCAAGCACCACGTTCGCTGCAATTCCTGCTGCCCTGCCACAGCCCTGCCATCCTCCCGCCATCATGCACTGCTGGCCTTGATCGCCGCTCCAGTGACGACATACCTCCAAACCGTCCCCCCACCTCGATTCTCGATTCTTTCCAGCACTTACTGCTCGACCCTGATCGACAGGCTGGTGTAGCTTGAAGAGAAAAGGTCAATACAGCATCTTCTGCTAGATTGTCTTCATCAAGCATGTATGTCCAGCAGCCTTCCAGCAGCATCGACAACGTTCTGCCCCCGCCTGGGCCGCCGCCACAGCGTCGTCCCTCGATGGAGAACAACGGCTGGACAGACGAGCCGGCCACAAGTGCCTGGGAAGACGTGGCTCCTCAGCATGCAGCTGCGGCTGGTGCTACATCAAATTCCATCCGCCGTAAAGAAGTGCCTGCGTCTCTGCGGCCTGGCGGAGGCGGCATCGACGTAGGCTTCGGCTCTCCGGAAGACGAGGACAGCGTGTGGAACGAGGCACGAAAGCAGCCGTCTGAGCTGAATCTGCCCGGCCAGATCCCCGATGCCCTTAGACCAGGCGTACAGAGATCAGAGACCAATCCATTTCTGAAAAACCGAGCTCCGTCAGACCAGAGTCTCCAAGACGTTCCGGCTTCTCTGCAGCCGCCGACTGCCTCGCTTTCTAGCATAAGCCTGGACGACACGGGCGACCATAATCCCTGGAAGCCGACAATCGATGTACTGCCGCCAACCCCTGGGAATAACTTGCATGATGTTGTAGCACCTGGCGACTCTGGGCCTGATCCTTGGGCTCGTTCTTCCCCGCACCCGCCTGCAAAAGTGCCCATCTCGCCAAAATCTCCGGATCTGATCTCTCTGCACTCTAGAAGCTCGAGGAGCTGGGATGACGATTCTCACAGCGAGCGTGACGAAAAAGGCTCTCCGTCACAGAAACCGGCGATGCCGGAAGACCTCGAGCGTGAGCAGCACATCTGGGACGATCTGGGGTCTTTGGATGCGGCCAAGGGCAAGGGCAAGGTACCCGAGCTGACGGCAGCGCAAGCAGCTCAATTGGATGACTGGAGTTTGATCGACTCGGACCCGTCATTGAGCCCCCCGCAAAGACAGCCACAAGAACCCTCGGCGGTGGTGCTGGAGGAAAAGCCAGCCTTGCCGCCCCGAGACACAGAGAGTCGTGCGAAATGGGTCCCATCACGTCCGCCGGTCGATGGCAAGGCTGAAACGTACCAAGTCAAGAACATCCGTTGGCACGACCCCAACTCATCCAACAACCCCCGCGTGTCGCCCATACTCATACAGAATGAGAACGGGCCTTGTCCGTTGGTTGCGTTGGTCAACGCGCTGACCATGACCACACCTGACGATATACCCGACACAGTCCTGGTGCAAGTTTTGCGCTCACGGGAGCAAATCAGCTTGAGTCTTTTGCTGGATGCTGTTTTTGACGAACTCATGTCTCCCAGAAGGACGTCCTCGGAGGACTATCTACCAGATGTCTCGGAATTATACTCGTTCCTCCAGAGTCTCCACACCGGCATGAATGTCAACCCGCGATTCATCCCCACTCCTGAAGTTGTCACCGCATATGAGCATACTTCACTAACACAGCTTCACCCACTCGAGCGACACAAGTACATCCCTGGAACCTTTGAGGACACTGCAGAGATGAATCTCTATGCAACCTTTTCTATTCCTCTCGTTCATGGTTGGCTACCGCCTTACGATGATGTTGTCTGTGCTTCCATGCAAAGACATGCTACCTCTTACGAAGATGTGCAGAATCTTTTGTTCCGCGAAGAAGAGCTAGAGGACAAACTAGCTACTTCTGAGGAGGGCCTCACGGAAGCCGAGCAAGATTTATATCAAGACATCATCACCATCAAGATATTTCTGAACGAGTCAGCCACCCAGCTTACACCCTGGGGAATCGAGGTGATCCAAAAAGCGATCCGACCCGGTACATTTGCTATCCTTTTCCGCAACGACCACTTCTCAACCCTTTATTGCCATCCACAGACCCAGCAACTCCTCACGCTTGTGACGGATGCCGGCTACCGGACCCATGATGAAATTGTATGGGAAAGTCTAGTGGATATCAACGGCGAACTCAACCAATTTCTCGCCGGAGACTATCGCCTTGTAAGCGGCGATACCGCCGCAGAACCAATTCCTAGCACCGGCAAACGCCATAGCGACCAGGACGGTGGTGCTTGGACAACTGTCACCAACAAACGGGGCAAGACCAAGGAGACTGCCCCTGTCGACGAACCAGGTCAGGCGAGCTCCAGCACCGAACAAGAAGATAGAGACTTGGCCCTCGCCATGCAGCTACAAGAGGAAGAGGATCAGAGACACCGGGAAGAGCAGGCTCGCCGGCAACGGGAGCGAGCACTCTCGGAGCAATATATCGAGCAAGCTCACCTTCCCATACCTGTTACTCGCCCTGTAGGCAATTCCGGAGGAAATGCCGGTGATAACAATGCTTCCCGGCGCAGCTCTGCGGCCGGCCCAAGTGGCAGCACGCCCGTTCTACCGCCGCGGCGAAGTAGCAACAGTGTCAGCAACAGTGCCAACAATAGCACCAATGCACTCACTGCCTCTACTTCTCAGCGGTCTTTGCCTCCACGCGGGCCCGCGTCACAAACTGTCCGGCCCCTAGTTCCTCCTGTGAGGCCTGGTGTCAATAGACCGGTTAGCTCTGATGAACCGCCGCCGCCCTCATATGAACAGGCTGCTCAGGTTCCTGCATATGTTCCTCCTCCAGGGCATCCTAACCACCACCAAAGTAGCCCTGCAGCTTCTAGACAGGCGTCTCGAACAAGCAATGGGCCTGCTGCCGCAGCTCGTGGCCGACGACCCGGCGCCTCAGTCCCAGCAAGTCGAAGACCCGCTGTGGCCTCTGGAGGGAGCTCAAGCCGATCCGATAGAGATTGTATAGTAATGTGAGGAGAGCGATGGAAAATGAATCGCTGATTGAATGGGCCAGGATTTTTTATAGCAAGGACTGTCATTTTTGCGTATAGCCAGGCGGGTTTATCTTTTGCAGGCGTTTTTGGGCTTCAACTACGATTGTCCGGAGGGCACATTCCTTTCAATTCCTATTTGCAGGCATACAAGCATGTTTTTATGAGATATGTTTAGTGATACGAAACTTCTTTTATTTTTACACGCATCGAACGAATGAGCCAACGTCTTGGTTTATATGTTGTTTACAACGAATGTTTGCTTGTATAAGACGACAAACACGAGATGCCCCTTTGTTTACACGCCTGAGTAAAAGGAGCAAGTTCATCTATATAGGTAGATGAATAGCTTCAACTATTACAATATTCACAACATGTGATGCAAAATAACTCCAGCTAGGTAAAAAAAAACGTCATGACGAAACGACGTACCAGGGACTCGAACCCTGAGCCTCAGTCTGGATCTCCCCATTACGGATAGCAATAGGAGGACTGCGCGCTACCATTGCGCCAGCACGCCATGCAGTTATCGGGGTCAGCCTTGTTATCTGCTATACTGGTATCACACATAGATTGGGCAGGTGGTGTCTGGCGGCAGAATGAGCTGTACTGCTATAGCTGTTTGTTGACATCATCACGCCCGCCAGCCACAAGAGGCTTGTGGCTGACTTGGGAGCTACATGAGCGTCTACGTCAATGACTGTGTTTCAGCGATTGGTGATTTATGATTGAGCATCTTACATGATTATTTGACGCGTGGCCTTGTTTGTTTCTGCTCTTCTTTGTCTCCCATCATCACCATCATGTCTCTAATTGAGGGGTGGTATCCGCCCACGCGGGAGAATTACGAGCGTCTGCTTTTTTGGTGGCAGATTGGCTATCCGATTGTGAGTCTTGTTCATATCTCTTGTCTTGATGGTTGAAAGTATAAGAGTGCTAATTGCTGTTTTGACAGTGTGGTTCGCTGCAATGGGTTATTAGCTGGTATGGCATGGGCAAAACGTCTGTGAGCAGCAGATTCAACATCCCTGGCCGGCTGGCTTGGATGACGATGGAGTGTCCTGGGTTCTTGACGCTGCTGTACGTGATGAACACGTTGCCGCAGAAAGCGGGTGTCGATGACTTGCCGTTCCAGAATCGAGTGCTAGGAGGGCTGTTTGTATGTTGCATTTACATTCATAATCACCCTTTATAGTGACAATATCCACTGACATATCATCCAAGGTCATCCACTACTGCTACCGGGCTGTTCTCTTCCCCTTCCTCCAACCTTCCATGTCTCCTATCCACGTTGGCGTCTGGTCCCTCGCCTTCGGCTTCCAGGTCTGCAACGCCCTCTGCATCTCCTCCTGGCTCTCCGCCTACGGCCCAACCACCACCGAAGCCTGGTCCTCTGTATGCTCCGTTCCTCAATTCATCTTCGGCATCGGCATCTTCTATCTTGGCCTCTCGTCAAACTTTTTCCACGACGAGGAGCTGCGAGAAATCCGGCGCCGTGAGCAGAAGCGCCAGGAACGTATCCGCAAAAAGGCCGGCGGCGAAGGCCAGGCCGCCAGCGTGGAGAAGCACTACCAAATCCCGCAGGCGGGGCTGTTTCGGTACATGCTGTATCCGCACTATTTGTCGGAGTGGGTTGAGTGGTTTGGCTTCTGGATGGCTGCTGGGTGGGGGTGTGCCCCTGCGAGGGCGTTTCTAGTGAATGAGATCTTCTCGATGCTGCCGAGGGCTGTGAATGGGAAGAAGTGGTATATGGAGAGGTTTGGGGAGGATAAGATTAAGAAGAAGTGGGCCATCATTCCCGGAGTTTGGTAATGGTAAGATGAGTGACGAAAGAGTACTTGATCACCTATCAAGACAATTGCTAATTGGTCTTTGTTTAATTCATAGGCTTGAGATTATCCAAGCCGTTCATGTATTCATGTTCATCCAAAGCTATATACCGTCCAACGCCTAATATATACTTGACTTAATAGTGATTCTTTCCTCCCTTCTCAGCATAAAACTCCTGCACCCACTGCTTGATGGTCGCCACCTCCGCAGCAAAAATCGTTGCCAGCGCGCCATTCGCTTTCGCATTACGCGTCAACTGGTCGCCACAGTGCGCTGCGCCGGGAATCACGCGCACGGGATGGGCCGCAGTCGACTGCAGCTGGCCGCCGGGACGAGTCGTCGCCATCACCGTTGCGGGCCTCCAGGGGTCGAACTCGCCGGCAGCCCATTGCAGGCGGTGCGTGTTGACGTTGAACCAACCGCCGGTGACCTTGTTGACGTCGGCCGTGGTCTTGCCCTCGGCGATGCCGTAGGTGTGGCCGTCTTCCTTGGGGAAGAAGAGGCCGCATTGGCGCTCGAAGTAGGCTTGTGTGACGAGGCGGGAGACGAGGTTGCCCTCGCCGCGGACCTGCCACCACTTGAAGCTGCGGTGTTTGTCAGTATAGGAATGCCCGTGTTTGTGAGTATAGGGTTTTTTGGACTTACGGCTCGTTGCAGAGGAACCAGTTCCATTGGCGGTTGGCAGAGTTGCCGGGGGTGAGATCTGTGAATAAGGGGCTGGAGGCGTTGTGCGTGTTGTAGCAGTCGACATCGAACTCGCCTTTCCAGTATCCGTAAGAAGCGCAAGCTATCAACACGTCAGAATTTGTCTTCTTCATCTTTATCAGCATAGTTGTTGTATAAACTCACTGTTTGGCAGGCTGAGTTCGGTGAACCACTTGGCATATCCAGCCAGGGCTTTTGTCAGACCAACACCCTGAGCACCAGGAGTCGGGCTGGTGCTGTTAGGCCACTTGTTCTCGACATAGTCGCACATCTGGTTCGTGGCGCTGAAGCCATTCGAGAAAAGCACACTCTGCCAGGTATACAACCCGTTGACCAGCGCAGCGGCAAAATCATCGTCGTACTCAACACCCTCCAGCTTGAACAAGCTTCTCAGATCGGCCTTGGCCTTCTTATCGTTGCCCAGCAGAATGCTGTCGACGTGGTCAACGATCTTGACATAGTCTGACGTGCAGTTCTTCGGCATGGCCAGCTTGACTTGCTCAAAGTACTGCCACAGAGGGCCAATGGCCTCGACGACGGGGCTGGAGGCGCTGTAGGCCCAGAATGTTCCCGGAGCGATATCTTGCACCCATGCTGTCAGAGCACCGCTGTAGGAGCAGCCGCTGAGGACCCAGGGCGCCTTGTCGGGCGTGCTGGTGCGGTTCTGGTCAAACGGCAGCACGACGTTCTTGGCAAAATAGGTGAGATCCTGGATGGACTGGTCCAGCGTGAGGTATGTCATGTTTTCCGTATCGAGGGACTGATACGGCGAGCTCTGGCCCCAGTAGCGGTGCTCGATGATGATGGCTCCGCCGCCGACTGCTTGCGCATAGGTGCCGGGGAGAGTGGCATTGGTCGTGTATCCCTCGTAACCGTCCACAGCAGACTCGTTGGGTCCGACGAGGATGATTGGCGAGCCGGGGCCCTTGTAGTAGTCACCATTGTAGACAAATCGCTGGGAAAAGGTGCCCAGCTCGGGGTGATCGTGGTCGATGAGCTGCTGGAAGGTGCCATACGTGGGACCACTGCCCGTGGCGAGGACGCTGGCTCCAACGGGGGCCTTGGGAGGGCTTGTGTCTTGAGGAGTGCTGGCAGAGACGACGCCGGCGAGCAGGAGAAGCTCCGCTGCCACGGAGATGGAGTTGGACCGCATTGTGACGGATTGGCCTATCTGCTCTGAAAGCTACCGAAATCCTCCAGCTGCCTTGACTCTCTCATTCTGTCAGAGGCGAGTGGCCGGAACAGTTTATATACCCCATCATCGCGTCTTTTCAATTACAACCCTCTGACCAATCAACCAAAGGATCCTTTTCAAAAGAACTATTGTATCGACAAGGTTGTATCACGCAAGTGGCCCATTCTAGCTACTCCTGTCAAAGCTCCCGCGTGTTGGTCCATTGTCCTTACCCCGGCTGCAAAGCCAGATAAGGCCCTGACTATTTTCGCCCGCATGCGCCAAGGGATTTTTGTCGCCAATACGTTCTTTAGCCCGCCGCAGTCAGGTCCGGATTCCTACCGAGAGATTCATATCCCGTTTGGGCTGCCGAAAATATATATGCCTGGTTTGAGGCGCCCGCTCTAGTTATGACTGACAGGCAGATTTACAAAGCGCAGAACTTGTCATTTGCGACAGCTTTAAAGAGCAAAAGAACCTGGGAATCATAAGAAGAAACAATGGCACTAGTCTGCCTAAGAAGTTGCCTGACCTGTCAGAACTCTAGGCAGACCGCAGCAATTGCCCCGGTGAACAAGGAGACCTTCTCAAGCCGATGCTAGACACTGTAACATCGGCCGATTTCCGTTTTCCCAAGCCCCAATTGAACAATTTTTTTTGCTCCGGGTGCCTCTGAAATTCGATTCAAAAGGTCCTCTGACTGAAAGCAAGAAACGAGGAAACAGCCCGATGAGATCCTTGCCTATTTCGATCGACCTTCCCGATACGGCATACTGCTAGCCGGGGTCCGGGCTCTACCGGCCGGCAGCGATGGCGAATAGTTCGAATAGCGCTACCAGCCTGTTGAATGTTCCTGAGAAGAACTTTTTAAAACCTGTGGGGAAACTGCCTTTTTGGAAGGGATATCTTTTTAGCATTGGAGGCTGTGAAGAAGCCCGGAAATGACCAGGGAGTTGTCAGCCATCATCGGTGTATGCGCCCGCTTATCGACAGCTCTCGCGATTCAGTTGCTCGGCGAAAGCTTGGTTGGGGACCTTGTCGTTGGCTTCATGCAAGGATGCAGGCAGGCAGGCAGGCATTTGATGTTGCATTACAATCGGTGCAATCCGTTGATTCCCCTCATTGTGCTCGGGCAGTTATCTTTCCGCCTTGCGTTGTCATCCGCTCTAGATATATATTTATCTTGCGCTGGTACGTAATGAAAAGACGGGCGATTCACAGACAATGTAAAAAGCTGGCATTACATGTTGAATGCGCTCTCTCGTTCTTGGGTCACACTCAACTTACATGAGCCGGCTGACTGGTCTTGTGCGACTTTGGTCACCGCCCGTTCGTTTACGAGACGATCAAAGCTCGTGCCATTGTCGATCGCGTTTAGCCCAACAAGCCTAATTCCAAAAGGCGGCGAGGCATTCGCCAAAAATATGTGTTGGTACTTACTAACAGACAGAAATGAGCAGTCAGTCTTACGAGATGACATTAACGAGGCCCGACTTTGCGTTTACGATGTCCGCGCTTTCGCGATGCTCGCGATGCATACAACTCGGCAGGGGCAGCAGGGGCAGCAGTGGTAGAGCAAAAGCGGTGGCATCGTTACATCGACAACACGAGAGCTTCAGAGAGATAAGAAATCGACACGACTATCATCTCCAGGGCGATTACGACGCAAAGTGTTCATTCACTCACGGATACGATATATTTCTGAAGCTCTCGCGCCGTTGATGTTATAATGCCGCTACTCTAGTCGCGTCAAACTCGCTCCTGTGATTTTGTGCGCGTATCGCATTGAGGCAACATTCTTCTCGTCAGGAAAAAGGTGCCGTTGAGCCAGGCAGAGCGAACAGACGCGACGCCTCTAAGCATCACCAGAAATATTTGGCATGCAGGAACCGGTTTCTTTGACAAACAAAGCTACGGTCCATGCTGAATACTTCCATCACTCTTTGAGAATAGTAGTGTAGCATGCTACATCGCCACTTATAAGCTTAATGCTGTGCTCTGTGAAAAAGGAAAACCCCCCTCGTCTCTGCGATTTTTCTACTGTTTAGACGAACAGGATTCTCAGACGTTGTGCGAAGTTATTATTGCCAAATAGTCAAAACATTATGTGCTAATGCTGTGCTGGTTTCAAAGTAGACAGTATGATTCTTGACTCACTTTATACTCATGGGGGATATATATCAACACCACGCAGAAATGCATGTGAAATATGTACAGCCTTCAATCATCGCCACCGTCATAGAGACTGCTCACAGCCCATCCATTCAAAATGCTATACTGGCTCAACGGCGACGTCCCCGTCAACGTCTCATAATGTACCCTCTGACCGCACAGCCTATCGTCTCCATACTGCACACACGGTCTTCCCTGAAGCAGCGCCGCAACCTGAGCGCCAGCCTCGCGACCTTCAAACCAGGCTCCGTGCAAGAAGCCAAAATACTCTGCGCTGGTGGCCTCACCGGCAAACCACAGACGACCGGTGTTGGCTCGCAGATTTTGATGGGCTATCAGCGTAGTTCCTGGCGGCCAGTTTGAATAACTTCCGTAAGACCATGGCTCAGAGGTCCAGCGTGGATAAGTGAAGGCGATGGGTTCGGGGATAGTGACGTTGGGGAACATTTGGCGAAGAACCTCCATTGCCTCTGCTTTGGTCTCTTCGTCGGTTTGTCGCTCGATACGGTAAGATTCATCGTCAACAACAGTAGCGAAAATGATGTTTGATCCGGGCATGAAGCCCTCGGTCGAGAGGGACTGCCATACGGGGTAATATCCCCTCGTGGTAGGCGAAGCATAAAGGAAGTACTGCGTGTCCTCCGGCCAGAAAGTCTCGTTGAACTGAAGAAAGACTTTAGTATAAGTTCCCATGGCGAAATTCTGAATAGCTCTCTTCTTCCACTGCGGCAATTCGGGAGAGAAGCGTATTGTATCTCTCTGTAACACGCCTAGTGAAAAGGTCGTAATGGCATAGGCCGCAGAAACGCAGCTGCCATCGTGGTTGTAGATCGTGACGCCGCTGTCGGAGTAGCTAATGTTTGTGACCTGCGTGTTGAGCAGCAGCCGGGGATCGTTCTTGGTCAGAAAAGTCGACGCCTCGCCGGTAATGATTGCGCTGTAGCCGCGTTGGTCGATGACAAAGTTGTTGGCGTCGCCGAATTGGTTGAAAGTGAGGTTATCGCCTGCAACGCCAAACACAAAGGATGACTCTTCGGGAGGGTATCCGGCCTCCCAGTCTAGATGGCGTCAGTATATATGCGGCCCACAAGCTAAACGTGTCTCTTGATATATGAAGATACAAATGACTGCTGTTATTTGGAATAACTCACCCCAATTCCACCACTCAGCTGCTTGCCTCTTCATATCACTGTGCCTAGGATTCCATCCTGTAAGAGAAAGACCTGCGCGCATAGTTTCATCCTGCAGGTTTTGGACCAGATATCGGCCAGCCTTTGCAGCGGCAGTATCATAAGCATCGCTGTACTCGTCTATGAGATCAGAGTAATTTGAATATCCCGTTTCATCGTAAGTTAGAATGGAATCGTAGTCTGAGTAAGTGTTGGCGAGGTGGTATTTTTGGGCCTAAATTCAATCCAATGTCAGACTGGCTCGGCAGTAGGAGAACATGTAGTCCAAAGCGAGGATGAAGATGCTACGTACAAGAAAGTCGACCGGATTCTCTAGCATCATGTCAGCATTCAAGTCCCAACATATCTCGCTTTAGGAAGGTGTCATGGCTACTTACGAGGACCTCCAGTATTTCCAAGCCCTTGTATCTATTACTCAATGCCATCAGTACTTTCTCATCACCAATTCTAATCATGAATTCGAACTCGGATACGTACCCAATTACAACCGTACTCAATCACATACGGGCTTCCATCCGCTTTCTTGCCAAAGTCACCGTGCCACGCCCGTCCGCCAATTCGATCTTGGTACTCGATAATGACAAAATCGGACACAGAGGCGTTGTGCAAGGCTTGCTATAAGCACAGTTAGACAAGAACTTGTGAAGACTATACTTGAAGGTATAGAGTAATTGTCATCATAGTACTTACAGCAGCGGTGATACCAGCCATTCCGGCGCCTCTGCAAACATGTTAGTGAAACTGGCCTATAGTTATCCAAATTTCAGGATTCTGGTATAAACACTCACAATATCGCCACAGATGTCTTCCTACATGTCGAATCGCCGCCACTACTCGCCGGTGCTGCAGTAATCAATGGAAGCCATCCTACAAGGACAACTAGAGCACCGAGATTGAAGCTTTTCGGCGACATCTTTTCCCTGTATTTCATAATTTCACAGGCGTCTTAGTGTTCAAGCTACCTTGAGAGACTTGTTCAAACACATTTCCTCTCACGAGAGCTTCACCTCGTCCCTTATCTACTCACCACCAACCACTTCTATTCACACTCATGACGTAAAATCCGAGGCTGGGCCTGCATACGAAACGAACTATTATTTAACGTGCCCACTCACATCTATGCCATCGAGGTTATGAATGTGCATCTTGTATCCCGTATATACAAACTGAGTATCGCGGCATGCACATCGACATGTAGCTGTCAAGCGGAACAGGCCTCAGCCCGCGGCTTAGTGACGAACCTGGCGATCTCCATCTGCATCTGACCCATCAGTGCAACCCCAGAAAGCATGGCGTGGAGTCTCGTGCCGATAAACATCACATAAGTACGCTGGCTCGATTCCACTTTTTGATTCTCGCTGTTATCTGTAGATAGGTACCACATGCATGCTTATCCGCCGACAGATAAGTAAAGACAGGCACAACGAACAGATACTAGCAATGGCTTATACGAGCATTGCAGCCGAGGTCGCGCCCTTGACGCCCTGCGTCTAACACAACGCGATCAACAAGCATTAAGCCACAAAACTCCACCACACTGCACTTACAATCCGACAACCTACCAAAACGAACAATCGTCGGCGCTCTCCGTTTCGCCCTCTTCCAGTTCCATGCCAGTTGCTAACCAGTTTGAGCCGTCTTATCGATTTCCCCGCATCTTGCTGAGCGGGGAGAGCCACGCCGTCTCCACGTTTCGATACTAAACAACGGCTTACATGGGGCTCGGCCGAGATACCTATCTACACGGCTGATAGCCATCCCAGCATCAGGTATCGAGTCTCATGCTGGATTTCCTTTATCAGTGGGCTAATCAGCTTTAGCACCTGGTCGGTCAATCACACCGGATCTGTCCATCTGCACTGCTCTCCCTCCAATTGCCTGTCCCGGCATTAGTATGAGAAGTCCGGGGTTGTTAAACCCATGTTCTCCGCACGCCGAGTTCGGGCTTGTGTCCCCCAACCCAGAATGCTGATCAACTGAGATATCGTTACCTCGTCTGATGCGACCCAGTTTCAAGATTGAGCCCCAGTGATGATACGATAGTGTGATTAAGTTGGCCGATGCCTGCAATGTCTTCTCCATATCTCTTGTCACCATCTTTTGTTACGACGCTCTGTAATAAAACAACAAACTCCTCTTTCACCCTCCTTCTCCTCTGCCTCTCCCAAATGCAGGGCACCTGCGTCACATTGTGATCTCCCCAGAATCCTACCAAATGAGACGGAAAGTGAACAGTATCCAATAGCTGCTCATCATCTAGGTACCACGATGAGCGAAGAATATACCAAACACGAAAATAGCGATGATGCCCAGCTGGCGGCCATGGGTCACCAGCCGGAGCTGAATCGCAACTTTTCCACATTGTGAGCCCAGTCCCCTGGCAAAAGTTCCCCCGTTTCATTTTCATATGATTGGCTTACAAAGGTTAGATCTATGCTGGGATTAGCATTCGCCGTGTTAAACTCCTGGACAGCTCTCTCTGCAAGTCTGTCTCTCAGCTTAACGTCCGGAGGTAGCACCGGTGTTGTCTGGGGTCAGTAAAACAGTCGTATGCAGATGGGTTTGCACATGCATATCTAGTTCCCCCCTTTGCGTCGTCTTGTCCTGGCTAACGTGCATGTGGGTGTGGGTGTACAGGCCTAGTCACAGCGGGAATATGCAACCTGTGTATTGCCGCCTCATTAGCTGAGTTCCTGTCGGCGTATCCAACGTGTGTCCTTGATAATGCTAGGCAAGAATAGACTGGGGTATGTTTTGCTAACAATACCTGTATCTATGTAGTGCTGGCGGGCAGTACCATTGGGTTGCAGCAAGTATGTCTTCTCTCCCCGACTTATACCATCTGCTTCTCTAACGAGAAAACAGTCTCATGGCCGAAATGGGTTCCGGTGTTGTCGTGGATAACAGGCTGGGTCAACGTCGCCGGCTGGGTATGGCCTCTTCTCTAATATATCAGCATCAACCTCTAACACCAACCGCCTACAGGTCGCCCTCGTAGCCACCAATGCTTTATTATCTAGCCAACTCATTCTTGGCATAATCTCTGCCACTCACGAGGTACCCACATGCAGTCTTCATCTTTACAGGACAACTTTCTTACACTCATGCTAGAGCTACGAGCCTCAACGTTGGCACCAATTCCTCATCTACATCGCCTTCACTCTCGCATCTTTTGTCATCAATGCCTTCATGAACTCCTTCTTGCCGCTTCTCTATCGCGGTGCCTTTATTTGGTCCATCGGTGGCTTTGTCCTTGTGTCCATTACGGTGCTCGCATGTGCATCACCAAATTACAACACTGCGTATTTCGTATTCCGCGAATTCATCAACACGACAGGATGTATGTACCATCATATCCAAGCAACTAATGAATGCGTATTTCTTGATACTAACAATCGTGCTAGGGCCTGATGGGATTGCATGGCTCCTTGGTGTGCGTATACAACCCACAATATACACGATGATTACAAGATATCTGACAGCGTTTTTAACAACTTACAGCTCCTCCAAGGAGGTCTTGGCGTCACCGCTTTTGTATGTCCTTCTTTCTCTCTGTCGTTTTGATCATAGCTAACTCTCTTCAGGATTCCGTCGCCCATATGATTGAAGGTAGATGACCGCTTTCTCCAATTGACTTCCTACTATAGTACAATGTATACTCACCAAACATCAGAAATCCCCAACGCCGCTTTAGAAGGCCCGAAGATCATGGTCATCTGCGTCGGCATCGGCACCTTCACCGGCGCCATCTTCCTCATCGTCCTGCTCTTCGTGGCCGGCAATATTGACGATGTCATCAGCTCGGCAGCAGGCCCTTTGCTGCAGATTTTGATTCACGCCACGAGCAACACTGCTGGAGCTATTTGCCTGCTCATGTTTGTCTTGTCCTTCATCCCTCGTCACTATTTTCTTCATCTGACAGTCTGAAATCTAGGCTCCCGCTTGTATGCCTGATTTTCGCGACGTTTAGTGTCATGACGACGAGTAGCCGCATGATCTTTGCATTTGCTCGGTATGAAATCGTTGAACACTTTCAGACATTTACCCTCAACTGACTCTTATAGTGATGGTGGACTTCCTGCTTCCAAATTCTTTGCTCGCGTCCATCCGAGACTCGGCCTTCCTCTAAATGCCCTCATCCTAACCTCCGTCGTCGTCATCATCTTCGGCCTCATCTTTTTAGGTTCATCAAGGTAAGTCTTCTACCGAGTATTCTCTGCCTCTTCTCAGACTAACGCCACCAAGTGCTTTCAACGCCATCATCTCTGCCTCCGTTGTCACCCTCGATCTTTCGTATGGCCTGCCCATAATGGTCAACTGCCTCCAAGGACGAAAGAAGTTGCCTGAGCGGAAATGGGTGCTGCCCAGTTGGTTTGGCTGGACAGCAGACATCATATCGCTATCGTATATTTCGCTCACGACGGTTTTATTCGTCTTCCCTCCGGTTCTACCCGTTACCGGCAGCAACATGAGTGAGTCATATAAGAATCCCATATCATGTAGATATACCTAGGTTTACTAACTCGCCGTCATAGACTACTGCATCGTGGCGTTCGCCATCATCATCGCAATCTCTCTCTTTCAGTGGATCATCGACGGCCGAAAGAACTTTACGGGGCCTCGCGTAAATCTTGTTAGCGGACAAGTCATCGGAGAGAATGTCACGGAAATAGAGAGCGTACAAGAAGTAGCACCGCCGAGCAAGGAGGCTTAAAGCATGGGCTTTCTGTGGGGGCTGGTACATGTAGTTTGGCATTACCTGGTATAATGTACAGGACAAAGTATGTATCTATTTAAAGATTATATAAAGTTTTCTTCTAGAACAAAAGCTACTTGGTTTAGACCAGAGATACACGTTGGAGATCTCACGATGACAGGTGGCCAATAAGAAACAAGGACTGATATCCATTCATGTATCATGAAATACTTCGTGCTGATGAACCTAACTGGAAAAACGAACCAAAAGATGAATCAAAAAATAGAGCATGGTGCATCTTGCCAGCGAATAAAAAGAATCAACCTGTATGTATCATACAAGTATAGACCTACCTAACAGCCCCATACGGGCCATATCTACCTAGGTACTCTTACACTTTGCAATCAGCCTCAATAACTCAAATTTTAAACCTAAGGCCCTAAAGCTGCTTTCTTCGTTTTTCAACATCTAAAGGCAGCAGTTTTGAGCATCATCAGCCCCAGCGGCCACATCAGCTTTTCCCTACTCGAGAAAGAAGAGACCTACTACATGCTTTCAGCTTGCAAAGACAATCTCTTCTACTCGCTCAAGCTCATCGCAATCATATCAACATCGACTTCTTCTCCAGTTCCTCTTTCTTCTTCAACAAACACTTCCCATCTTCAACATCCCCAACTTCAACATCCTCGACAAAAACAGTCCACCAACAGTCCTCAACCATCATCATCCTCCGTCCACGAAAATACAAACCCCCAAAAAAGCAATGGACACAAATTCAAACATCCAGCCAAGACTCTGTATCTGGACATGCCACAAATGCCATCGTCGCTACGCCCTGGGCTCCACGCAAAGATGCATCGACTGCGGTCACAGGATCTGTTACTCGGAAAGGAACACCGTACAGTATCCCTGCAGTGTTCAGTTCGATTTCGACGGCTGGAGGGCAATCTACAACGCGCGTCGTAGCGGATTGCTCCAGCAGAGCTCCGCATTCGAAGAAGAGCCCGTGATCGCCGCGGATGAAGAAGCATCTAGGCAGCAGAAGAGCGAGCGGCTCGAGAAGATGCTCAACGGCACATACAGCTGCTTCACAGACTGCAGTCGCCCCAACGAGTGCTTCGCCACGATGGCATTGAGCGGAATGGCCAGGCCTGCCAACCAGTCATCGTCGTCATCGTCATCAGAGCCCGCAGGGGAAAGGGCTACGAAGACGCCGAAAAACGCTACGAAAAACACTACGAAAAACGCACGCCGTCGCTGCAGAAACTTTCAAAAGACGCCCTCCCCTTTGAGCCAAGAATGGCGCATTGAGGATGTCTTGGATGAGGAAGTAGATGACGACGGAGTGATTATAGGCGGGGAGGAGACGGTCCAGGTGGTGGAGGGCAGGGAGGAGGAGAGAGTGTAATTTCAGTTTACGATTCGATAGCATGGCCTTCCATGTTGTTTCTGTATTTACTTTCCAGCCAGCCAGTTTCTCCATCTATATCCACACATGCAAATGCGTTCAGCAGTACTACGACGGTATCAGGTGCCCCTTATGCACATGAAAGATTCAACAGCCGCTCGGCGTCTAGGAATTACATCTCCAGCAAGCTTCTCCAAACATGTATTACATTCAATTACTCATTTAACAGAATAAAAAGATCGTTTCCCTAGTACCAAGCACCATTACCGAATAAAGAATGACATTGTTGGTAGCAAACAAAGGCGGCATGTTGCGACAGTGGCACCCACAGGAATATAAATAGGTCTTACGTCTTTAAACAAACCACTCTAAAACACTAGATATTGCACAAGAGAGCCATATATCGTGCCTGTTTTTTTCCTTTTTTTTTTTTCTTTGTAAAAGTACCCAGCCCTAAGATAATCTTGCCTGGCAATGTCAGCCGCCCAACAAGATATTTTTTCGTCCACCATATCAAATCCATCAGCTACTATCTCCAAACTGCTTCGAGCAACATCAAACAAAAAAAGACCCAAACACAAACAACTGTTGTACATGGCCCACACGACTAGCCATTTGCTCGACTGGTACCAAGACTAAACCATCAGGACGCGGTCCTGTCATTCGGCCTTGTCGAGTCTGCTGTCGTGCGCCCAGAATCTGCACAGTTGTCCAAGCCTCCTACAGGTTGTATATACCCATTGACAGGTTCGGATACCCTCTGCAGAAAAAAAAAATCAAAAAGCGTCATCCAGTTCAACGGTTCCCAGCCCATCTCCCGTCAATCGCCCCGCGATTCGAAACAGAAGGTATTCAAAGTATTAAAAAAGAGCGAAAAGCGATTCGTGCGCGGGAGTAGAAGAAACAGCTTAGGCTTCCAGGGCCTTTGCCTTCTTCTTCTGCTCGACCTTGAGCAGGAGGGCGCGGTTGATGTGCGGCAAGACACCACCAAAGGCGATGGTGGCGCGGATGAGGGTATCGAGCTCTTCGTCACCTCGGATGGCCAGCTGGAGATGGCGAGGGGTGATGCGCTTGACCTTGAGATCCTTGGCTGCGTTCTGCGTGGACGGTTAATGCTGCAAAGTAGCAAGTTGGTTAAAGAGAAACTTACGCCTGCCAGTTCCAGAACCTCAGCAGTCAAATACTCGAGAACGGCGGTGACGTAAACTGCGGCTTTGGCGCCCACACGCATCTTGTTTTGGGTGTTTTGCTTGAGGAAACGCTTGACACGGCCACAGGGGAACTAAATGCGCCGAAAACATTGCGGTTAGTAACAGAACATCTCTTGGCTGTAATCCTGGTTTCGATGACAATGGCATGGGTATAACTCCGTCCCAAAGAGTGTCCGCCGCTAGAAAAAAAAATCCTCTCCCCCTCCCTGCGCTCAGCTACGCGACTAGGCATCCAAGCAGCCCAAGGGCAGCAAACTTGGTAAGGTGACACAATTGCGCGGCTCGAGTCCAGCGAGATCCATCACCAAGATGCCTTTGCGGTTCCGGACAAAGTCGCAGCAGCCGTGGCAGCGATGGGATGACGAACGCGTCAACGTCGTCTGGAAAAAAAACTCGTCGAACTCGGCCATCGCGGGGAGGTTGGAAGCTAAAGCGGGACTCGCATGAGGTGCAGATGGGCGTGCATGCGCGCAAATCGTTTGGGCATCAAGCAGGACGAGGCCACGCAGCCGATGGCCACGAGAGGGCAAAAAATCAAATGCTGCTGCCGCTGTCCAACGGCCAGAAACTCACCTGAAGACCGGCTCGGGCAGAGTGGCTCTGCTGCTTCTTGTTGGCTCCGTCGGCGCTCGTCTTACCGCCGGAGCTCTTGCCTCCAGACGACTTGCCCTTGCCTCCGGCCATTGTGAGCGGCGTATCGATGCGGGATGGCGACTAAAGATGCACGATGGTTCGAGCGTGAAATGGAGCGTCTGCACTGGCGAGAGGCGAGAGCAGAGGGTGATGCGCGTGCGGAGGTGGTGATGGCGTCGAAGCAAGTGGTGGGATGTTTGGTAGAAATTTGGCAAATCGACGCAAGCGGGCTCCAGCTGCTGTCATGTTTTTTTTTTCTGCCCGCCTTTGGGGGGGACGTCCGCTGCAAGGAACAGCAGCCTTCTGGCCATGGCGCCCTCGCCTCAGCGGAATGAGCTCCCCCAGCCTCCCCAAAACTGCCCCTCTCGCAGGCTCCAGCGCTGTTGAGCTGCCTAAGAGCTTCCAACAGTAGCCTCTGTCGAGCCGTTGGGCGGTGCTGGCGGCGTAATAGTGAGACCGTTTGATGGAATGCCGCATCCGACAGGCCGGAGTATAGCCGAAGGCTGGCCGCCACTGGCGCATCGCAGGCAGCTCGAGATGGTGGCAGGCCGGCAAAGGGCGTCAGTCAGCCAAAGGGGCTCCAAGGCCTCAAACCCTCTGGAAAAGACGTCGAAAGACATCATACCAGACAGCTTGAGGTGGGAGAACTCGACAAACAATCGCCGTAGAGACGTCTGCATAGCACTGGAGATAGTGCTGAAGACGACTCATGGCATCGGGATATACTGACCAGACAGCTCAGCTGCCATCGCAGCAGCGCCGCCAATGCCTTGTCTTACCCCATGACGTTGCATGAGGCGGTAAAGGCAAGGCGTAGGATCACCTCAAAGCAGTCATCCTGCCAGTTCAAGCCGGTGCGAAGTTGCTGGCCTGACTGGGCGATATCATGCCTTGGTGAGCCTGGAGTTCAACTGTTTCTAAACTCGGCGACTAGAGTTGACATTGTCCCGCTGTGGCGGCCAGGCTGTGGCGCAAGGCATGGCTTAAAGCCGGCTATTTGCCGATGCCAGGACATTGCAGGTCACTGAACTTGGCCGGAAACAGAACTTGCTTTGAGCTTGCGTCAGAATTAATTTCTTTTACTTTTACCATTCCACAGGTACAATATACCACAAATACGGAGGCAAAACATCAGCAAGATATTCGCGCTACTCTGCTGCAGTGCACAAACTAGATCATCTCTTTGCACCAAATGGCCGTATCCGCGCTGCTGTGGCTTGGAACGAGCTACCAAAGTACATGTACCTGCTAGCCTGTCACTCCAGCTCGCACGGACCACATGCCGGCACGAGATCTGTAGAGCTTCATGTACATCCCACCTCCAACTGCCTGCAGCAGATAGCTGCTGATAACGAGCCACCCGTGGTTTGTATGTCTTCACGTTTCTGTCTCTGCAAAGTCCAACCATCCATACCTCTGCGTTACGAAACTCACAGTGGCAAATCATGGCAAGCGTAAGCACGGCATTCCCCGTAGTTTATTTATGCGGTGCAGATTGCTAATCCGCAAGGCTGCAGCACAACGTAGCTCGCACAACCCGGGTGCGCACCGAAGAGCAGCGGCTGCAAGAAATCGAAAAGATCAACAAGTATCGCAGCCTCGAAGACCAGATCCGTTCCCAAGCGGCATCAGGAACCTACAGCCTCCAACTCTACGACCTTACCACCAAACTCCTCCGCCTCAACCCCGAGTATTACACAGTATGGAACGTCCGGCGCCGGTGTCTCTTATCCTGCCTGTTATCCGCAACAACAGACCAAACGGCATCAGATACCCAACGCGCGACGCCAGACACCAAGAACCAGCAATCAGATGGCGACGTATTACAATCTGAAATCGCCTTTACCATGCCGCTCCTGATGGAGTTTCCCAAGTGCTACTGGATCTGGAATTTCCGGCAATGGCTTCTGTCGCAAGCTATCTTGCGGCTACCCCTTCCGGCAGCACGTAAAATATGGGAAACGGAGCTTGGTCTGGTATCCAAGATGCTCAACAAGGATCAGCGCAACTACCATGCCTGGGGATATAGGAGATTTGTGGTGGCTCAGCTTGAGAGTCCCGAACTAGACGGCAAGAGCATGGCTGAAGACGAATTCGCCTACACAACGACCAAAATTCGGAATAACTTGTCTAATTTTTCCGCATGGCATAATCGAAGCCTGCTCATACCAAAGGTCTTGGATCAGCGGGGCTCTGACGACAAGGCCAGAGCGGCTTTTCTCGCCCAAGAGCTCGATCTTGTACGAGAGGGCCTCAATGTCGGGCCCGAAGATCAGAGTTTATGGTACTACCATCAGTTTCTGGTATCCCAAATCGTGGGAGACGGGAATGGACAGAGCATTACGCCGGCATTAACTGTCGACGAAAAGGTCACCTACCTAAAGCGCGAGATTGATGAGATTACGGATCTGTCAGAAGACTATAGCGACATCAAGTGGATTTACGAAGCTCTGTTAGAATACAACCTGGCTCTAAATCGGCTAGAAGATAAGAGCGATGGAGCTGGCAATCTACAGACCTGGCTCACGAAGCTGCAGGCTCTCGACCCGATGCGCATGGGTAGATGGAAAGACGTTGAGCAACAGGCAAAATGAAATGCATGACGTGACCGATATAACAGGTACTCTCTTGTACGAAATAGAATGAGAAAGGAATTGATGATACAGGAACCACATGTCAAATTACACAGAAGCAAACAACGCAACAGCTATATTGGACTAGGATGAGCGGACGGGTGTTGGATGAACAAGGCTACCCGGGCTGTGTACAAGTAAATACAAACAGTGAAGTAATTACGCCGCTATGATGATCGGCAATTGGCGTTGTCAAACCCCTGGCAACAATATACGTTGGTGCTTTTCCCATTTTTTAGTGATTCTAACTCTGCGGAAAATCCCAGTCATTGCCGCATAGATGCCGCAGTTAGGTGGGCAGATACCGTTTAATCTTGTACGTCGAATTCACTTTACCAATCAAAACGAGCATTCATTGGGTTTCGCTGTGATGACGTCAGTGCGATAAAGCCCCGCGCTAAAGCTCACGAAGCTGGTCAAAACTTTGTTCTCGTATCATTTTCCCTCGTTTCTCCATTTGGAATACTACGATCATAATGACTCTTTCGTTTCGTTTCGTTTCGTTTCATACATATACCCAGATGGAGACTGAAAATCTGCGACTAACTCATAATCATTTGAAAACGATATTAATGCAGTAGAGAAGAGAAATCTAGATACAACAACTAAAACACTTTTCACTCCTACCCTACAAACTCTACACTTAAATATCTAAGATGATATAAGCTAGGCCTGTAGTTTACAGGGCATTTAATAACACCGCTTTCTCATATACTTGTCGATATGCTTGAGCTCGACTCTTTTACAATGAGTTTCCGAGAGGCACATCAATGAAGCCTACCTAAGGTAGGTATTGCGTACAAAAAACAGACTTAGTATATGTCTTATCAAACACCAAATGTCATCTCCAAGCTATTTTATGAAGAACTAACAGTATCTTAAACATTACAATAAGGGTTTTACCGCAAGGTCCACTTTGTGTCATAGACTTTGTTGCCATGGGGATACATCTATTATCTAACAATGAAAGCTACCAAGGTAAGTCACAAAGGGACTATGTCCCCAGAATACCTCCCTATTCAAAGCGCCTTGCATAGCAAGAGTAAATGGCTTTGCTCCCCACCACGCAATTCTACAGCGATAAAGCCCTAGACCATTTCGTATGGGCACACTTTGACAGCTTGGGAGTGGCTGTACTGTCTTCCAGGAGATTGGCCCGCCAGGTGGATATCTTACTGCAGAAAGCATGCATGGCCTGGCACCAAGGAGAAGTACACCGCCGTTCTCGCTTAACGACAGCTCTAGGCAAATATGCATCTAGACAGTGTTATAGAATTACTTGTAAGAAGATTGTTATCAGAGTTTTGTTTTGTTGGCGGGTTTTTGTAAGTGTGTTGGAGGTGATGGCGCGGGACTTGGATGTGGCGACTCCACAAATGGGTGTCAGAATGGTGGTCTTTTTGGTTGTGATATGGACTGTTAGCTGTAATCTCTTACTTTTTTAGACAGTTTGAATTGTTTGAGGCTATGAAGTGGCTGTTTTAGAGCACATGTTATACTACTTTGTCGTCTTAATTATGCCTGCTCAAGGCATTAGTTTTCAAGGCATTTTGTGTGGACGCAGTAATGAGGAAGACATGTAATGACATCATGCGTTTGCTATAATCACAGCTGATATGACAGGCATGAACAACTTTTACTAATCCGTGCACCTTTCCTTCGATATAGGTAGTTATGTGTATCTATATTATGTTCATCTTGGCATCATATCCATATCCTACAACAACGGCTGCCTGTAGGATATTATTTTGTGCTCCACGACAACGCCGCAAAATAAAGTAATGAGCCGTTAATTTTGCGGATTGATCTCTTATTTGCTAGAATACAATGCATTGCATTGCCTATACAGCATTATCTTGGCTGAGTCTTACGAATAACGCTTTTGAGCTTGAGCGCATCTACAGTCCATAGATCGGGATGCGCAACCATGAGCAGTGAAATACAAAGAGCGAGTAATACAATGACCGCCGTCTTTTACACTCACCTACGAACCGATCGCAGGTTAACCACAACTTGGGTGTCAAATCAGAGCCGCCTACAAAGTCGAATGCAAGTACATGCCCGGGCGTCCGTCTGTGCTCCCCCAATGAACCGTAGCGCAATCCGTGGTTGTACACGTATCGAGTTCGTCCCAACGTTCATCGACTGAAGGGCAGATACGAATCGAGCTAACCAGCCGCCAGGACATGCAGGCTGCTGCAGGTACTGCTCCCAAATACGTGCATGATCGGGCGTGCACAAGGGGAGGCAAACGGGCCAATGCCCGGCAAGCAAACCGCGGGAGTGTGGGTATGGGCGCATGCGGTGCGTTTGCAGCCATCGAAGCCATTGTTACACGAAGGATTTGGTGGCAGTAGCTCATCTTCTATGCACAGAGGTACTCCTAGGTACAGTAGGAATGACAACTGACGAGTACCAACACGTGATTGATGCATCCTGATGCCCGTAGTCTCAGAGCCACAAGACTGCTTTATATATTAGTCCTTCATTAAAAGCAGCAGAGCAAGGGGGAGCCAATCTTAAAACGTTGCTTGCGCGTCCCTGATAGCGAAGCTACCCGACATCTTCAGCGGTCGCAGAGATTTTGCTTGTCTTAGACATAAAAAGGATTCATTGACCATGCTGTATATCCGCCCTTTGATCTGATGAAGAGTGTTTGCTTGAGATAAAGTACTTTTGAAAGCAAAAAGGCCACTTGATAGCAAAAGGAATGGTTAGCATGTAGTTGACAAATTAGACTCAAAGAAACACTGATTGGGCCCTAGATGCAATAGAATGTTAAATTTGGCAATTCACGATCCCGGAGTACGGGATACGTGCACGACTTGGAAATGGCACGGAATTGGGAGCTGTCAGGGGGCCTTGAGTGGATCCTCAAAAAAAGGCGGTGCCTCGGGCTGCCGACTTTTAGTCAAAGAGCCCAGATGGCAGAAAACGAGATTGGCCCCGGAAATTCAGGAAGATCAAGGGGCCCGATTCGCGGAAAGGGGCGCAGGCCAAATGTTTGTCGTGATGACAACAACAGTTGTCCTGATGAACTCGGCACCAAAGAGTGCTGTTATGTACCTATGTAGCAGTGCGTTATACAGTGTGACGCGCAACATCTGATAGTTGCATTCTCTTGTTCACGGTTTGGTAGATATCGTAGGTACCGTGTTTCTTGTTGGCGCCCTGCACGGAGCCGCGAGGCGATATTGCATATCTGTGGGATTGGAGCCTCTGCTCAGGAGCTCAGCTGGCCCAGCAGTCCCCGTGCCGTGGGCTGAAAGAAACGCAACAGGCCCTTGTGACTTTGCATGTGAGGCTTTCTCTGCTGGAAGTGGCTGCTGGCGATGGTGGCTTGTCGCCTGACTGAGCAGAATGCAACAGCGACAACCCATACCCCTGCAAACTCGGCCAGCTACGTTTCCGATTCGCTAGACAGCCCTGATCGCGGGTGGATACGCTAAAGATCCATATTCTGGAGACATACCGTCAGAAGGGAAAAAATCGCTGAAGGACTCGAGGTTGCGAGGAGCAAAAAGGGGTAGCCAACGGGAAATTTTGGAAATGAGAAGCGACCCATGCTGACAGCGCCCTTTCGAGATTCTCTGCAGAAGAATGAAGCCAGCATAGTTAATTGTCCGAAGCAGGCCTTTGTCTTTGCCTCTCAACCGCCGCGTTCGTGATAAACAGTGACGAGAAACCGAAACTCGGGATCTAGTGAGCGCCACGCCGTCCCGTCGTCCAAACTACTCACAGTAGTAGGTAGTACTACTATAAGTCTTCTAGTAGTGCTACTAGGACTGACAGGCTTCTTTTGCTACCTGGAGGGTCGCGTACACAAGAAAGATTTAAAGAGAAAAAGAGGCGTACCTAATGCCCATCACGATCACGATGTGTGATGCCGGTGGCTGACTGGTCCTCGGGAAGATGACGCCTCGTAAACCTCTCCAGGCAAAGCATACGCAATTCACCACTACCACTCCCACTCCAAGTAGCACTGCTTCGTAATACGAACCGTGGTCTGAAGCAGATGCGAATAATCGCTCGGCCATGCAGTAGGGGTCTTCTTTCGAACTGCCGTTTAATGCCCATCTGCCCCTTTAGTGCCGGCGGCGTCTTATTACACTCACCCATCGTGTTTCAGGGCGTAGAGGTGCACCATACCACATGCCGCTAGATCGAGCGTGTGTGCCTAGATATCCCGAAATTTGATGGCTGCAACGTGGCGCAAATTGCTTTTGGCGGGCGGCGCGGCGGCATTCCAGAGCATTTACAGCATGTAAGACGAGTTGAGGGAGCAGAGCGAAGTGAGGGTCGAAAGGGGGAGCATCGAGCGTGCATCAACACCAAGCTATGGATCATGAGGACGAGACAGAGACGGGCATCAAGCAACGACGCCTCCTCTTCATGTTTCGTATGCATGTGGTGTATGCAGTGCAGCAGCAGACGCTGATCGAGTGGAGGCTTCCCTGCTTCTCCAACGATGCTCTTGGTCAACGTGAAGGAGATCCTGCAGCGGGAGGGTGTTTTGGTTGACTCAGCGTGAAAGCAACCCCTGCGTCTGCATGGGAGCTAGACAGGGAGTCTGCGTATGCACCTGTGATTCCGCGTTTTCTGGTGCCCTCGCAACGGTTATAAACCGAACAAATGATGTGGGAAGCAGCAAGTCCTTGTGCTATCAGGTAGAAGTGGTGACGTTTGAGTTGGAGCAAGACAGTCAACGATACTGTGCTTGTTGGTTCGCAGGTTTCAAGCTGACTGAATAGAAGCAGCCTCAATGCTACTTTCAACATCTGCAGGGCATCCAGCCATTCAGGCCCTTTGACGCACCTAAATTAGCCTGCATGTCAACATCTCAGCTCTCTCTGCCGCAACAAACAAAACATCTCCAGGCCTCCGACGGCCAGCAACCCCTGGCCTGGTTGCATGCAGCCACTGTTTTGCACCGCCTGCAAAGCTTCGTGCGCCACAAACCGCTGAAGGGTGTGGCGAGGGTATGTCGTCTTCACACAGTACAAGCCCCATGACACAGCGGCCCCATCTCTTCCATATTGCTTCTCCTCAAATTCTACGGCCAAAGGCTCCATCCAGGACTCCGTGTCATAATGAACGCAATGCTTGAATCGCTTCGCAGCAAAACATAGTAGAGCCGCGGAGAATAGGGGCGGACATCGATTTCTTCTAGAACGTCGAGGCATGGCCAAAGGCCTGAGTATGTTCAGGGGAAGCAATAAATGCTGCAGTAGCAGAGAGAGAATGACATGGAGGTAAATGAGATAAGAACTCGGAACTGCAAGCGAAGGGGATCTATCAACTGTGTGCAAGTACATCTGATAGTCGGCTGTTTTGCTGCGATGGCAGGTAGATTCATTACAACGATAGGTTCTGCAGTCGCAATAATCCATGGGCGAGGTCCGCGGTACCGAAAACTGCCAGCGACCAGGGCTGCCTGCGAACCTGGAAGCTTAAGGTAACATGAATGCCCTTGCGGTACGTACCGTCATTATTAGGGCTGTGGCTGTAGGAAGAAGCTGAGGGCTTGTACTGGCGGCACAGCAGATATTTTCACGCAAGAAGAAACGGCCGGTGGATGCAGTGCAGGACAAAACAACAACAGTGAGAAACAGGTGCAAAGTAGACTAAAAGCGGCAGCTGGAGAGAAAAAGAGAGGCAATCTCACAGGGCAAAGCGGCTTGTTTATGCAAAGAACCTGCTCCCTTGCTTCGTTAGATTAGAGGCCGCATCACTTATACAAGCAGATACTTTTCCCATCAGCACTGCTGTGCCCTAGAGCCCAGCGCCTTAGCACAGGCCACCAGGCACTGGCACTCCAAAATTAGGGGTGGTCTGCGCCGTGTACTGCCTTGGGCCGCAATCTGCCATTATGCACGTAGCCGGTACTACCTTTTGCTTGGTGGCCGCCCCTATATCCAGCTTGTACCCTGGCCATCTAGCGCACCCGAGTCTACAGTGGTGGGGCGGGCAAGAGCCTCCCCCCTAGTAGGTTATTACCCGTACTTAGGATTATGCTCTGGCGTGCAATTTTTCTTTTCCCTAGCCCGGCTCTCCAACTCTCGTACCTCGTAGCACTGCTTCGCTTCTCTTCTCTCCTCTCCATCGCCACCTCTCCTCTCCGTCGCCCTCTGCTGCGAACCCGCGACAGCGAAAGACTTCGTAAGAGCCGCTTGCGAGAGTCGCCAGTCGCCAGCCGACGCCCGCCTTTGCCGCCATCTGAGAACAGCTCCTGGAACGCGAGTACTGGTGCCGCTGGAATCCGATCTGGACAACCTACGGATACAGAGCTCCCTGGATCCGATTTGGACTTCCCGCGCATTTGTCGACCTGATCCGACTGGCGCAGTTTGAATAGGAACACCACGTTTCCCGAATTCCGACCGCTATATCTTAGAAAAAGAATCGTGAGCTCCAAGCTTGGCGATTCTGTCTAGAATACTGGACGCGGCGCCGAGTCGCCTCTGAAGAAAAGAGGAAAGCCAGAGTGCTTGAACGAGTTCCGTGGATCTTGAATTTTCCTTTCATTATAGACTTCACTCCCTATCTCTACGCATTGCATAGAGCTAGCTAGCTAGCTTTGCACTGCCTTCTACACGACTGCTCTCTTGTTGGGTTGGCCTGGGCTGCTCCCCCAACTCACGTTACGACCGTCACGACTGAAACGATCCGATCAAACCAGACTGTGCATCATCTATGCTGCCATTTCATCGTCCGTCTCTATCGCGTTTTTGAGTATCTTCTTCTTCTTAGTGCAAAGATCTGGAACCTCGTTGTCCTGCCGATTACGTGTTCCTTCTCCGCCCATTTATTGCGCACCATCTTAACTATCTACCCCTTGGCGTATTTTCGGAAACGCTCTTCACGCCGCAGTCGCATCAAGGATAATTTGGACGATCTTGCGAAATGGCTCAACAGCCCCACGATATGACTTACCTCGATTATGGTACGGCGACCAACCGGTCGCCTAGCTCCTCGAGGCAAAATTATGGCTTTGCCCCTGGCCTGTCCATGCCCCGACAGACGCAGCGACCCTTTGATGCACCTCTGCCTTCAAACAACCTTTACTCCTCCGATAGGCTGGCCAGTAGCTATGGAAGCCGAGCTATGGACACCATTGGCGGCGGCGGTGCCATGCCTGGATACATGATGGATAACGGCCAAACATGGAATTACAACGGCGCCAATGTGGCTACCGTCGGAGGCAACGTGCATGGCTCACAGAGGCAGCGAAGCGTTAACCGCCGAGCTGCTTTGCCGACTGTATGTTTATGACTTTAACACCCTTTGCCTTGAAAAGTGAAATCGCGTAACTGACCAACAAGATGCAGAACTGGACCGAACATGGCGGAATGGGCATGCCCAACCTTCAATCTTACTCGAATGGCCTTGCCGGCGCCCCCATGTCAAACGGTGGTCTCCGCGTTGATGCTCCTGGATCTCACCCATCCCCAAATAGCCTTCAGTCTGTCGGAAACGACGCCGACCAACTCATTCCTACTGCCATTGTTATCAAGAATATCCCATTCGCCGTGCGCAAAGAAACTCTTGCTTCGATTATGCTGGATATGCATCTCCCCCAGCCCTATGCCTTCAACTACCACTTTGACAATGGAGTGTTCAGAGGGCTCGCGTTTGCCAACTTCCAGTCCGCTGAAGATACTCGTGTCGTCATTGAGGCGATGAATGGAATGGACGTTCATGGCCGAAAGCTGCGAGTCGAGTACAAGAAGATGCTTCCCGAGGCTGAGCGTGAGCGTATCGAGCGAGAAAAGAGGGAGCGCCGAGGTCAGCTGGAGGAGCAGCACCGCGCCCCTATTCTGCATAACCAGAGCTCGATTCAGAGTCTGGGTGGAATGTCCCAGGCTCAGGCGCGCACCGCTTCTGTCGCCCCTACCTCCGCTATCTCTCATCTCGGTAGGATTTTTACGCACACATCATTTATTAGACGATTTACTGACAAGGAAACCCTAGGCGACATTGATCTGAACGACCCCCAGACCCTTGAGTTCTACACCGAACTTGTCATGTTCCGCAGAGATGATACTCGTGAAATTTTAGTGTTTCCTCCTGGAATTGCCCCCGAGCACCGCCGGTCTATTCACATTCTCGCTCATCACATGGGGCTTGAGCACCAGTCCATCGGTGAGGCTGATTCCCGACAACTAACTGTGCTCAAGCGACGACAGCCCTCCCCTACCGCCGATCTTCATACGCCCCCTGCCAGCAGCTTGGATGTTCACAAGCGTGGCTTGAGCCGGGCTGCCACATTCGACTTTGCCGCCGACCGAGAGTCTCGAGCGGCCAGCAACAATTATGCTCATCTTGTTGGTCGACATGGGCCTACTCTTGAACTTCCCGGTAGCCCAGATGGGGCTGGAATTCCCAACAACCTGCGAGCTGCCAAGAGCTTTGCCGACCTACGCTCGTTCACTCCTAGCCCCTCTCAGGCGTCATCAAGCTACCTGGCCCCTGGTAGCGGACTGAGCGGTATTGCGCCTGCGTCGACTGCCCGATTTGGTGACTTTCTCAGCAACGGTAGCCAATCTCAGAGTGGAAATCCTAGCACCCCCGGTGCAAAGAATGACAATGGCCTTGTCAGCGGCCTCAGCGGATTGAGCTTGTCTCCTTTTGAGGCGAGCGGGCTGCAGCCCCAGGCACGTAACACTCCTGGTGCTATTGGCAGCCAACGACCCAGCGCCAACGGCAACGGTACTACCAAGGGTGCCCCTGAGCGACAGCCGCGTGGCCCAGAGTGGGAGACCTCGAACGGCTTTGGTCGTACTCGGGCCAATGGCCACATGCAACGCGGTAGTGGTACGTTGATCCCATCCCCCACGCCGGCTGCTCTACCAAACTAACATGGCTGTTATTAGATTCCTCGGACAATGGAGCTCGCGTTGGCACCAGCTCCACTAATGCTTCACGATATCACTAAACGAATACAACACGCGTCTACTCGCGCTCTCCTCTGTGTGCTGCATGAAGCTTACTGAGAGAGAGCCTTTGGACTGCCCTTTGGGGGGGATTCGGAGCAGGCTTTCTGCATCGCATCCCTCGCCTCGCCCTCACCCATTGCTTTTTATGACTTGTAATATTGATTTTCATCAGGACGACGAGAGTTGTCGGCGAATCTAGGACGATTGATCAAAACAGTGGCGTAACACTCGCCCTAGGTTGCCCAAAAGTCTCGTGTTTCGCCATCAACTCTCGCCGCTCCGTAGCTGGTTTTTATGATGATGATGCCACCCCCGATGAGAATGCGGAAAACAGGACCAGGATACGAAAAAAATACTTGTTCGACAAATGGGCAGCCGTTACGCAAACGTTTATGATTCGTTTCCGAACGCAATGCCTGGAATATCCCCTTCGAGTATACTCGTTCAACCAGACCTACGACCGATTCTTGACGATTATGACATTTATTTTCACGACTTTACGTCTAGACAGCTGCTGCGAATCCACCTCGTCGTGCTTCGCATCACATTGGCACTGAGTGGAGTGGCTTCGGCGACGATGACGAGCAGTACCTATACCCAAAGAAAAAAAGAATCTTATTAATACCCCCATGTCTGACGTCCAGATACGACCGTGACGACAACGAATTGAGCATCCCAGCTTCTTGTATATGCAAGGGGGAGGCTTGAGATGAGAGTAGCAATGTGTTTGTTGGAATAAAAGAGTTAGTTGGAGATGATTGTGAGGAAGCGGAACAAAAAAATATCTCTCAGCAAAAAAAATGAAACTTCTCTTTGATGCTTTATACGAGAGTTTATGGCATTTGCTTGCGTTGATTAATAAGTCTTGTCTCCGCCGCTGAGGCAGTTCCCTCTCAGCGCAACCGAGAAAAAAAGTCGACTTCGCTGAGACGGTATAATTTTTCTTTATTGCGGCGTTGACCGGGCAGCATTTTTCGGGGTTTACTATATTTTGGATATTTTGCATCTTTCTTCTTGGAATATGCATCTATGTGAGAACTCTTTTCTTTTTTGTTTCTTTTGGTTCTCGAAGAGAGGGGACCGGTGACGGGAAAGATGAACTCCATGCATCCTAGATAGATGCAAAGAGGAAATGGTCAGTTTCATAAACTCATACAGGGCTATACGATTTAGCAGGATCATGTGAAAGAAAGGGAAAGAAAAAAACACAAATGCGGCGAATTCTTCTATTCTTTTTGTCCTAATAATTTTGTTTTTCAGTTTTTTTGTAAATGTTTTCTCCTTTTCTTCGTCTTCTTTTCTTGTTCTTTTCACGAACTGTAACTGCTGTATTAGTGCTACCAAGAGCTTCTCTTTCTACTTTTTCGATTCAATTTGGAGTTTTAGTTTTCTTTTAGTTATAATTGAGTTTGAATGCTTCAACTTTTTATCCAATTGTGCATGTATTTGCTGGGACTAGCGAGATCTTATTTTATGACTTTCTGTTTCTGAACTTAACGGATAAGTGATTCCGAATTAGTTACCAGTATGGATTCATTTCTTGGTGTGAGGGTCTCCTCTAGCTTCTCAATATTAACAGATTCATAAATGCAAGTCATATGGCTTGAATCGCCGTCCAAGGTGCAGCCCTGGTTAGCGTTGATGCTGTCTACTTATGCTTATGTTTTCGCTGACTCGTTTTCTAAGGTACCTAGGCAGACGGCAATCGGATCCACTAATTGTGTTGCCTGACGGTTAAGTCGTGATGTAGCGCTCGTATCGCAAAATTCTACGGATGACGTAGCCTGTATGAATATTATTATCCGCATTTTGAATGTTATATACGGTCCATGATTGGCAGATGTTGACTACCCCTCTGAAACGTAGCATTCTAGGATTTATACGTTCTGTTTGTGAAACAACTGGTTTTCCTTTTTTCCTATCTTTTGGTGACTACGATTGTTGATTGTTGATTGTTAAGAGGTGCTATCGTCGCACTAACTTCGCTGAAACTCTGAATCCCCGCATCGGAAAGTTGATATAGCCGTTGAAGACGAGAGAGGCATAAGGCACTGGCAACTTATAAACTGGGCAGCTGAGAAAGTCAAAATGGCGTCGACTAATAAGCAATGGATTTCTAAGCTGGATGGGGTTGATAAGCTGGAGTTTACGGAGGGAGAGGTACCTGTGCCGAAGGAGGGAGAGGTGTTGGTCAAGATTCATACTGTGAGCTTGAATTATCGGGATATTGAAGGTACGTTGAGAGTAGTGCTTCTGCTTCGCCGGATCTGGTATATGGTGATCAGATACGCGTTGGAAACGCTCGCTTCTAACTCGGTTGTAGTCTGCGAAGGCCAATATAGTCATCACTTGAATCCGGACGACTTCAACGCCGGCATCGTTCCCTGCTCTGACATGTGCGGCACCGTTGTGGAAAGTAAATCACCGCTCCTCAACAAGGGCACTCGCGTCATGTCCATTTTTGCTCAGGCTCATCTTTCCGGAGCGCTCAAGCCGTCCGACTTGGCTACGGGACTGGGCCTGCCTCTGCCTGGAGTGTTGACCGAGTACCGGTGTTTCGATGCAAAGACGCTGGTCAAAGTGCCCAAGTACTTGACCGATGAGGAGGCCAGTTGTCTGCCCATTGCGAGTGTGACGGCGTGGATGGCGCTGAACTGGATGAGGCCTATTGGCAAGGCGTTCCAAGCGGTGGAGATTTACGGCCAGGATCCGGAGGAGAAGAAGGTCGAGACGGTGTTGCTGCAGGGTACGGGAGGAGTGAGCATTGCGGGACTGCAGATTGCAAAGGCGGCTGGTTTAAAGGCCATCATCACGTCGTCGTCGGATGAAAAGCTCGAGGAGGCGAAGAAGCTCGGCGCGGATCATACGATCAACTACCGCACGTACTGGGAGTGGCAGGATCGCGTGTTGGAGGCCACTGAGGGCAATGGCGCAGACTATATCCTTGAAGTGGGCGGTGCGAAGACACTGCGCAAAAGCTTTGAGAGCGTTTCCTTTGGCGGGACGATTAGCTGCATTGGTTACGTGTCTGGCAAAGAGGATAACGATGACGACAAGGACAAGGCGTCGAGCTGGAACAAGCTGAACGTGAATGTGCTGGCGCTGCGGAAGAATGTTACGCTGAAGGGGCTGATCAATGGTGGCAAGGATCGGTTTGAGGAGATGGTGAGGTTTTACGAGGACAAGGAGATACGACCGGTGGTGTGCAAGGTGTTTGGGCTGGAGGAGGCGAAGGAGGCGATGGGGTATGTGCAGGGGGGGAAGCACTTTGGCAAGGTTGTGATAAAGATTGCGTGATTTGGTTCTGGGCGAGTTTGTGAAGAAGAGCTTTGTTGATTAGTTTACATGTAGAACAAGACTGGCATGAAACTCCAAGGCATTCGTCTAATTACTTCCGCTTAGTTAACTGTGTATTGTGAAATGCTCTATTGGTAGGGATTTGCAGGCACAAGGTAGTATATAAGTCTTGGCGTTTACCTTATTTGGAGATTGTGAAAGTCTTTGCTCCGTATTGCAGCTACAGATGGGTTTGGGTCGTCATAGATGTGGCGAGGTATAGCATTCTAGCCTCGTCCCTTGGATGACTGGGATGAGTAGAGGGGAAAGTCGTCCTGAGTGCTGCTAAGCCACATGCTCATGTGAATTTTTTAATGTACTGTACATGTAGTTGATTGCATCCATGTAAGACGTGGTTGCCTGTTTCTCGATTTTTGCTTGATTTGTATAATGCTCTTTTTCGCCCTTGATTTAGTCCTAGCAGGCTGACCTTGCGTATATGTAACCCTGGCCGATCCTTTAAATCGTATTATGCGGGGCCAGCGCTTGGCAGTGGTGGCATATGATTATGTGGAAAAGATGCCCTTTTGGGAGCTGTTGCATGCAGCAGAGAGAGTGCTCCAAAACTCGACAAATCGGTGTCAGCTGGCGGAAGAGATGGCCGAAGTGGGTGTCTATGCTGCAGGTTATGACTTAATTTGTAAACATTAATTCCACGAATGTGATGCTGCGAGGCCAGGTTAAACCCCGTCGGGGTTGTATTGCATAGCACATATGATGTAATTCGCAATATGTAAAAAAGATACTGCTTCCAGGTAGAGAGCTTTCGCCTGTTTGAAGCTGCCAGCGAGCATCTGACAAGCAACTGAGTTATCATTAATAGCCACTCATATATCTTAGGACGGGAACGTGCCTGGTTTTCATACTCAGAATTACTCTATCTATTAAGCTGATGGCTCTTTTCAGAAAATATGGTGCAGCAAACGATATACTTTCACATAGGGGCCTGCTTTTGAGACTTGTGATGATCCTTCATAACTAGCTTGATGCTGTGTAACATGAAATCTTGAATTATTATCATGCTAAAGTGGTTCCTCTTCTAGGACTGGGTGTCGCAAAAAGGGCTCTGCAGCACTGTGCCCATGTAATCCTCTATACGGACAACCCAAGCTCTGCGCCGGCTCATGCGAGTTCGTTATTGGACATGCCAATATACTGCGAGCACTAGTTCTCGTTTTGGACCGGGAATCATTGATATGATACCTCCCGCTGTCCGAAAACTGTCCGGAAGCGTTACCTTGGAGACGAGGTCTTCATAGTAATTACCATATCGGGCATATGGTCAAGGTTAAATCCTGCGGTCCAGTCTATTGGGTGCAAATCTACTATATTATCGCGTGAAAGCCAAGCCAACCCCTTGAGAAGCGACTAATCCCTTTTTTGCCGAATATGTAGGCGACTAGAGTGAATAATGTTATTAGTAACGAGTTCTGAGAGAAACGGTTTACATAAATGACGTGCTCCCTCGCACTTTCAAAGATAAGAATATGGCTTAGTCCATGACATGGAGTTATTGCGATTTATTGTCTTTTTCTGATAAAAATGGCATCAACAATCTTGTACCAAGCTCTCATAGCTCTAATAAGCTTCGCCATTTACCACCAGCTATTCCGCAGCAAGAAGAAGAATCTACCACCTGGGCCAAAAGGATTGCCCATCGTCGGCAATGTTCTCGATCTACCTCCCAAAGGCGTCCCCGACTACATACACTGGAAATCAGTGACGGACAAATATGGGCCGATTGCCTCTGTCACGATCATGGGGCGGCATCTGATTTTCATTGCCGACAAACAAGATGCACAGGAAATTCTCGACAAGAAGAGTTCCGCCTCGTCTGGGCGCCCTGCTTTCGAATTTAGCAAATATTCAGGCTTTGGGAAGATGATCCCTATCCATCAACAGACTAGAGAGTTCAAGGTTCATCGGAAGTTTATGCATAAAGGTCTTGGAACCAAGCTCATAGTGAGCAAGCATGCGGATATTCTGGAACTACACACTGGATTGCTACTGCAGGATACGCTAAAGGCACCCGAGCAGATCCTTCGGCATCTAGAAATGTGAGCATCAAGTCTTTTATTTTTTTTTTCATCGTGGACCCGAGCCCAATAGCAAACCACGAGCTGTATGTCTGTAATTCTACCAGCTAACTCATGTCCAGTCATGCAGATGCAGTCATGCTCAGAATCTTGTACGGCTATAATACCAGCCCTCATGGAGATGACCCTCTGGTAAAGTTGAGTGACCACGTGGTTGCCAACTTCTTCCGCGCTTGCGATGCCTTTGGAAGACTTATCGAGTATTTACCTGCGGTTAAGTGGCTTCCTGATGGACTTCCTGGCACAGCCTTCAAGGCTGAGGCCAGGCAGCACAACCGGAATGCTTCAGTCTATGCTGAAGAGCCTTATCAGTTCGCTCGGAGGCAATTAGCGAGCCACAAGAACACGACATCATTTATCGCGAGGCTTATTCAAGAGCACACTACAGACGCTGGGGAGCTCAATGAAGCTGACGCGCATGCCATCAAGTGGTCAGCTGCAGGCTTGCAAGTTGGTGGTTCGGAAACCACCGTCACAGTGACTAGGACCTTCATCCTGGCGGCCATCATGTTCCCGGAAATTCAACAAAAGGCGCGGGAAGAAGTCGATCGAGTGACTGGCGGTACTCGTCTGCCTGTTCTTGCCGACCAGGAGCAGATGCCCTATATCAGCGCCATATTCGCCGAAGCTCTTCGGTTTTTTCCAACAGCGCCGTTGGGCTTCCCCCATGCTATGTCAGAAGACATGACATACAAGGGCTATGACTTACCCAAGGGATCGATTCTTTTGCCGGAGATTTTTGAGTTCTGCCATGACCCTTCGATTTATAGAGACCCTTATAAGTTTGATCCAGATCGCTTTCTCGAGCCGCGGAATGAGCCGAGTCCGTTTTGGACCGTCTTTGGGTTTGGACGTAGGATATGCCCCGGGCGACATCTTGCGGACGCGACTTTGTTTCTCAATATTGCTTGTCTGGTGGCTTTTTTCGACTTGAGCAAAATTGTTGATGAGCAGGGCAATGTGATGGAACCAAAGGTTGAGCTTGACCCTGTGAGAAGCGCTGTTGCAAAGGTGGCGCCGTTTCCATTCAAAGTTACGGTGCGGAGCGAGAAACATGCGGAGTTGCTCAGGGACTTGGAAAAGAATTATCCAGCTGAGGAGGGAGATGCGAGTTTATTAGGCGATCTGACGCTGCCCTAAAAGATTGTAGTTTAGAGGATCGTATTCAACAACGGGGTGTTGCACAGGAAATCGCCATAGACTAGGTGACTGTCTTGTCGTATTTTAAATTTTAGTATTTCTATTTCTAGCGTTAAATACTGCTAAACCGCCCTTTTACTAACTGAATACGATATCTTCCCTGCTAATATCCGATTGTCATATGCGTGTCATTTCAATACTAACCTTGACGCTGGGGCCAACTACTGTACCAACATCCAACGGCCAACAGCATGAGCCTTTTGGTATGCTTCTATCAATTTGAATTCTTGTCTAACACCCCACGCGACTCTCCTTGAGCCTCAATGCTTGTTAGGCTAGCACTCGTGTCTGAATTCTTTACACGGCGTAACTCATCTTATTTATTCTTCTACACTTGTTTATCAGTACTATGATGGAAAACTCTTACGAGGCCATCACCCAAAGTCTATTGAAATATGAAACAAGCTTGCCGCCCCCTTATCAAGAAGAGGGCGACCGTCTGTCTTCAGCACAACAAGCGCCATCGTTATTCTACCGCAATTCCCTTCACTGATGATAATACAAGCCGGATGGTCAAAATCGTTCACAATAAAAGATGCGCCTTCGAATGAAATCCTGTACCTAGCAGAATTTCACCCTTTCGGATGGTTCTGTCCCAAGCCACTCGGCGCGAGAGGAGGCTTCATTTTACACAATGGAGTCACTCGTAAAGATCCCGTTCTTGCCGCAACTGGCGATGTTACTGTCTTTGAGCAACGAGTCAATCCTTTCAGTAACGAGAGTAAGATTTTGCTGCCACCCCTGCCTAAGAAAGATAATGTCAAGGCATCGACAACAGTTGGCGAAACTGTGACGATGATTGGGAAATCCACGATAAACAACGGCGTTGCGTTTCGATTTTCCATTGTAGCTGGACGTAATATGAGGAGGGAAAGATTGGAATAGAGAAGTGTTGGTGAAGGTGGCAGTGGAAGAGTTGCGTGGGAGTTGACGAGACTTCCCAGGGCTTCGCGAAGAATTCCTCCAGAAGGGGAAATAATTGCGAAGCTCTCGTGGCTACCCGCTTCTTTGGTGAATGTGGTCAACCCAATGAGTGCCAAGCCAATCTTTACACTTCAGCTGATGAATAGCCTGGAATCTAGCCTGTTGGGTGAGCGCTGCGTTCTTACTGTGGTTATGAGCGCGCTGAGACTATGGCACTTGCGGATAAAGGGAAAAGATAAAAGGTCCTACATTAGGATTGGAGAGAAGTCGCGGGGTGGATGATCCTTTCACAGGTTTTGAGAACACATGCAATACGGAAAAGCTTTTCCTCTTATAGGTGGAGGAAGGAAGTGCCGTATATGCAAGCGTTCGAAGACCCAGCAAAGACGGGCGATGGTACTTCCAGATCAACTAGGCGTTGATACTAGATATATAGACAATTGCTAAACTCTCTTGATGATTCACTGGAGGCTTTTGGAACAAAGCTAACGCCTAAAGTCTCAGATAATTTGAATATTGATTGAATCAACATCTTGAATCTTGCACATCTACGAAGCTATAACACAGTAGTTCATGCAGTGGAAAACTGCTCACTACCAAAGCTACCCGTCAAGTCCATTGTCAACTCATTTTTAGCCACAATATCGGATTTCCGAGCCACCAACTCTTCAACATCCCAGTTAGCACATATAACCCTCCCACTAAGAAACTCGGATCGTGCTCGATCTGCAGCCACCCAAGTACATAGACCACCCGTTAATTCCGGGCTATCGAGATCGAAGTCTGTGAAGTCTGCATTCATATCCGTCTCTACAAGTCCGGGATGAATGCTCACAACTGTGAGAGTGCCTTTGTAAGCCGCATTGAGGTGGGTACACCACTGCTGGCTGGCGAGTTTGCTGACGCTATAAGGAGCAGTAACGGGGAAAACGAGCCATGCTCCCGAGGTGCTGATATTGATGATTGTTGCTGGCGACGTAGGCGTGGGAAGAGATGATATGAAGTATTTGGTTAGGATGAAGAACCCCTTGACGTTGATTTCCTATAACAAGACCGATAACAAGGATCTATTAGTCTCGCATGTCAACTAGCTTTTCGAACAGATAGGCGACTCACAAAGTTTGACCACCACTCATCGACAGCTGCTTCATGAAGGACTGGGCCACCCCCATTCGTAGCGGCATTTACTGCGGCATTGGCCACCAATATGTCTGCAGCACGGCCGAATCGCTCTCGAATACTGGTGTATAGTTGTTTCACAGCAGCCTCGTCCGTGATATCCAATGCCACGAGTAGTATTTCGATTTGGGGATTAATCCGATGAACTTCGGTTTCCACTTCTTTCAGCTTGGCCTCATCGCGCGCAACAAGGACTAAGCCATGGACTCCTGCCTTGGCCAGCGAGGGCACAATTCCCTAAGAATGATACCATATGAGTGTGATGATCTATTGAGATGGGAAGCCTAATGGTTACGAACCCTGGCACCAATACCGCGACTTGCGCCTGTTATGATGGCAATCTTCCCAGCAAGAGAATTAGCAGGGCTGGATGGGTCGATAGCTGGATAAACGTCTTGAAATATTTTCCTAGTATACTGCAAAGTCTTGACGAAATAGTCTTTCGGAAGAGACCCCATGATGTTGCTGAGTATTGTCCGTGATGTGGACAAAAGCACGAATGAGTATACCAGACAATTCAATGCGAGTCAGTGACGATACTGCCTTTACTTTTCCATTTAGCAGTTTATGTACTCATCGTCGGAAAAGGTCCCCCTTATCAGACCTTGTTGTTCTGATTGGGAATAACTGGCAACGTCCTTAGTATGCTCCACCCGGATAAGTTGCACGCTATGCTTAATAATTGACCTATATATCCTGTCTCGTATCCTGCCTCGAGGATTACAAATGAGAAGGCCGACGGCATATTTGTCATGATTAACAAGAGCTTGATAAGTTTAGATCCTAATGAGAAACTGAAGAGAAAGATGAGATTCATGCGCAAGTTGAAAGATTTGGTTGGTTTTCACTGTAGCAAATCCCATTGAGTGGCTACTTGTCATGATAACTCAAAGACGCAAAATGGCCTGCAAGTCCCTAGTGATCTAATAATCATGAAATCGAAGATGGCCAATGACTTCTGCTTAAAATTTTTTTAGAATTGTAGCTCTGTCTTCGATCAAATCATCTACTTGAATACAATGTGCAATTAGCATTAAAGCAAATTTACCACCTAATTGTGTAGGCTACCTTGACCCACATGGCCTGGATGAATTGATGCTATCAGAAAGACCATTCATAAAGAGCATGCTTCAGATAAAGTATGCATCTGTTGACTAGATCTTCCCAAGACGTACTCTTTTTAATCTGAACTTTCTAATTCGGATCATAGTGTGTAATTACGCTGTGTCGTTGTTTGTAAATCAGTGGAGTGTGCTATTGGGTAATCTTTACGCTCGTGACACATATCCCCCAAGCAATTTGGAACGTCCTAATATATGAACCCTCGTATTCGTCCTTCAAGCTATCTTATGAGCTTTATACGGCGCTCAGAAACAGGCCATCATGCCTGCGAATTCGTGAAAAGACAGCCTTGAAGAACCGATGGTTCACTAGACCCTGCTAAACTATAACTGACACTTTCATTGCTAAAATACGGAAAATTGCAAACCTTACCACTGTCTCGGGACGGCCTACATGTTCCGGCCAGGTGGCAAGCGTGTGGGTATCACCATGACGGAACTGTTGTACCCGCGCAGTTGGTTACCTACAGTATGCAATGTGGCAAAGAGGTGCCATCATCTGGATGGTCTAGCATGATACAGCATTCAGTACATGCACTGCTGGCAGTCGGAGAAGAAAAGCTTCTGTTAGCATGATATATCTAGAACGCACCGTTGATAGTATCAGAACACTTCGAGACGTGAATAGCAGAAACAATGGAAGCAAGACGCATATGAGAGATAGAAGATGAGAACATGGAATACGCTATTTAGTCTTGGCGTTTTACCTTGGAATGACCCATGCACTGCGTAAATCACAAATCCTCGCAGATACCCTTGCAAGTATATAAGACACAGATAGGCACACCACAACCGTTCAATCACGATCAAATCAGCCTCAAATCATGCTTTTTGATCACCGAAGCAGCCACACCGTCCAGCGTCCCGTGATCGCCACCAATCATCATACAGCGCAATGAATACCACCCTTGCCTAGAGACGGCATGGCTTTCGACCCCTGTGGCAAATACCAGGAGAAAGGGATAAGTCAATAGCACTACTACGAGGCCTGACTCAGTTGTGTCGCACAAGTCAGCGTGCCTTGGGAGCCTGGGAGCGTAGTGTTTGTGTCACATAGCAATATCCGAGCGTCGGTGAGTAGGGTAGCGTTTAATGAATAGAAGAAAAGCAGAAGATATTTTCCCAACAATATAAGTGACTTTCTAATGTGAGAGGTTGACTTCTGTGCTTGAGCTGATTATGTTGATTCTACGATCGTATGCATAAGAGCCGGCTGTCGGCAAGAATTAACATCGTGCACTAATATAAATTACGGCCAGCCAGCCACCGAAATGGAAAAAGCAAAGTGCGGCTGATCGCCCTCGTCCCAGATTCGGGCTAGTAGTTGAGCCAAAGCGTCAAGGGAGAGCGGCTTTTCGATTGCGGGGATCGGCTGTATGGAGCGATGCCAGATAGTACAAGATCCCTGCTGCCCCAAAGCATTCAGCTCTTGAGATTTTGCAAGCTTGCTTGAGAGTTGTATATGAGTATGGGTAGTATCAATACGTATCAGCCTCAGCTATACCAGGTTGTCAACAGTACACTATCATTGTGCCCATCAAGGTTACAGATGCTGGCAACAGAATGCTCTTTCATATACGCCAATGTCTCACGCCCTTCACCTGACCTCTCTCGGTAATGCTACGTGATGCCAAGTCTGACTTTTCCCTGTTCTTATTCCTTGTCACACACCACCTATTTTCTTTTTCTTGCCCTGGATCGCAGTCCATCCGTGAGACATGGTTTAGATGATCCCATCTCCTGCGTAGCTGATTCCAGGTAGCCGTCTCTTGGACCTGAACTGTCAGGCTGCGGCTGATGGCCCCTTGCATCCTTTGCCCTGGAAAAATGCCTTAGTTCGGTGTAATTTCCTGCTAGCTGCGCTGAGAAGAGGGAAAAAGAAGCTTTATAGTATAACTGGCAGATAACTTTTCTTCTTTCTCAGCCGCACAGGCGCTGTCCAAAATGATAGCCGCTTGGACCTGGTAATAATGCCAAGGTGATGGAGTAATTATGTCTCTCAGTCTCAACCAATCTATTAACTGGATGTGACACAGCATATATTAGCTCAGCGATCAGCAAGATTGGAGTCGATTAGCTCTACAAGAAGAGAGACAGCAGGCTGTTCTATGGTAGAAGAGAGATAAATGATGGTTCGCCGTCAATGAGGTCTTATAACACGAGACTCATACCTCCCTTCACATCACTCCACAGCCCACAATCCATTATTACCTGCGTGATACTGCCCTCAGTCGATATTTCATAGTCTGCCGTCCTTGACTTTTCTCTTTTCGTCATTCAAATTCCTAAGCCATAGTCGTCGATATAATGGATGGGCTCTCTGTATATACGCTCCCACCGAGCCCTGCCAATTGGGATAGGCTTGGTGTGTTTTACATATCTTGGTGCGCATCATGGACGACCACGCTCATTGCCGGCATGGCTTTCTGCTGGTACAACCGAAATCTGCCCATTCTGAAGATTCGTGGACTGCCGTTGTCCTTTTTCGCAATTGGGTTTCTGCACATGTATTGGATTCTGGCGCAGCTGGTGTATCCCATCGGCCAAACCATGCCACTAGTCCTCGCATATGACATCCAGTACTTCTTCATGGGCCTCTGGTTTCCCTTGGGAGTGGCATTGTTCCACGCATCCAATCTTCGTTTTCTTCACGTGGCGAGGCTTCAGAAACAGTTTACTGGTCCAGCTCGTCGAGTCGAATCGGGCTGCAATGGCGCAAAAACCTCATGGCTTTGCCGCCTCAGAAACATGGATCATACAACGCGATCGATTATGTTCATCGCTCTTGGAATGGTCATCCAGGTGCGTTTGTCTGAGACTCCGCGCGTTAACAACGCGAGATGACGATGATGATTTGCATGCTGAGTGATACTATCTCTAGGTCTTGCTCACGGTCGGTATGTGGCTAGCCTGCCGAAAATACCATCCAACGTATGGCATTCCTGGTACCGAACTCCGCGGTGAAACACTCCTTGAGCAACTTGTGGACTTGAGTCGAGGGTGGGAATGGTGGCCGTCGGTTCTATGGCAGGTCATTTGGACTTGGATTGTACGTAGAGTTCAGGCCCTTGAGAAGCGAAATCGTGACTGACTTCTTCCAAGGTTGCACCTATTCTTCTGTGGCGCGCTTGGGGGATTCGCGATACCATGGGATGGCGGGCACAAACCATCGGCTGCTGCATTTCCAAGTAAGTCTCGACTTGTCGCGATGATATGATAAAAGCTAACACTCTAACGCAGTCTCCATGCGACACCAATGTTCTTGGTCGCGCTGTATGCTCCTGTCTTCCAGAAGGTCAATAAAGTTTTTACTCCGAGTCAATGGTAAGCATTTCGCAAATCAGCTCTTCCTTCAGTCCATTATAGGTACTGACTAGGCATGGAACCAGGATCCATCTCTCCATTTTTATGTTTGAAATCTTCACCGTTTTCGTTCCCGCTTTCCAAGTCGTCAAGTTTTGGATCCAGAAGAGAAAAACTACCCGCTCGAACGAGAAATGGGACAGTCCTCTCCAAACTACGGGTCTGACGCTGTCACCTCAAGCGGAACCCTTTACCCCTTCGTCTTCGTCGACGGAGCACTGGATCTTCCCAACCGCTACTTTGACGAAGAAGAGTAAACCTCTGGACATCTTTAGCGAAGACTTGGGCGATCGCCTGCTGACAATGAGCGCCCTCGAATACGTTCTCAGCGAAAATCCTCAACCACTTCAAGAATTCTCTGCTCTGAGAGATTTTTCGGGAGAAAATATTGCCTTCTTAACAAGTGTAGCAAAATGGAGGTCATGCTGGGCTACACAGAGCGCTGATGATCAGAAACGAAAGATGTATAGCGACGCACTGGAGATCTACATCGACTATATTAGCCCAAGAGATGCTGAGTTCCCCTTGAACTTATCTTTTGCCGAGATTAAGCGCGTCGAACGCATCTTTGAAGCAGCCGCACGAAGTGTCTGTGGAGAGCAAACACCAATCTCACCTACATCGTTCGATATTGAGATTGCTCCTTTCAGCTGCTGCGAGGCTAGTTCTCCCGTCGAGCTAAGCGATCGAAACGCCTCCAGGATACATTATGAGGGCGAGATCCCTGAAGAGTTTGGTTTAACGGTGTTTGATAGCATCCAAGCCCATATCAAGTATCTCGTTTTGACCAATACGTGGCCGAGGTTTGTGGACGAGATGCAGGCCAAGCGACGACAATCATGCGAGACGGCGAATAGCGAAGGGACCTGGAAATCTGGATCGACTATTACAAATAGGATCGCCCATTTGGTCCGCCAAATTTTCTAGAGAAAGATAATGCACGCAAGTGCTTGAGCGAAATAATTGAGGAGTTAAGAGGAAATGCCCATGTGCAGCCAAGGATTTACATAATTATACATGAGAAATACTATTTACCCATACTACTAAGGAATTAATAACAAAGATGCGCATGCTCCTATCTTTCGCAAAGAGTATAGGGCTTGATACACGTAAATCGGGCGACGTATAAGCTCAGCCCAGTATCATTAAGCGTAATAGTATATGCAAGGGCGAAGTGCTAATTTGTTCAACTGTTCCTGAACAGGCGTTTTTACCGATGAAATCCTTGTATGACGTAGCGGCAAATTAAATCGCCGGTCAGCGGCTGCGTTATTCTCCTTTTTTCCGCTTGTGATTCCATTGTTGTGGATATGCGCCAGCTTAGACAAGGGGGACCAATGTCTCGTTGTAGTTAAGTCGCAAAGTTGACCTATCCCAGCTTACGAAAGAAATTGAAAAAGAGGTTCAATAATGCGAGAGGCATTAGACTTACACGGCAACATTGAGTTGGAAGACGCTTTTGATCTCGTAAGCAGCAAAGCACCTAACCGTAGTTATCATCAAAGACTAGCTTTATCAAGCGATTACCAATTGAATATAATTACTAGGGAGTTGAAGAAAGTTGATGCACGTTGCTGAGAGAGACGTTGTGTTAAAATTTATAAGTATGGTGACTATGAACGAACAATTGTGACACTTTTATCTCTTTACAATTATCTGCAGTCGACTTGAGAGTTCTCATCTGCCTTCTTTAACATCATGCTCTTCAACCGGTTAATTCCCGTTTTCGCTGCGGCGGTTCAAGCACTGCCGCAGCCAGCCTCAGCTAGTTGCCGAGATATTCAGATCCCGATTACCGTGTCAACGCCTCGATTCATTTTGGCAACGTCGCTCAAAGATGATTGGGATGCTGCCGCGCTAAGTCTCAACTTGACTCGTCGAGATTTCAGTAAGGCGAGCGATCCTCTTCCCATTAGTGGATCCACTGCGGCTGCTGTGAAGAGCACTTACACCGTGGGTGCGACGTTGTGCGGCAATGGAGGACCGACATTGGTACTTACACACGGAATCATTGAATCTAAGCTGTAAGTGCATACATTTATTCATGATGAGAAATATTATAGAGAAGAGCTGTTCTGATCTCCCTGCTACAGTTACTGGCGACCCAACTTTCCAGGGAGTGAAAAGTACAACTTTGTTGATGCTGCTATTGCTCAGGGCTATTCAGTCCTCAGCTATGACCGCATTGGCGTTGGATCATCACCAAAGTAAGTTAAAACTTCAAAAATTGCTGCAAGAAAAAAAATTGTTAAATACTCACATGGTTACAACAGAGTCAACTCGTTCACAGATGCACAATTCCAAGTCGAAGTTGCCGTGCTAGAGGGTCTCGTCAACTATGCCAAAACCAAAGCCCATGCTAGCAAGGTTGCCCTCGTCGGCCACAGTTATGGCTCCTACATCTCTTCCGCAGCGGCCACTCATGTCGCCGTCGATGGCCTCGTATTGACCGGCTTCAGTGGCACTTTTGACTACTTCCCCCCTTTCATTGCTGGTGCCGGCTTCCGCATCGCCAAGTTGCAGAACCCTGCGCGATGGGGGCAGCTGGATTCTGGATACATCACCAGCTCGGATTTGTATGCCGAGACGTATGTCTACTATGCGGCTCCGTACTTTGAGCACAGCGTTGCTGAGTGGACTTATAATGTTGCCAGCGAGCCGTTTGCGGTTGGCGAACTTCCCTCGCTGTTGGCTACCAATGTTAGCTACAGTGATATTAAGGCACCTGTCTTGGTTCTCCAGGGCCAGTTTGACGTTTCTGCCTGTGGTGGTAACTGTGTCGGTGTTGTAAATGGCACAAAGGACATATTCACCGGAGCTAAAGTCCTTGAGTATGTTGACAATTTGCCAGCGGGGTGAGTACTTTGATCCGATTAATCCTTTGAAAAGAGCAAAGTCTAACTGCTTATTAGTCACAACCTCAACTTTCACAAGGTTGCCCCGCAAGCGTTCCAAAAAATCTTCAAGTTCTTGAAGGCGCAGGGTGTTTGAGTATGAGCTCTCAATGTGGCACAGAAAATTTGGTATCGGCCATGATGGGATATTTATTCGGTTCAATCATCTCTATATTACAAGCATATAATTATTGTTTAATCTTCTAGCTCTTGGCTGCTGCTTGCTGCCTCCGTTATCTTAGTTACAACGAGTGGCATATACTTCTCTGCTCGCGCAGACATAAAAACATACTATTAATTACTAAGAAGCAAACCGCTTCAATCGCTCCAGTTCTATAACGTGAGAATGTTCCTTACAACTTCCCTTCATCATTATTGTCCGGCTTCCCTCTGGTAGCACATTAGGGCTTCGACTTCATCAGGACATCCCAATAGTCAATATGTGACGACCCTCTAGGTACCCCTACTTCCACATACTCATACAAAACCTTAACCCAAGCCTTTAGTATATGAAGCCCTGAGCATCTTGCAATTAGTGCCTTAAGAAGTCGAAATCTCTCATCTTCGAGCATCTTCACCATGACCCCTAGCTGCTCCCAAGGAACTAGCTCGAACACAATATGGTTTGCTAGATCTGCATCTTCGACCGCGCCCCATCTCGAGTACGTTTGTTCTCATGTTGCTCAGCATACTCGGCACCGGCGGGTCAGCAGTACGAGCAGAAAAGGTATCCTGGCACTAGAATCTTCTCCTACCTTGGGAGACATTTCGCCACAGGGGACGCCGACCATCCACGTCACAGGGGTACGAAGACATTGCTGGGCCGTTCTTGGTCAGCGAAAAAGCGAGGTCGATGAGAAGAGGGTAGCAGGTTGGGATATGTTTGCGTGTTTCACTGCGAACACAATACACGTTGAGGTTGAATAGATT